AATCACAATTATACACGTTCAGCGCCAAAAGACATACATGGTTTTAACATTATGTTCACCAGAAAAATGAAATCAGGAGTATAATTTGTCAAGTCAGTGGTATGATGCTTAAATGATAAATTAAACCCATTCAAAATAAAATACCTGATAATAACATTTAAAATAGCAAATCAAAAATTGAAATCAAATAGGTAATATGCTGTGTTTCACTTCACGTACGTTCCGAATGTTTTGAATATTTGTATATCATTTTGATAACGTAACCTAATGCGCGAATTGATAACGACGAATGATCGATGGGCGAAAAAAACGTCAAAAAAAAAAAAATCTAACGTAAAATACCCGACAAATTAAACACACACCAGGAAAAAAACCCACGAAAGTAAAATGTCCATGCGATGGTCATAATATTTTTTTTATAATATTTTGTTGATTAACTTGAGAAAATACAAAAATTTAAAACATACGATTGAACAATGCAAAAGAAACCAAATATAAGGACATAAATTTAATGTAAAGCTCGTATAATTTAAATTCCGAGGCCAATTTGGAGAATGAAACAGAAAATTATAATTATAATATTATGTAGGTAGGTACCTAAACAATAGGTACTTTGTTTTACAAGATGAACGGGTCAGTTGTCATAATGACATTTTTTACTTGTGATTATATTATCCAAACTTATAATTATTACATGTACTGAATCTGAGAAAGACAAAATACACAGTGTACAATCAATATTAGATCTGTCACTAAACGCCCCGAATCTGAAGAAAAGATCAATAATGATTTATTCAAATCGAGTTTATTTTTAACTGTAATTCAGTAGTGACCAAAAAAACAAAATCGCTATACCAAGAAACCTAATGCGTTGGCCGCGATATTTTGTGTGATATTACCTGATCATATTATTATAGCAGGTATCGTCAATTCGGTCAACACTTTCTCCCATTTTGGTATAGTAAATTCCTCAAGAGGCGTTGTTTTTATCCTTGGCGCGCTTAATTTAATTCGTTTTTTTTGTCCGAAACGCCGGTCTTTGTCCATTTTTTTTGTGAAATAAATAGATCGTGCGGCACGACACGCACGGAACAGTATAAATCTCAAACTGCCGCGACAGCTAAACGACTGATATAACTGATCCGTCATTTTGGATTTTTATATGCGTATTATTTTGTAAACATAAAACACAATACAGGCACCTACTACAAGGAAGGAATACGCCATATACCACACAATCGCATTCGAGGGGAGGGGAAAATAAATAACAATACGGTTTATTACCGTCCACAAATGGTTATTTTTAACCACGGTGGTTACGACCCGTTCTTTATTTAGTTTATTTTAGATAAGTTATTTTTCTATAAAACTGTACAGTTTCCTTATCGGTTTATGAGTCGGTTGTCGGCAGCAATCGTGTTAATGAACCCGTGCCATTTGGTCACGAAACCGATCTATATCTAGACACTAATTGAAGAGTTTCAGTCGGAAAGGCGTTGGCCGACTCGTATATTAGGTTTTAACCGAACTGTTAAACAACCGAAATATATTATAATTATTAGAAGAACCGTAAATTATCCGAATCGTAAAACATGCGAAAATGAATTGTCCGAACCGTATTTTAGCAGAAACGCATAACAATCGAACAGGATTTGAGCCAGAAACGGCGCTACATCGGGGGGCGCGAAAAACAACCGAAAAACATTTAAGTCTACAAGTATTTGAGCATGTAATATACAGGTATTTTATACGAAAATATTACAACCAACTGTTATAAATAGGTATAAGATTTTCCAAAAAACGATAACACGTGATGAGAAATAAATAAAAAGGAAATAAATTCCATAGGTAGATATTATTTTAAAATGAAATTAATAAATAATATTATTTTTAATTTTTAATCAATAAAGTTAATTGGAAAATATCATAGACGTATAACAGATTTTTTTTATAATTATATGTCTGGAATATGTTTTGGTTTAGTTTTGTGATAATAAATTCTATATGTCCATGTTTATCCACACTTGAATAATTTAAATGCTTACAAATGGTTGAAATTAAAAATAATAATAATTTAAAACTAATTAGTTAAATAAATATAAATTTTTATCATAGAAAATATTCAAAATGTCGTTCTATTATTTTATGTTTGTTCAAAATTGTATCGCAATTATAACTCTAAATTTGCGCGTTCTTTGAAATTTTTCAATTTTTGTTCTAGATATCGACGTTCAAAGTTTCACACTTCCAAGTTTTCTAATTCAACATTTTCTGATAAAAACAATGATTTATTTATTTGTTTAATTTATTTTTGGAAATTAATGTCTAACTGCAGTGTACATAAGGAACACTATAGATCACAAAAAAGTTGTTGAGATTATTTACAACTATAACTAAGTTATACAGACTTAAAATATAGAAAATCGATGCGCAAAGTCTTAAAATCAAATTAGGGCAGTATCAGTGTTAGAACTATTTGCATTACGCAGCATTCTGTGAAAGGGGTGATTATGTCCGTAGGACGTAGAATGAGTGGGGACGTGAAATAATTGGTGGCTTCAAGTACCGTATGATGGGATACGAAAAGAAATCATAGCCACCCGATCAGGGACATCCAATGAGCCATTTAAAAGGGAGGTGATAGAGACCAAATGAGCATCCAGACTCGAGAAGAAAGTAGAGGTGTTTTTGGGGTGTTTAAAATGGGGGCATAATAGTGAGAAGGATGGCCTATCTTGAGTGTATACGTGTCGTAGGACACGAATCCATGTTGGTCACGCTCTAATCTTAATTGGTCCTTGGCCAGGTAAGAAGGCCAGACAACTACCCCGTATTCGAGGATAGAGCGTACCAAGGAAAAGCGGAGTGAGCGAAGGCATTTAAGAAAGGTAAAAGACATCGCATTTCGTATAACGAACCCAGACGCTTGTAGAGCTCTTCAAACGGTAGTGGTTATACGCTGTTCAAAATTTAAAGAAGGCGTAATGAGGATTCCATTGTCTTTTACATTAAAAACCCGCCGGAGTAAAGTATTGTCAAGGTGATAACTATGACATATAGAGAGTGGAGCGGCTCCTCGAAAATGTCATAGTATTACATTTATCGTGGTTAAGAGTGAAACCAAGACGTTTAACCCAAGAGCAGAAAACGTCGAGTTCGGCCTGGAGTAGAAAACAATCCGCTGGAGAGTTAATTCTCAAGTATATTCGGCGGAAATGTGTTTTGATAATTTCGCGTTCGGCTTAAATACGGCCGGTTGAAATATTTTCGGCTGAAATACGGTTCGGCCGTTTTATAGCCCACCCCCCACTCCGCTATATCGACATGTGCACGCCTACCCTGGCGCTCCTGCACGGTACCTAATAGGCGCCCCCCCACCTTGCGTAAAGCATTAAGGGGTCTAGGACAGGGGTCGGCAACCTTTTTTGACGGAAGAGCCAAAAGTTACAATGTATAAAATTTTCCAGATTTTAAAGAGCCACTAAAAATTTTCTTAAGTATTTAAATATAATTTTTTTTTTAAATTTTAATAGACATAATAATAATGCAATTAATTATAATAATACAATAAATTTATGATAAAAAAAAAAAAAAACAGTTTTTAATAATAGGGGAATACATCAATGGGAGCATTGGCTTTGCATGTCTTGGCGTGACGGCGTATGACCAATTAGTTGTAGATAGCGTCGCGATTATATTAGACTCTATAATAAACATTTTACAACTATAGACTGTACTCCATGCGGGCACTGTCAAATTATTTTTGTGATGTATTATTTCATATTTCCAAAAGCAACAAAAATAATATACTTTTTTTTTTATATTATAAAATATTGTTTTTGAACTGAAATATTAATTTTTGTGTGTGCAGCTGGAGAGCCGCAACTTTAGACCGAAAGAGCCGCATGTGGCTCGCGAGCCGCAGGTCGCCGACCCCTGGTCTAGGACACCTCGCCGCCGTACCGATTCGCCGCCAGCCGACCCGCCGGTACCGGTCGGGTCCGAGCATTAAGTGTTAAGATGTTTGAACTTTTTTTAATTAGAAATCGGACACACAAAGTTTTATACATTTGTTACGTACCTATTAGTTGTTTTCGGCTCAAATACGGTTAGGCTGCAAAAGGTTTCTGATGAAATACGGTTCGTCTACGCTCTAATATGTTTCGGTTTAATAATAATATTACAGTTCGGTGTTATTTAAATACGGATCGGCGGTGTTATTTCTAATGATTGCCGACGAAATTGGGTTGTTACCGTATTCGTATTTATCTACCATGATATATAGGTTGATATAGGTGTTTATAAAGTAAATTTAAAGTCTACTACTAGTCGGAGAAATAAAACTCAAAAAAGATTCTCTCAGAAGTGTTTTATTTACAAATTATTTATGCATTTTGTTACTGTTTTGTTTTCATTTTGTTATTATTATTATTTTTTTTTTTTTGTTACAAGAAATTCAATATTATGATATTATAGTATTTAAAGTCTAATACTAATAAGTCAAACAATTAAAATTTTAATAATTATTAGTGGAAATAAAATGTATTAATTTAGAAATTATAATTAAGACTCGTAATATTATTAGTTGGAATAAAATTTACAAGTATCCATCAAAGAATTAGTATTTTTTATTTGTTCAAGTACCTATAGGTACTTGAACAAATAAAAAATAGTATTAATAGTTTTAATTTTATCTACTGACATTTTAGACACTTAATAGTGTAAATGTTACTTATATTTTTTGTATAACAGTATAACATATTACATTATAAATTATGACATATCACTAACAACTCCGCTCAGAATCGTTTTTAGTAAACAATGATTGCTTACAGACACAAATTAATTTCACATCTATATTCTACCTTCCCAAATTTTCACCAACAACAGTGGCTGTACCCGTCCCCATTATCCTAGGACAGGTTTTTTAGTACTTATTTGGATATGGTTAAGGTTAAGATATGACAACGACTATTGCACATTTTTTTTTAAAAAATAGGCACACCTTGATGTTTGACACGGGCTTTTAGATTTACACAATTACATGAACAAGAAGAAAAACCTAAATTTTGTGGTAATTGTAATATAACATTATTTTTACGGACAGAGAGCGCACTCAGTTAGTTAAGCAGCTGTTCCTGCAAACAATTTCAATTGCTATGTGATATCGCCTATGAATTTATGATACAGCTCGTTGGGCAACTAGTATAATATTGTGCCGTTAATTATAATATTATTATTAACCATTAAAAGATCTTTATTAAATGAAAAAATTCAAAATATACTAAACACTAATCAATTATATAGTATTTGGTATATTAAAGTCTATTAATTGTTGCCGTTGCCCGTTACTCTTTAATGTATTAAAAAAACGTTCGCATTCGCTATGTAATGATTTAATAACAAACAACTTATCGAGAAGGTACCTATTTATACATATTATTACTTACCTAAGTTAGGTACCAGTTACCATGAATATTTGATGTTCGGAAATATAGGTACCACGGACTAATGTATAAGTATAAACTAGTCCGTGATTGGTACATACAACATACCATAGACCTATTAACCTATTAATAGGTCTATGCAGCATACCTACAACTATAGGTATGGTGTTGATTCGTTTTATAATATTACCACAGATTATGAACTACCCACCTATGTATTATGCTACAAGATACTTTGATTAGTTTTCAATGCATTATATTTATAAACATTTTAAACAGTTAATTATTATTTTATAGCATTAGTTTGATGAGTAATAACTTTTTTTTATTTATGAATAATTACATAATTTATAAAATAGAAATGTTTACAATGAACATCATGGGTGATGATTTAGGAGACCCTTAGATGGACCAGGACGTGCACACTTGGTTAAGGGAACCATTCCGTTATTGGAATTATGGACTTATTATTACATTTTAGAATAGACAAGTTTACTAAAAATCAATCAATTTTTATTCAAACATTTAAATAATTGAACATAAAAACATCTAAATAAGAAGTTAATTATGTTGTATTATTTTTTAGAATTTGAATTTTAAGTAGGTGGTTACTATAAGGTTAGGTTAGATTCAAATTAATATTAACTGGTTAGGTATACCTTTCTTAAAATATAAACTATTAATAATAAAAAAATATTTAAATACACATTAAAAATAATTGTTGGTATACATTCATAATATTTTTAATTTATATAGTTTTTATTTCCTTTATCAATAATTGGTCTTGACATTTTTTTTTTTCAGAAATGGAATTTATAGCCAAAATATTTAAAAAAGAATCTAAAAGAGAAATTGATTTTGAGGATCTACAGAATGTTCTTACACGTACACAGCCACCAATTAAAAAATTAAAAATTTCAACATGTGATTATTCTGAAGTTTATCCAAGGATTTATGTTGGAGATTGGTAAGTGTAAATATGAATAAAATGTATTTCAAAATATTGTTTCTAAAATTCTACTATTTTACAGGAATACTGCACAAAATCTTAACTTATTACTGTCATTGGGTATCACACATGTGGTAAATGCTGCTGAAGGTAATGGATTTGACTTGGTTAAGACAAATGAAGAATTTTACCGTCCAGTTAATATTGCATACATGGGGTTATCTCTAAGTGATGATCCTGATGTTGCAATAAATGAATATTTTGATAGTGTGTCTAATTTTATAGATGATGCATTATTACAGAAAGGTATGTTTTAAACATTTTGTTACACAGGTAAATTTTATTTTAACCTGGACAAATATTGTTATAAGTAATTTATATTTATTAGGTAAAATTTTGATTCATTGCATTATGGGTATTTCAAGATCAGCAACAATTGCAATTGCGTATTTAATGATCAAAAAACGATTAAGAGCTAAAGATGCAGTAGAAAAGGTAAAAAAAGCAAGATATATACAACCTAATGATGGATTTCTTAAACAACTAGCTCAACTTGACAATGACTTATTTCATATATTGAATCATTAACTTTGGTGATATAATTATCTACAACTAAATAAATAAAATAAATAATTGTATTGAATTATTTTTATGTTAGTCATCTGAATCAATTTTTGCTTGAGTCGTCCGTTTTTTCACTTCACACATCTATATATTTTAAAAATAAATATTTTGTATTTATGCTTTAATAATACTTAAGGATATTTACCATTAAAATAGCAAATGTTGTACCAATAATTGAACCTGCCAATACATCAGTGAAATGATGCATGTTATCAGTAATTCTAGTCAATGTTGTGTACCAAGCAGATGCAAATATTGCAAATTCAATTATAACCCATGCAATATTTTTCTTATAACTGTGTAGATATAACTTTTAAATATGAAGAATTAATACATTTCTTTGTTAACTACTATATTATGCTTTGCGAATATACTTACTATTATGTATACTGTTGAATAAAATGCTAAAGATGCATGGCCTGATGGAAATGATGCTCTGAAATTACGGTATTATTAAAATCATTTTTAAATTATTTTAATAGTTTAATTTTAAATGGATACACAATTTGAGTATATAACCTTAGTATATTACCTTGAATCATTAACTACAGATAATTCCAGATTTGTGCATACATAATCTGAAATGTATTGATCTTGTGAAGTGCAATCAATATTTGGTTTACAAACATAAATGAAGTGAGGTCTTAAACGTCCTGTATAATATTTTCCAAGGTTTACTGTAATTTGGGTTAATCCAGAACCCAACCAAAAATAAATTATATTCACATATAAATTGTTTATATTTTTGCATATGGTCCAGTAGTATTTCAAACACATCTATAATTCAAAATGACTGTTTAAATTTTATATGATAAATATAATTAATTTTATATTTTATGTTTGAAAAATCATAATTAAAACTATAAATAATTAAACATTTTTAACCTAACTAAAATATGAATTATTATTATGTGTAGTTAAATAAATTAAAAAGCATACCTGTTTTTTTTCTACTTTATATTATTTTCTGATGGTATTTTGCTGAAATTTGTGTTAATAAAATATAAATCTATTGTACAATAATACTTACAGATTTGCATTATTATTTTGAATTGTGTAATATTTATTCATTTTTTTTTGTTTTTATTCATTGATATAAATAGAAAATTAGAACATACCCTATGTTTCTAATTTTTTTTATTTGATACTACTATATTTAATGTATAAAATTCTAACTTCTAAATATTTAATTGATTATCAAAATTTGAATTTATAAGTTTTTACTAAATTGGATACCTATAATAGTTGTTTAATAATTTAAAATAATATTTACCAAAAGATTTGGTAGAAGAAGATAAAATAGACATAAGAAACTTTTGCTGATAGTTGATGGTTTGTATGGATATTTAATTGTCTCGTCATCGCAAAAAAAACCCCGAGGGATGGGTTCCAGAAATGAAGTTACCATAACTAATAATCCAACTATTTTATAAAAGTAAACAATTAGGTAAAAGTATAATATAATTTAAAAATATTTTATAAAAATAAAACTATTAAATAAAAATAACATTTTTAAATATATCTTACTTATCAAAACTAAGGTAACTTCAAAAATGATTTCCTTATATAATTCCATTACATAAATAAATAAGCAATTGGTATTTATTGTTTTTATTGTATTCAATATTAGGTACTTCAGTGGGTTACTGCAATATTATTGAATAAGCACTTTATTAATAGTGATTATATTATGTATTAATACGGCCCTGTGACTATTTTATTAAATTTAATTGACATGTTGCGACCCCTTCTTTTTTTTGTCAGTATGAATATGTAAAATATAGTATACTATTTTATACCTATTTACTTATGAAATAATAGTCTAATTTTTACACAACATAAAAACAATGAAACTAGCAACTTAAGCAAGTTTTATAATTTTTGTAATTACCTACCAAATTAGCCTTTAAAAATAATTGATCCAATATAAGTTATTTTTAATTAGGTATATAATTCCTAATAAGTTATTATCAAACATTACGATTTTATACACTATAGTAGTTCATTTAACATTTTGAACGTCTACGTTTTTAATTATATCTAATATTATTAAATGCAGAAATAATTACACTTGTAATATATTTTCTCATTGACATTTTAAAATGAATTAATTATAATTTTAGTTAAAATAGGTAAGTACCTAAATTTTGATACCTGCAAAGTTGCTAAACTTTAATAAATAACCTATTATAGCCTAAATATATACATTTTTTTTTAAAGATAACATTCATTAACTATTATACTCAGTGCTCTAAGAACGGTGATGAGAAGCACTGACTTATGGAGTTGTATGTTTTCATTTTTAGTAGATTTTAGAGTATCACTAAAATGAATCACTTCATTCATAAAAAGCATCTGTCTTTATAATAACATTATGTATATTAATTTTCTTTGTAGTGTTCCTTATAACGGACAAAAAATTACGGAAAACGAGAATAATTACGCAATATAACTATATCATAACTAGGTACCTACATAATAATATCTAGGGATCTGTTTTTAATTTATACTTTGTTTTTTTGTTGTAGGTATTCGGTGATAAATAATTGTTTTCTTCTACTACGCCTTCATCCTAAATTTTTAAAGTCTACTATCTTCGTTCTGAACTTCACTTAATCTGATCTCCCCCTCGTATACTCCAGCTGTCCTTATCATTCTCAATCGCATTCAACCATTTCCTATTTAGTCTTCCTCTCAATCTCTTTCTTCCAAAATTTGTTTGAATTACTATTCTTACTGTTTCTAATTCCACTTTCTTCATAAAATGCAATACAATGTATTGAGGGACTCTACTCAAAAATTGTTATGAGATACCTAATTAAGAAGAGAACTAATATTAATCAATTTGTTAACGGTTAAATACCTACTCAATAATAAAGTATATATTTTCGAATAAAATATTGATAAAATTAGGTGTATTCTTCTTCTTCTCCTGTTATAAGCTTTCATCTCAAATATTTGGGGTTGGTATTCTTGTCCTAAACTTCCACTTAATTAGATCTATCTTCGCAAACACCAGTTGTCCTCATATCATTCTCAATCGCGTCCAAACGCCTCTTTTTCTAAAATCTACCAAAGGCTTGTTGGAACTCATACTGTCTGACAGAATCTGATGCAACCTTATATGTTGCATTTTACATACTTTTATTACTTTTTGTAAGGTACTTCAATTTTAATTCAACTAAACATAATTAAATAGGTATCTAGGTTTAGGTCTTAATACCTATGTTAATAACAAATTTATCTTTACTTAAATGTAGAAAATATTGCATAATATAGATAGTTATTGATATTAATTAGGTACCTATTCATACATGTATAATAAACTGAATTTCACGTAAAATTATTTTTCATGTTTTTGTTTTTTCAGGAATGAAATATACAAGTAGGTAGATACCTATTTTCTAGAAATGGTGTACTTAGTTTTAATATTTTTATAATGTAAAATGTATTCAACAATAAAAAAGTATTAAAATAAACATATAAGATTCACGAATCCCGGACGAAAAGTTCGAGGACAAAAGGTTCATGGACAAAGTGTCCGAACTAATTTTTTTATTGATGGACAAAAAGTTCGAGCACATTTTTACATTCTACAATAATAATAATAATAATAATAATAATAATAATTTAAAATAAGTAACGTTTTGGAAAATAATCAATATAAATATTCATCAATTTTATACAAAACAATTTTCAGCCTACTATTGGAAGTTATTAAAGTAGCCGGAAATCTTTTTGAAATTTTATTTGAACATTTCCATCGAACACTCGAAACAAGTTTATGATAAACCGTAGATATATGAATACCCATTAAATAACTATTTTTAAATTTTTTTAATGTGGTATAAATATAGTTGAAAAATAATAATATAATTCTGTTTTTCGGATTTTTTCACCGACAATAAAAAAAAATGAGTGGACTTTATGTCCATGAACCTTTTGTCCCCGAACTTTTTGATCATTTACCAATATTCACATATTCACAATGGAATTTTTAATATTTATTATTATTTTTAAAATTAAAAGGGTAATAATTTCATTCCTGAAAATAAGAGTGAATATGTAAGTAATAATGTACTTAACATTTTAGAACTACTTAATTTTTAAATTTTCATTGAGAACGATATAGAGGACAACCAGTGTTTGCGAAGGTAGAAGATCTGGTTAAGTGTAAGTTTAAGACAAAGATGACCAACTCCAAGTATTTGGGATGGAGGCTAAGAAGAATATGAAAAAGATACCAAATTTTATCAATATTTTATTTGAAAATACATTATTATTGAGTATTAATTGTCAGAAAATTGATTGTTATTAGTTCTTTTAATTATTTCATAACAATTGTTGAGTCGAATCCCTAAATACATTGTATTTCAAGTGTTTTGTGTTTATATCAGTTATCTTCATAATTCTTTTATTGCCTGCCTAATGTACATAGCAAAAATAAATAAGACCCCTTAATTTTTTCTAAGTAGCTTCTTAATTAGCTTTCTAGCTTATTATTTAACCAATTGCAGTAAATTTCTGTGTTTGATTTTATAACGTTTGTATTTAACTTATTTAATTATATGTATACTAAAGTATGTGTCAAACACAGAATGAAATGAATAACTAAACAATATCAGTTAAAATAATAGAAAAAAAAGGCATATTGAAGTTTATTGAAACTACCTATTTAATTAATCTAAATGAAATTAAAAAAATAAGTACAAAAATAAAAATTTAACAAAAACAATAATACAAATTTTAAATGTAAAACAAATCAAACATATATTAAAATAACCATTATGTAAGTTAGTCAGGTTAGATTAAGAATTTCAACATAAAATAGTATAAAATCATAACATTAATAAAAACAATACAATACTGTGTGTATGCAAAATATAATTGAATAAGCAATTCCAATGCTTTAATAAAATTATTAGATTTAGTATAAAAATAAATTAAGTTATATAAAAAAAAAATCAACAAATTCTTAATCTAATATATTTTTAAAAATTGTATACATTTCAGTGTTAGGAACATAAAAATTATGTTAAAAGGTACATTTTATCTTATAATATATACTATACAAACCATGTTATAATAAGACTTGTAATATTGTGAAATTGTTTGTGCATTGTGAAAACATAAAAATTAATAAATTGAATTAAAAAAAAAAAAATTATCAATATAAAATAAATACCCAAAACCAAATATGAGTTAGTAAATAAATATCCTAATGCTAAATTTAATTTAAAAATAGTGCTTAATGTAGCTGCACAATTTCGTGAATTGTATTTATATAAGGAATACTCTCTTTTACAAAGATACGTTAATAATTTTTTGGTCCCAGGGAAAAAGGGCTTTGAATAATTTTTGACATTTTTTAAAAGTTTTTTTGTCTAATATAATTTGTTTTTATTTTTATTTTTTAGTCATAATTGCATAGATGTATTTATTTTGAAAATTCTATTTGTTTGTATTCAAAGCTAACTTAAGCCCTTCTTCCTTGGGACCAAGTATTGTAATTACTATGGTAATTACTTCACATAGTCATAATGCATTAATGAGTTAATATGCATGTCTTGGATAAATAATTTAATATAAAAACATTTGAAATATGCAACTGAGAAATGTATTATGTACAGCAAATGATTATATTAAATTATAGTATTATCTTTCAAAATAATTTAACTTGTAATGGACTGTATATATTTAATAATTAAAAAAAAAAAAAAATAGAAAGAATGTATAAACAAATTAATAATATCCCATAAAATGTTTTATTAAATCAAAGTTTGATTTAAAAAAACAATTATATATATAAATTTATGATTAACTTGTTTATACATAGTATTGTTTATTTTTTTTTTTAATTAATCGATAAATATATATTATGGAATTTTGAAAATAATTTATTTTGGTCAATTTATAAACGAACAATTTAAGAATATTCATACAATTAAATGCAGTCTGGAAGCAGTAGTGGTATATGGAATAGTATACGTGTATTTATTTGAGTTCTGTTGTTTGTAAATTATTTGTATTTTCGATGTCTTCAGTTGAAGAATTATGTTTTTGAAGAGATTTATATTTTGTAGTATATAAATCCGAAACATATAATGCCTAAAACATTAAGTTTATGTGTAATGAATACACTAAGTAAATAGATAGTAGGTGAGTCAACATGTTTTTCTTTATAAAATAGCTAATATAAGGAGTTTGGAAACACAGTGACTCACCTTGTATATAACATTAAGTATAAGTCTCAAGATGTCTGAACTTTTTAAATTCAAAATTGAATATATAAAGTTTTATACATTTGCATAGTTAGAAAAAAAAAGAACGAACACCAGTGAGACGTTATAATTGCATAGTTATTATATATTTATGTACAAATAGTATGTTTAATATTTCTAGAAATTATATAAATTTATGATTTTTATAATTTTTAATGTAATATTACAACCGTTCATATATTCATTATTATTTTAAGTTTAAAAATAAAACACAGAAGTTATTTAAATTTTGAGTTATACTTAAAATTTTTTAGTTATTAAATAATTCTTTCAGAGTATTAAACAAGTTATTGGACATGAACAAATCAGTCACTTTAATTATGGGTATTGATTGAAGACTTGCATACTTCATAATTCATATGTTTTGAAACATTAGTCTGTTTTATTGATTCGTGACAATTGTATATCTAGAATTCGTCAATATTAACATTTAGATTTATTATTAATTTATTAATATAAATTTGCCATTTATGTTATTTGTGTTGTGTTTTATATATCTATTGTACACAATATTATTAAGAACATATCCCAAGTCTTAAGTTTATCGCAGAGATCACCATAACATAATGTTATATAATAATAAAATCAAATGCATCTTTTTATGACAGCATAGTGTCATAAAAAGACTGTTATATGACATTTTAATCATTATATAAATGAAGATACTTTAATTATTTCTTATTGAAATAATATAAGTTTAATATTATTATTTAGTTTCAATTTTATTAGAAAAATAAACTATTATCGAATAAAATAATTTACAAATACAAATGGATATTCTTGTTTAATTTGTTCATTTTAATTATTAAAATTGAATGGTTATGATATTATTAATACAGTATTATACAAATGAATATATGAGCCATAATATTTCAGATAAAAATTTATAAATACAATAAAAAACAAAAAAAAGTATTAAAATCTCAGGAAATTCTCTCATTTTGACATATTATATTAAACAAAAAAAAAAAAATGTTTATCCTTAAAAATGTGTTATCACTCAAATAAATATTTATATATTGTTGGAAATTCAAGAAATTAGTTTTTTTCACAAAAATCCTACACTCTATGCAAAGGTAGTCCATTTACATTTATCTCCACAAACAGCCAGTCCACTTTTTAGGTTTTGCATAGAAACCAATGATAGTTGAGTGCATTAGAACATTAGAATTACTATTTTAAAATAATATTTTTAAGTTATATAAGTATTCTGTGAAAATGTAAAGTGTATATGATTATTTTTAACCAAATTACAACAAAATTAAAAAATGACTTCACTCTCCCACTTTTCTCAATTATACCACTTAAACACAATTTGATACACTTGATGACTGGAGCAGGATTTCTGGTAGAAAAGTTGTTTACAGACAGAAAAATTAAAAAAAACACATCATAGTTAAACTAATGCTCAGAATCTAAACATTTTTATAACAATGTCATCCATAAATGTTAAATTATTATCATTATTTCTTCTACAAATATGATGCATTTTGTAATTGTTAATATTAATATGCTATTTATTTTCAAATTAAAAGTGAAATAATAAGGTACTACTATTTAAGGAAATCCATTGAAAAAAAAATATATCCTTAGTTCTGTAAGTTTAAAATTTAAATAATTTGTTTAATATATATGTAATAAACATAATATAAAAAGTAAGTAAATATAGTTTCAAAGATATAATAAAATAGTCAAGAGTTTTTATCTTATTTTACCAGATACATCAGGTACTTTAAAATAATAGGTGCATAAATTAAACAAAATTGAATAGATAAATAAACTAATTTAATGTTATATCAATAAACTTCATTTATAAATTTGACTAAAACAGAAGATAAATTAAACATAATATATTATTTTAAGGCGATAACATTTTATATTAAAAATAAATTATTTACATAAAAGTTTAATGTGGTTTTTAAAAAGGTTATCACATTTAATCTTTACATTTTACCCGTTTAAAATTTTTTTTATTATTATTACAATTTATCATTTGGCTTACAGTTAGAATAGCAGCAGTAATTCCTAAAATTGTTCCAGCTAATACATCACTCCAGTGGTGTTTATAGTCACTGACACGTGATAAAGCACAAAATGCTGCCATTGAAATAGCCAAAAACTGAAATAAACTTTTCGCCATTGCATACTTAGATGTCTTAATCCGTGCTTGTAAATATAACTAATATGAAATATATAAAAAAAATTATTAAATTATTAAAATATTAAAATAAAAATGCACACTTACTGCCAAGTAAATCATACAATAAAATGATAGTGAAGAATGCCCAGAAGGAAATGACAGTCTGCTATCAGTATATTTTTCTTCTCTGAATCCAGTACATTTAAAATCTTCAATGTATTCAGTTTTACTAACATCACATTCAACATTAGGTTTACAAATATATAAAAAATGAGGTCTCAACCTTCCAATGGTATATTTGCCAATATCAGTAGTCAGTTGTGAACAAGCAGCACCAAATAAAAACCATAATAAATTGTTGTACACTGAATACAACCAATTTGGAATATTTGTTCCTAAAAGTGAATAACGTGATTGTTCATTATTTTGCAATGAATACTCAACAAACAAAATCTGGAATCATATTAAGGAGATTTAGATTAATAAAAGCCACATACTATTAAAGAATACTATATAGGTTACTAGACGTTTTGTTCAGTAGATAAATATCTTAAAAAATATAAATATAAATTATCAAATTATAAACACAGATTTATAAATGATATAATAGATATAAGATATGTATTTATTATATAGAAATAGTTGTTATCAATTTGAACTAATATCACAAATTATACAAACATAATAATATAAATAATAATATATAGGTTTTAGGTGATTTAATATATGTAAATATATATATATATATACTTTAATTGAATACATATCTTTAAATATTATTGAATGATGATTCAATGCATTAATATTTAATATATATTATATAATTAAATAATAACATGCTAAAATAATTTATAATATATATAAATATAACAATATATCGTAAATATTATGATTGTCAAAATAAATTAATTCCTAATCATACTTATGATTTATTCTAGTAGACAATTTTGATTTAATAAAGATATTATTTTGAAATAAAATTTTAACAAGAAGATTAAGATCAACTTTAGTATAAATCTGTTGAATCACATATATTATTGAATATGATGCATAACTATTTTGTTATATAATAATTATTTTAAATAATGATTATGAACTAGTCTTATATTAATCAGCTGAAACAAACTGGTATTTAAAACTTATTTTCATTTTCATTAATTTTTTCTTTTAAAAATGTGTTAGGTAATAAAAATGATGCAATGACAATGTTATCATCTGTTTGTTCTAAATAGTATATATAATAATATATATATATATATAACAATGCAATATATTTATTACCACTTAAAAACTAATGCTAAATAATTTAAATAGTAGTCTTGGTTAATAACATGAATTGTTACATACATACTCATGTGATTGGAAATTTCTACTCTATGTTAATTTACTATCCTTGATAACATATTTTAATTTTGATATTAATCATTTATTTGAAAATTAATAAAATATCAATAGGATATAATATCCTATACATTTCAAAATAATAATATTGTAGAAAATACAACAGTATTCATAATATTAATAAAAAAAAAAACGAATGAACTAAACTTCCGGTAAGCTTTGATATTACTTACTACTAAAGTGGGTAGTCCCAATCCAACTGAATATAAAACTTTAGATGAAACTGTTGATTCTTTAAATGGATATCGAATAGATTCATCACTGCAGAAGAATCCTCTATGATATGGAGATCCAAACATATAAAACATTAATACAGGAAATCCAACTAAAAAAAATAAAAATAAAAATAATTAGTTAAATAAAACGAATATAAATACATAATTAAAATAGAGTCAATTATTTGCTATTATTCACTCTTTTATTTTGAAAAACTTTATACATTTTAGAGATTATTTCTTTTCTTTTCTTTAAAATATATTAACTGATTATCTGTTTTTAATGCAAAAAATAAGATATTATCACCTAATTTAGCTTCATAAATATTAATAATAATAGTTTACAAGGTATTATCACGCTAAGAGATATCCTGAGCAGTATTTACAATAATTGTAAAACTAAATTAGTCTTAGATAATATCATATATTTTTCCAAAATTATGCATTATATGTTTTATCACAGTTTTTTTTATGATTTTCTTAGATATATTGAAATTTCACAGGAAACAACAAATTATTACTGCACTTGGGTACATCATTTTGGATTTTGGGTAGACATACCTAGATATTAATATTAGAGCAGTATTTTAATATCAGAAATCAGAATGCTTATATAAAATTGTGAAAGGATATTAAAACAAAACTAGTCCAGAGATCTTCTATAACAATCAACTATATGCAACTGTACCTGTTATTGTTTATTTGGGTAAGGAATAATTATATAATACAAAATAGGACAGTAACATTTTACTTTAGCGGTAGAGCAAAACAAAACAAATGAGAGGATTATATAAGTAAAAAAACTATAGTATAATATTTTGAACAAGTATAGCTGATAGGTTTTTTACGGCATAAGTGTTTATAAGTAAATAGGAAAATATAGGAGATAAAATATTTAATAATTTATTATTCTCTGATTGCAGTAAGAACTGTAATGAAAATAGAAAGTAAACTCAAGAGTGGATAGGTAGGATCTGTTTTCTTATAGATACCTATTTAAAAAACAAAATGTTTAGTCAGAATTTTATAATGTAATAGAAAAAATGATAAAAATAATTTAGAAAATAGATTATCTATGTAATTCAGATAGATGATTTCCAATTATCACAGTTAAAATATGTATTATTAAAAAGACGGACATATTTCACACGATGGGTGGGTCACTGTTGTAGGTGAGAAATCGGGAAGGTAAGATATAAGAGGAATTTAGTTTAAATCTGTACTCAATGATATATCATTTTTGACGGTATACGATTTTGCCGATTAATTTTTTTTTGAAATATCGTGATTGTTACACGATTTTCGTCAAAATTTGAACTTTATATGCTAATATATTCTTTTATGTACTTACATTTTACCGTTTTTCTTACTTTCTCCTCCAATTATAATATAAAAACTGTATGGAAAGTCAAAATTTACCTCCCTAAAGGACCACCCAAATAAAATTTTCTTACAGAAAAGGTAGTTGAAAATCGAAGCGAGATTTTTGGTAAAAAAATTGTTAAAAAAAACAATAATTATAAAACCATTCCTCGTTACGCTTCATACGGATAAAGGGGTCTAGGCCAAAATAGCGAAACATCATCAGAATGGACGTAAATATGAATAGGTAAAATAAAATATGATGAACTAAACATTTGGTTGTACACTCATTATCGGTAGGTATGTAAACAAATATTATTTTAAAAATAGATTGCGCATTGAAGTATAGGTAACAGATAATTTTTAAGATAAAAAAATCTAACAATACGTACAATTCAATAATGAAATATAAAATCCTGTGATTTATTATTTTTGAAATTGGTAGGAATATCAGTGCTATTAAGCTAGTGCCTACTCAATATTTTTGTACGTTTAACAAAATGTGTACATTTTTTTACATACATTTTAAACATTAATGTATATTCAACATCTACGCAATTGATTGTGATACTAGTTTGAGTAGTGTATTTTTTATAAAAAGTGTACTTTTTTACCGAACGTAGCTAATGTATAGACAATTAAGCATCTTGATAGTATTAAATAACAAAATAACATTTTTTGAAACACATAATGGAAAGATTAAAAAATGACTATAATTAATAGAATAGAAAAAAAGAACATTGAACTATGTGTAATCGAAGTGATTATTTGTCTAAACTTTTGATCGATACATTTTATTTTCGATTGTCTATGGATATTTTTTTTTTTTTTAGAAAAAAGCGTCTTTTTTCCATTTTCTTTTTAGTTTTCTAGGCAGGTTATTGGGAATATGGTGATTGATAACATACGGGAGTTTGGTGGCTTCTTGTTTGAGAAGAGTTTGGAAAGGAAGTTTCCAGGCCTGGATTAAGGGTAAGAGGGAAGGGGCAGAGGGGCTATGGCCCCAGGATATCGTATAATATTGTGGGCTCTTGGCCTTGGCGTGTAGTACGTTTCCTATATTACGGATAATGGAAATAATATTATTATTATTTATGCTATCATAATATCGTTTATTTTTACCAACATGATTATGGTAAGGAAACGAGAATACCGCCAATTATAAATATACGACGCACGACGATTGAAAATATTTTAATATATGAACTTATAGTTAATCTTTGTTATATTATAAATATATACCTACTTTAAAAATGTTGGGGGGATATTCAACCTCCCCTCTCTACATACGGACTTATGCTTCTATATTGTCTGTTTGGTACTTCGTTAATTGGAAGAATTTGTATATCGTGCAAAGTGTGTGTTGTTGGTCATATACTAAATGGTTCCAGTTATTTGATTAAGATCCGTTCTCTCCAATATAAACGCTTTCGTTTATCTGATTTTTAAACCCAGCTTATAGTTGATAACTGACCACGATTGGCCTGTTTACTTTTAAACTCCGTTTAAAAATTAACGTTTATCTTGGTGAGAGCGACCCTTGGACATATTGACTGTAAAGCCTGTATGTGTCTTATATCAGAAGGTTTGGCTTGGCTTCAAATTCAGATATCATATAACCAGAGAAAGGGATAATAATGGGCGGAGGAGGTGTAGACGAGTGTTGGATTGTTTCCTTTTATATTTTGTGTATTTAGTCAAAGTTACCGTTTGTTAAAAAGAACAAAAGATCTCTTAAGTATTTAGTTACATTTTGAATTTGTATAAGTATGGATATTTTAAATAGAAAAATTGTTACCTATAGTCTGTAGGTATACTTGTATTTGTATAATAGTTATAATAATATAGATATATTATTATAAATGAAGGATGAGGAAATTTGTTTTGAAAGGGGCGAACCGATTATTCATATCCCTTGCCTATTTGACTTTCTAAAATGAAATAATAGATGGTATAGATGATTGTAAAATAATAAACAAAAATTGTATGAAACTTGTCATAATAAATTCATGTAGGTACCAGAGAAGACAACACCATAGATCGCCTTAAAAGTGATGTCACCTTAAAATACCTATGGTTATTTTAATAATAATAATAAAAAATGGTCTATTGTTAAACTAGTTCAAATAAGTATCATTTTGTACTGTAAAAATGTAATAAAAATTATTACTGTATTTGTGAATATATTTGATTACAACCTATAAAAATTACTGATCAACTATTTTTAGATAATTAATTAAACAATTTAAACGCCAATGACTATTATCATAAGTATGCGCAGAACTAGACGACACCGGGTCAACAAGAGTTAACAAAGAACAAGAATATGAACAAGAATAAATAGTGGGTGCGTTAGTTTTTAACGTATTTCATTAATAATTTGAACTTGAAATGATAATAGAAAAAATATGGTACTAGGACAAATTAATTTTTCATTTAGCTATAAGATCAACGTATGGAATTTTTATGAATATTTTTACAAAGCACAACTAAATATTATCATTTAAATTAAACATTTAAAATAATTAACGTGAAAATATTTAAAATATTAATAAAATTACATAAGTCTGAGAATATTAATATTTGCGTTTCGTAAATATTTTAAATCTATAAGATTAATTCATACTGTATTGCAAAAAAAAAAAACCACGAAATGTCGTAATTTTTACAATTTTTGTCAAAATTTGATCTCAAAACAGACTAATGAAAAAAAAAACTGAAATTGAGGACGGGTGCGGGCACTGATGTAGGTAGAATGTAGATAGGAAAGTGGGATACATTAAATTATTAAATTATATAATTTATACTTGTAACCAACATAAATCAGTGTTATCGAAAAACGATTTGAATCGAAGTTCGGTTGTATCAACCTGTTTCAAAAGGTTGTAATATTTACGATTTGAAAATAATACACTTCGTACATTTTCTTTTTTTTCCTACGTTTTTCCCATTTATTATGTAAATATAAAAACTACTAGGAAAATCAAAACAAATGACCAGCCAAAATAGCCAAATATTACCACCCCTGTCAGATTTCCTTACAGAATAAGTTCTACATATGAAATTGAGTGAAAATCTGGTAGAAAAATTGTTCACAGATAAAAAAAAAAGAGAGAAAGAGTAAACATTATTGTAAAACCAATACATTTTTCGATACACTCAGAATTTAACAACAAAATGTATAATAAAATAATTATTTTCGTAAATTTTCCAGTACTTTCTATGCATTTTTCGGCTTTTCTCAATTTTTACAAAAACTATCTAAAAAAAAATGACTGTTTCATGAATAAGATTCAAAATACAATAAAAAAGGCATCTTGTCGTTTTTCTATTGAAGTAATATTTATGGTAGAAAACAACAGCAAAAGTTTTAAATAACAAAAAAACAGGCTAGGTGCCTAATAGAATAGTAAATAACACAATATAAAAGTACATTAAATTACGACAATATATAGAAATAATAAAATATAGTAAAAAAAAAAAAAAATAATAATAATAATAATAATAATACAACATAATCAATAGTGGCAGACAAAATAATAATAAATAGGTGGCGGTAATGACCCAAAAAACTAATATAATAAAATAAACTAAGAAAAACTTAGGTGCTCATTAGTCAGATGCATCATACGATGGATGGGATTATTTTTACCATAGTTATTGTAATGAAAAGGAACAGAAAAAGAAGAACAGCATCTAATTGAGTGAGTAGGAACTCTGAAATTTCTTAAAGAAAGGAGAGAAGGAACATTCAGATGACCATCTTACCCAAAAATACTAAATTTGTTTCAACTCTTCTATCTGCTAAAGACGTAAGACCAAGTTTATTCATTACTAGGTTAGTCATGAGATAGGAGGTCATTTTTTGATTTTCCTAGAATTTTCCCCAATAAATAGGGAAAACCGAGAAAAAACATGGGAAAACGGGAAAATAGGTACAATATTAAAGAAATATTATCAAAAAAAAAAAATGAATGCCTATGTAATCATTTTACCGTCGTATGACATATACATTGTTGACAAAGCAACACTATTAACCGAATTCCGCTCAGAATTACTTTTCGTTAACAATGATTAATCGTTGTGTGTAGACTATAGATATACATTAAATTTCCCCTCTAGTAACTTCCCAACGTCTCACCTACAACAGTGGTCCACCCGCGTGCGAAGTATGTTTGTATTGTTTTATTTATGTACCTAAGTATTAAAAACTATTTCACGAGTCAGATTTAACTTAATTAATTATTTACTATTAAATTGGAACTCGTAAAAATGAAGAACTTACAACATTGTCCAGCGAAAAAACTAGCATAATTTGATAGGAAATCAAATACAAAACATAAAAAAATCGAATTATATCTATAAGTTGTAACAACCAAACTTAATTATTTGTTACACAATTGTAACTAAATACTTATATATAATTGATTAATGTAATCTAATAAATAATTATACAAAAAACAGATTGATTATTTAGTAAATCGCATGCAGTCATGTCGTGTACAGGCCACAACGAAGATTTGTGTTTCAATTTTAAGATATAAATATATATGTAGAAGCATTAAAGAGCGTATACGTGCGTATCTGTATACTTTTTACAGGGTAAATAATCCGTATACTCTTAAAACAACACTTAGTAAAACAGGTTTAATTTTGATAAAATTGAAAAATGTTAATATCACTCATTAACATTTCTAGTCGGCGTGATATTCGTTGATTTTTATCCATTTCGAAATTTAAATATTTAATTAGTCTGATTATCATAATGCACTATGATTAAAATATAGTTAATTACGTCCTAATATGGCATTAATTTATTAAACTGTATTATTCACCATATTTTAGATTCTGAGAGCAACGAGGAATGTATTGGTGTGCTTCTTTTTTTTTCTATTCGTAAATTACTTATTTATAATAGAAATCTTGTTTCAATCAATCGACAAGAAAGCTTTTTTGTAGAATTTTGGTTGAATATAGTTGGTGTATTTAAGATGTAATTTTTTAATATTTCTATCCTTTTTTTAAAAAATAATAATGGAACACAGGAAAAAACGAAAATGACGATTTCACATTTTTTAATTTTGATTTTTTATTGTAATTCAGTTAAAAATAATCGTATACCTAGATCTTTTTTTATAGAATACTTAAATTAATTTTTTCTAAAGTGCCTGGTAAAATTTTGAACACGTTTAGATGATTTTTGTGTTAATTATAGGCACTTAAATTTGAGCGTAATGTAGTATTATTTATAAGCATCAAAATGAACTTTTAGAACGATGTTATTAATAGTTTTTATAAAACTACATAAATGCCTACCAATTTTATAATCTTAGAAAATTAATCACACGATTTTATATTTCATTATTGAATTATACGTATTATGTAGATTTTTATAATTTTTTTATTTTTTTTTTGTCTTAAAAATTATGTGTTGTCTTAACTTCAAAGTGCAATCTATTTATAGAATAATATTTGTTTACATACCTGCCGATAATAGTTGTTTACTGTTGAATAAAATCATTAGATTATATGGACTATATCATATATCATAATATATCAATGATTCTTCCATAAATACAACCAAATGTTTAGTTCACCATATTATATATTATTCATATTTTCGTCTATTCTGATGATATTCGCTATTATGCATGATCGATTATTTTAAAATTCGCTATTATTAATTTACGGTTATTTGTTTCGTTATTTTGGCTTAGACCCCTTTAATCCGTATAAAGCGTAACGAGGAATGTATTGGTTTTATAATTATTGTTTTTTTTTATATTTGTGAACAATATTTTTAACCAAAAATATCGTTTTGATTTTCAAGTATACTTCTTTTTTATAAGAAAATTTGAATTGAATGGTACTTAAGGGAGACCATTTTTTGACTGGTCATATAGTTTTTATAACAATTGGGGGAAAATAGTAAGAAAAACAGGAAAATGTACGTATATACAAGAATATGTAAGCATTTCAAGTTCAAGTTTTGACAAAAATCGTTTAAAAATCACATTTCAAAAAACGAACCTATTCAACGGAGTTCGGTTGATATAGAATTGCTTTGTCAACAATATATATGTCAAATCATGGTAAAATAATTACACAATATGCATTAAACATATTTTCTTTGATATTTGTTTAATATTGCACTTATTTTCCTACGGTTTTTCCCTGTTCTTCTCATTTATTGGGAAAACTTCTAGGAAAATTAAAATATATTTATATTGTACTACCTCAGTCAGATTTCCTTTTAAAAGTGCTATTATTGTAAATTGGAGCAAAATTATAGGTAGGAAAGTTGTCCACAGGTAAAAAAAATAAACATAATTGTAAAAGTAATTATATTACACTTAATAGGACGTTATATCCACATCTACTATCTCAGTATACACAGAATAAATAAAACTAGCTTAATTTTGATTTTAGAGTAAAAGTACCTATTATACAATTTATAGAGAATAATATTTTGCAGGGAATGCTATAGGTTTTTTTTTTTAATAAAGAAATATTAAAAAGTTGCAATTATTTAAAAAAAATAAAAAATAAGAACTGATATTGGACATGGGAGCGGCCACTGTTGTAGATAAGAAGTTGGGAAGGTAGGATACATAAAGTTATTTTATTTATATCTCTAAGCAACGATATTCATTGCTGACGAAAGACGATTCCGAGCGTAGTTCGGTAATATATAATTTGAAGTGCCGTCATATTTTTGTGATTTTTGTTTAAATTTGATTTCAAAACGCTTATTAAAAAGAAAAAAAAAGTTGTTCAATGATTTTGGAAATTTTACTACGTCTAGCTAAGTCCAATATAAGTATTATTACCAAGTTTCAAGTCTCTACGTGTATTTATAACCGAATTTTATCAAACAAATTTCCAAACATTAAAATTCCTTAAAAGCTCAAAAGTGGCTCAAAAGTTTTGGCAACGATACCATAAGAAAATAAATCAAAAAGGCGACAAAAAAGGAATCTTATGAGTTTTCGATTAAATCATTTTTTTCTGGTAGAAATTGTCGTTCGTGTTTTTATAAAATAATGAAATTGTAAATTTTCCTACGTTTTTTCACACGTAAATGCATTTATTTAAAAAATAGCGTCGAAAATCAAAAAATAATCTCTCTAAAGTACAATTTTGACGACTTGAGCTTTCGAAAAGTTGCTATACGTAAAAAAAAAAAATATGTCCATAGGCTTGAAAAAAAAAAATAAAGATAAAATAAACATCTTAGTAAAACCAATAGCTCCTTCGCTACGCTCGGAATCTGAAAAGTTTTTGTATCTTTTTATATCGATCTTTATATATTGAATAATACAAAAACCCTATGAAATTCCCTCCGAAATATTAATCTATACATTTCATAATAAATAAAATCAAAATTGAACTAGTTTTATTTTTTCTGCGTAAGCGTTGTTTTTCTATGTATACCCACTTAGTAGTTGGACTGAGACAGTAGATGCAATGTCCTCTAACTTTCTAATTATTTCGGACGGTAAATAAAACATAGTATTATGATGGCAATCGTGTTCATCGAGTATTTTTGTTGGACCGAAACAATTTTATCCATACTAATAAAAAACTAAAAACTAGACAATTTCAATTGACAAAAAGCTCAAAAATCGCCAGAATGTATGTTAACAATTTTACCGCTCATAGAATATGTATTAATTATAATTATACGTAGATAATTTTAGGTGTCTATGATTATTTTTAATCGAATTAAAGAAAAAAATCCTAAAAACAAAACAAAAACGTTATTGAGTAAATTTTCCCGTTTTTCCTAATTATTAAGAAAACTAATAGGAAAATAAAAAAATGACCGACTCGATGTATACCAACTATACAAAACTTGTTTGCCACTAATCAACCTTAAAGACGATCGGAGTAAGATTTCTCGATGGAAAAGTAGTTTACACGATAACATAAATCAACAGATAAAAGAAAAAATGTTTTACGCTAATTATATTTTATACGAAATCGTTTATAAATCAAAATGATTGGGCAATAAAATATAATTATAAACAATTTTCATCATATAATAAATTTGAACAGTAGCAGATCCGGGGGAAGGGACGATTCCCCCTTCTCTCTTCCACTCTCCAATATACTTTTAGCTGCATTACAGTCTTAGCTTAATTCATCATTAATCTCGTCATAAATGCGTGTCTTATATGCATTTTCAAAACCGCCCACCTCTTTCCCCCGTTATCTTGTCCTGGATCCGCAATTGAAATTGATATTGTGTGGACATGGAATGTAATATTAAAATATAATATATACTGTTATTCTAACCAAACCGATAAAAAATGTTTGTCGATGTGCGATAACACACGTGGTTAATATTTTTTTTTTCTGGTCTTTTAAGATATATAATTCGTGGATGCTGAGATGTCCGAATGTCATTGGTTTTTTTTTACCTATATATAGTTACGTATTAAAATATATGTATTAGATAAGTATTAGAAAAAAAAAAATATAGGTACCTAATATATATTATCACCATCATTCAGCAATATATAATATTGCAAAACACATTATTATTATAGTATGACGTAATAGATGTAAACTTAGTTCACAAGTAACACAAAAAATTCCAATAGTAGGTATGCATTAGTACTTCGCATTTTACAATACCTGGGTAGGTGCCTGTATAACCAAACCGTTAGGACTAGACATGCCAACCTTCGGGCGCTACAAAACGACATACAATTATTATGAATCACCGACGTATATTGGTGCGATGACTGAAACGTTACTACTGTGCTATTATTTATTATAATGTACACGAACACGCATGTTAATCTCAAACTGAATTTAACTGAATAATATTATCTATTATTATTCGCGCTCGATCGGCCGGGCGGTCCAGCGGCGGAGGCCGGCACGTAGGAAACGGACGAACGAAAATTCGCTCAAGACGTGTTAGCTAAATGTCCGCGCCGTATAGACGCACCAGCTATACTTACGTCGGCGAAACTGACGAAGGGTCGTATTTTATAGAAAAAAAACAAAAAACAAAAAACAACGTATTGTATCTCACTTTGTGGACGTGGGAAAATTAACTGGCCGTCGCGCAGTGAGAAAAGTAGGTTCTTATAATACTCGCTTGTATACTATTTCACATGCATAAAAATGCACGCATAACTACATTGAAGCGAGTACAATGATATATAATTACAATTAATTATTATCATCCGCCGGGTCGACAACTACCTACCTAGGCACATATTTCCTTCAGGGCGGAACTTTATTTTTGTAAAATATAACGACACGTCGCGGATGGGCGGTTAGGTGGTGGTGGTAATGGTGTAGGGGGCGCGAGAATTAAATATACGATAATTGTATTTTTTCGTAAAAACTATTGCCTAGGTATATAATATTACAAAGATGAGATACGTTTTTTTTTATAATAACCATTACCAGTAATCCACGAGTTTCACTTCTACCCCTACCGGCCCCTAGCCGGTACCTATATAATATTATTATCAGCTACTTACAGATCATTGGTATTTATACATCGCTGGGAAATAAAACCACCCTCAGGCACATGCGATTTCGTAGTACGTGGTTCTCGGTACAAAGGTACGTCGTCAAATTTCACCAAAATGCCATACGTAGAGCTACATAGGCGGGTGATAATTTGCTAAGTTTGCGGGGCAACCGAGTAGCAAACTTATGTCGGTATTAAGAATGGTTCGAACGGTTTTTTGTTCATCGCCAATAGGTACGGCTGTTTTTGCCATATTGAAGATACGGTAAATCAGTATATTTTGTTTAAATTCCGTACAGTACGTGTTTTAAAAATTGTCACGGTTCCAGAATCCATAAACCGTGTAACCTCCCTCTTAATTTTCCGCTTATACAGAAATACCTATTATAAAACTAAACGAAAGTACTCGCTACCCACCTATTTACTCTTGGAAATGCAATGAAATTATTTTCCAATTTGACGTGCGTTTACGCCCGCATAAACTACAGAAACCTCATATTTTAATTAAATAACACCCACAATTAAACTATGTAGGTTAGGTGCCTATTTAACCAAGAACATACTACTATTTGTATAACGTTATTAATTATTATACACCTAAAAATAAAGTATTTTATTGTTACATTTTGAATTTCATACTAAGGGTTACCCATATAATCATTTGGCTCCTGTGGACTAAAAACGGTGAAAATACCTTCTTATGACTATTAAGATAATAATTGTATGTTATAATTATGCAATTAATAATAATTATTCAAATTAATATAGTAATTATCACCTGTACAAACGAATATTTGTAAAGTTAAACTAACAATTGAATACGTTTTATCAATAATATTATAACGATCGACTCTTACCGGACACGGTTAGGTAGATTTTTTCTAAACTATTAATTTGGTATTATTTTCTCTTACCTAAACTCAGGCACAGGATATCGACGATCACTTTGCGGAGCAGTTTTTTCGAAGCTTTGTCCATGACTACGGCAGTTTTTTCTACGGTACCCGGATGTCTGACCGACAGAAAACTGCCGGAAAAGTACGTGGACAACAATCAAATGACACACATTAACGTCAACAACGAACCACTGGCCACTACTAACTGTAAGACTATGTGAGACGCGAATATTATTTACTATTACAAGCCCAACAAATCTATCGTTATTACTAGTTTTACATCAAGGTACGCTGCGATTGGACGTTCCAAGTAAATACGTCCCCACCGAATCGAAACGATCAAATGATAAATTGACGTATCGTCAAACGTCGTAATCGACGGGATGACGTGTGGCCTGTGAAAATAATATTTCAGTGCACTAGCGTAGTTGTGATAAAAATCAGTGTAAGAAAAACAAATGAAAACCCATAACCTCGACGACCGTCGTGGCAGTGTTACCAATTATTTAAATTTAAAACAATAAAGTGGGCTGCTGGATCTCTAGAACACCACATTGACCTATTATTATAAACGGAATATTCTCTATTAGCTGTGCGCTATCAAATACCTTTGACAATTAATAAGGGAAGTCCGTTGGGTTTTTTTGAGGACACAGTTATTTATTTCGCACTCCATATTATTGCCGGTCGTCTGCTATACTTTTGCCCGTATAAATGACACGCATACACCCTTCTTCCGCTCATCATTCATCACCATGGACCAATATGGTACTGATCTTTTGCCGTTTTTCATTGGTTTACGATTACGATTCCGTTTACTGAGATCATTGATTACAAAATGGACCATGCCACTCTATAATCAATGCTGTGAGGTTAAACCGTGAATCGTAATAGCAAATTGTGTTGTAGCTTAATATTGTAATTCAAAATACCGCCAAAAACGATAAACCAATCGGACGGTGAAAGACTAGTGCCATATTTGCGCAGTTCGAGACAGATTTACGCCTATTGATATCGTACCTAGTGTAATGGTTAGGTTGTACGAGTTGAAGGACACATCTACATAGATTGAGCGTTCACTACTTTAGTAAATCGATGTTAGGTCATAGTATGGGCGTGACATACGGTTCGAAGAAATGCCGCCGAAGTGCCACGGCCGATTCGCAATACGCCGCCGGGGAGTGGCGTCCGGTAATACTGCACAGTAGTAGTCGAGACTATAAGCAAAATAGTTGGAACATTTGTAAATAGATGTATAGAGTCGCGCGGTAGTATTGGTAGTACCGTACCCCGCGGCTATCCGCTCCATCTACGAGGACAAGCGCACCGATGTTGCCAACCTGACTCGGTATACACACCGTACGCTGTACGCACTAATGCATAGTGAAAGATACGCGGCGCAGTACTCGCACGTCCCGCATTCGTCGCAGTTCAGCAGTTAATCATCTTCGGATTGTTGCCACTCGCTACTCGCTAGTTTTGCCCATTTTGTTAAACGCGTCGCAGGCGTAGTTTTTATGGAACTTTGCACCAGCAGTTTGCATAACGCAAAATCATTCATTTTTCATCTACCGTCAACACCAATCGACCCACGCCAGAGTTCGGGCAATCAATGCGTTTTTATGGAACACATCATACGGAACACTTAGCACAATACACATTAAATTATCACCATCGTCGTGGCCGTATAATTGGCATTCCGTGCGTTCACGTGTGTTTTGTAGGCGGCCCCCTTGACACCGTTTGTGTTTCGCCAACATTTTATTTATTTTGGTTTGTTTTGCTCTTGTACTTTTACATTGTCCTGTGCGTAAAACATTATTATAATTTTTTCGGAATTAAAAAAATTTAAAGAATAAAAATCACGTTATCACGGAGAACAATGATAATGGAATATTTGTTTGGCTATGGAAGAAACGAAAATGCGCCAACGAGGTATTATCCTTGAAATCGGCGTCGCCATTTTCGTCGTATACCGACATTAAATGCTGCGCAGTGCGCACGATCGAATGAAACCTCGTTGACGAGTTACGTTTACGTACACGTATACTTTGTTACTGACCGGGATTCGGGACCTTGATTCGCCGCCGAAACAGATCGATTTTACTTTGATTTTAATTTAATTTTAATTCTATTTTAACTACATTTCTACAGAAACAAAAGGACATGCATCAAAACGCTACGACATTGATATTATAGTCTAAAACTTACTTTTTAAAAAGTATTTTTTAACAATAATTTATTCTTTGTTAATTTACACTGGGCCAAAACTATTGTAAATCTTAAGAGTAACTACGTTCAGAGGCGCATACCAAAAAACACTATGGTAAGTTCGAGGCTATTATTTGCCCTGCCCTATAAAATATAATTTGACCTTTGGCTGACGTCACTTCAGTGATTAGTCAGTAGTCGTTAACAATAATGAGACATTATTAATAAATAGGCAATTAAAATAAAACTCAAAAGAACTACAGACTGAAAAGTTACTGATATTTAACGTTGTATTTGCTGGTGGCTTACATTGAAGTCCGTATTACAGTGATAGTTATTACGTGTATATATTTATTTTTAAAAGTATTCCTTTTGTATCCTTTTATGAATGATAATTACTCGAGAAAAATCCAAAGCTGGTCTTTCTTTAATCCTGGTTAAATTAAATATTCGTTGATATCTTGGAAATATTCAACATTATATGCGTACTCAATAATATACTTAAATCTAAAAACATTATCTACAAACTTCATTGAGTTTTATATTAGGTATTTGGAATTTTGTTGGTTTTGTGCTTGTAAATCAGTTGATTATTTTAATGATTTTATTTTTAATTTTCAATATTAACATTTGTTATTTCATATTATGCTCAATTTTCTTTCTATCACTGTATTACTTGTGGTATTCCGTACAATTAAGAAGCATACAGTTTACTTTTTGTTTTGAATGGTCTGTTATTGTAGTCTTTATAATGCATTCGAATAGCTTAAATTATAGATCAAATATTTTTATTAAACATTAAAATTAATGAATGTTTATGATTTGAATTGCTTTAAGTATGTTTTCTTTGAACAATATTTTAACAATTTTCATAATCAAATAGAATATATAGAGGTATCTATTCATTTAACAGTGTATTTATAATTAAATTATTATTTATACAAGACTGTTTTATTATAATTTTTCCAGGACCTGTCGTAGATGTTTGGAGAATTTAATTAAAACAACTGGTCATGAATGGATAGTTAAAATTAAAATTGTCTGGGGAAAATATATGATTAAATAAATTTGTACTAAAGAATTCAAGGATTTTTGCTTTGAAATATTTACTGTTGTTTAAAAAAAAAATTCTTTTTAATTTGTATCATTAGAAGAGATGTTCAGCGATGTTCCTAGTCAAACTGTTCAAACCTTATTTTTAACAAATTAATTAAACATCAATTTCTAAAAATTTATGTATACTGTATAAACAATCTAAAAATGTGGCTAATATAATATAGGAACTTACAATAATAATTCCTTGGAGTTCCATTGTCTATTAAAATATGCATACACATTTCCAAACAATATCAGTTATTATTTAAGATAAAGTCATACATTTTATTTTATCATTGCATTGGAAATTATTAATTTTAGATGTTTTAAAAAAAAAGATTATAATTGCGTTATTTCTTTTATTTATAAATTTAATTTTTAAAAATTAAGAGTATACTGCATCAAAATCTTTTGTCTCCATCTTACAAATGCGAGATATAATAAATCTGTGTTCAGTAGGACACATTTTATACTGTTGGTTTTATTATTAAAATAATTTAACTCATTATCAAACCTAAAGGTAAGATTATCATACATGCCTAGCATTGATTTTTTTCTCAATATTTTAATTTTTAAGCAAGATATCATTTAAAATTATGATTGTGATGCCATTTAAATTATAAATATCTAAAAATCACCAATGCCAGAGCACATATAATCTTACCTTTAATTTTGGTAATAGGTCTGTTTGTGTTAATATTAAAACTAACGGCACAAAATGTTTCCTACTGAATGCTCATTTACTATGCTTCCTGTTTGTAAGATAGAGACAGTGGATGTTTGGGTGGTGTCTTCTTAAAACTGTAACTAAAGGTAAGAATTAATATGGTTGCCTCTTAAAAAAATTTCATTTATCCAGTGGGCCAACTTAACTTTATTTAATTACTTCTCAGTTAAAAGTACTGAATTTTTTGTGTAGAATACAGTTTTCAATTCATTATTTTTTTATGAATAATAATAATAATAATATTGTTTATTAGTAAATAACTATAATACATAGAATACATAAAGTACCATACAGTATATATAATAAATAAAATAATATAATACAGAATATAATTCGTAATATTTTCAAATCTCCTGTAAGCTAAAAGCTTGTTGTAATGGAGAGTTATTAAAAGAGTACATATATAATCAACAAAATAATTATGGTTAGTCTAAAGGTTTACACAATTTCATTTAAGTTCACCAACTTTAATAATCGTTTAAAATATTTTAGGTTTTGAAATTTAAAAATATTGATTTTAAGAATCCTATACAAATTAATAGCAGCCTGAATAGAATTTTTTGCACCAAAATGTAAATTTTAGGAATTTTTATAATACTCTATCTTGTACTATAGTCATGGTTAACGGTTGCTATAGTATCATGCCTATATTTATATAAAGCAGTTAAGATATTTATCAAATATAAAACTTTGATATTATATACTTCAAGTTCACAGTAAACATATTCATTATTGGTATATTTTGGTGTATTCAATAAGAATTTGATTAGGTGATATACAGTAGTTTTTAATGTATTGGTATATGAACCATATGCCTGACCCCATACAATTATTCTGTAATTTAATACTGATTGAACAAGTGATATGTATACAAATCTTTTAAACATAATTTTTGGTTTTTTGGTTGGCTGTTCAAAATAATATTTATTTATGTTTGAATATTATGATCCAATTGTCTGAATATTTATATACAGTTTTTGTTGTAATTCAATACAAATTAATTCAAAAGACATGACATTTTTACTGAATACCTAGTTAATTTATAATTTTTGGCACTTCCTAGATTTGATACAATTTTCAAAATATTCTAAAGTTAGACTAGACTTTTGAGTTTTATGTTTTATGTGAAAATTGGTAGACAGTTTGTTAAAAGGTTCAAAACATTCAAATTTGAATAAAAAGGGCAATAGTTTAGTAAATATATTAATTTTTAATGTATGTAGGACATACCATAGGTACTTATTCAAATTTTTTAATCTTCCGTTATTTATTTTTAGAATGTGTATAAATATTTAATCAAGAAATGTATTTCTATTCCAGCCTCCAATTGATCCTATGCAGTTATTGAACTGCTTAAAAGTATTGTTGGATGAAGACACAGGCGGTCTTAAAGGTCCTCAAGAAGCAATGCAGATTTCTAGGTAAGTTAACTATTAGATTAATCATAATATTTTGAGTAAGAATTTTATATATTTAGTGGTGGCGTAAACTGGGTTAAATTGACGCAACTGTGTCATGAAAAAAAGGTGGGTGATATTTATGGTTGAGTAGATACTAGATACTTATTTATATTTATTATATTATACTTTACTTTTTATATTTTGTGTTAATATAAAAAGGAGAGTGGGTGTTTAAAATTTGTACTGTGTCATTGAAATAATAAGTTCACGTCACCACTGCATATATTACATATAATTTATTTTGGTATGTTACACATATATTTTTAAATGTTGACCATAGTAAAATATTTATTTTTTTTTTTTTTGGGGAAAAGTGCAAATAATCTTGACATAAATAATAGGTAGGTCATAGGTGTGATCATAGTCTCACGTTATCATACAGTGTGCACATCTCCACACTCAGCCTATGTCATAATTTTCCATTTTTATTGCATTGGCAATAACGGCAAGTGTTGGCCAATAATAAGTGGAGATCTATGATCATACCAAATACTATAGATATATAGTATTTTATGGTACCTATCTATTTTGTGTTAGGTATATAAATAATATTGCAGTGGTTTATAAAACATAAGAAATAAAAAATAACCAAATATGTACCTATTATTATTGTAAAACAGTATTTAAAGCATTGAATATTACTCATATAGGCTTAAATATAACGGATCTATTGATTAGTGGCCCGTGTATTTCCTTATTAGAGTTCAGTCTATTCTAATAAATTTTACTGTAAATGTAACTTATTTAATGAGATACAGTGATTTTAGTTATAAATTATAATAGTTATATACTTCATATAATAATGATAATATTTGTTTTTCATTGGTTTAACCAAGAATTTGTTGTACATGTTTGAACGGTAAAAACTAAAATTGGAAAAATGTTGTACATATTTTAATCCTTGAACTATAATATAATTATTTAAATTATACTTTTTTTTTTTGCTTTATCTAATGATATTTAATCTTACTGTGATTAAAAAGTATTGGGTTGAATGACTGATAATGAAAAATGAAATGATATAATATAGAGTATAATAATTCTTCTTCTTCTTCTTCTTTGCAATCGACCATTAATCATGCATTCAAACATACATCTTGCCATTTCACTCTATCCATCGCTATGATATTCCATTCGGCCCTTGGGTTTATTGTTTGCACGTCCTTCCTGACTTGGTCTTCCCATCTTAGTCGGGGTCTTCCTAAGGGTCTCTTTCCTTGGGGAGTCCCACATTGAACCATTCGTATTAGAGTTCCTTCTTTTCTCCATGCATGTCCTGCCCATTGGAGTTTCCTTTTAATAATAATTATTAATTAGGTAATATTAATCAATTAAAAAAAAAAAAAAAAAAAAAAAACACATTTACTTTGCATAATGGTTGGGCCACTGTTCTAGATAAGAAGTTGGGAAGGTAGAGAGGAAATTGAATGTACATCTATATGTAACAATTAACCATTGCTAACAAAAAACAATTCTGAGTGGAGTTATTTATACATGTTTTGAAAGGCTGTAATATTTATGATATACAAATAATACATTTTGTACATTTTCCTGAGTTTTTGCCGTTTCAGGTTTCTTTTCAGAGATAAAAAAAACTTTGTAAAATTAATACATTCCTTGCTTCGCTTGGAATATAAATACTAATATAACAAGATAAAACATATATAATTTCTGTTAATAACAAAATAACATAAATTATTAAATTAAGGTAATCCATAGGAATGTTGATTGTATTCTATCAGTCTAGTGATAAAATTTAATACTGTAAATTTATGGTGAAGTCTGCTGATATTTGCTTAACATGTCTAATATTTTTAATTTGTCTCCTTAAATTTGACTATTACAAAATTGATAAAAATTGATATACTTTTCATCTTGGGTAGGCTATTGTATGAAATTATTGTGAAAAAAAGAATAAAAGATTTTATGTGGGGCTCTGTTAAAGAATTTTCGGTACTTCAGTGTTATTTTGACTACCTCTGTATATGAATCTATTTATAAATGTATATTCCTGTGTTGTAATCTGTATACAATTTATATTTTGTTTTATATCTGTATATATTTCGTCAGTCAGTTGACAGTCTTTGTATTGTCCATAGTATAGTAGCCAGTTATTATATACTATATAGTACCTACGTGCTTTGTCTTCGTAAAAAACAGAGGGGAACAGATCGCCATCATCTAGATTCATACCTGACTGAATTTATTTGGCGACAAAACTTTGCAAATGATCCACCGTTTGATAGAATTCTAGTGGATATTAAAACTAACTTTCCTCTGCAAAAAAATTATTAACTAAATGTTTTTTTATTTTATTTTTGCTTGAAATTGTAAATTGATTGTTTTTATAAGTACACTTTAGTTTTACCAGATTTTTTTTACTAAATTATTATTTAATTTTTGCTTGACATTTTAAAATGTTAACTAAATTTTAATTAAACATTAACAATATAATACGAATATATCTTAATTTTTTGTTTGATAAATTGCGGTACTAGTCGAGATAACACGGATAATAATAATAGATAGTCTTGAAAATATTTTTGGTAGGTGTGATAACACGGTTGTGCACCCAAAGTAGTCAAGATAACACGGAGGTACCATTTTTTCTTTGTTTTAATAATTTTATCTACAAGCACTTAAGAATATTAGGTGTTTTTAGTTGTGACTTACACCAAATCTTTTGTTAAGTTTGTTAGATTCGATAAAGTTTAACATATTGCACATGTTTGAATATTTGATGTTAAGACATTTTGCAATATTTGATAGATTGGCTTCGTTTCTTTCTGAGTTGAATTGATAGCATTCTAATAAAAGATATTTGAAAGTAACTCGAGTTTTCTATGACATACAGAGGTCTGGCCCCAGGGGGGGTTTTGAGACCTTGGCGAAACAATTAAATTTATTATTCTAATATTATTGATTGATAAGAAAAAAAATGTCCTCTTACCTCCTGGGGGGTGTCCTCCATAAAGACCCTCTTGTTTGGCTCATGGATGTTTATGTCCTATTCTGAGTTGTGTTAACATCTTCACTCATTATGTGAAATCTCTGTGATCCATCTATCAGGAGTAGATTTTATTTTCTCAGTGTATTCCATGTGTAATGATAGGCATTTATTATAGGTTTTTTATTTTACACTAATAAATTCTTCCTTTTTTACCAGTTTGGAAAACTTGTATTGGACATTGTATTAATCAGAATTTCTTTAGGGTCAAATAGTCACTCCAGGACCTCCCCCAGGTTTCTCCCATTTTTTAAAAATTTTTTTTAATGCCATTAGAGTACAATAAAAATGTTGATTATCATAGTAAGACATTCAAAATAACAATTGAACAAAAGTAGGCCCATTACAAATAGTAAGAAATAAAATAAAAATATCAAAATAAATCATAAATGGAAGGAGGAGTTTTCATTGGCAAGTGACATGATACGTCTTGGAGGTGCATTCTGTAAATACAGTCAAACTTGCGATGTAATGATATAGTGTCCGCATTATATGTGTTGGTCTGAATTTTAATATTGGAAAATGCAAATCTATGCCATTAACTAGAAGGCATTTTTACATTAAGTATTCGTGCAAAATTAGCGTATCTTTCTTAATATCAGTTATTTCTGTTGAAGATCATTAGTATTCCCATTACTTTTACCTTGGGCTTACCCCTCACATAGAGCTTGTGCTGTAAGGCTCTAAAAAATGTTGGGCTTAAAAAACGTGTTTCGAGTGAGTTTAAACTTGTGGCTACTATAAAAGCTATTTACTAATCTTTTGTTTGCTCTATTTTAGAGTTCTCTTCAGTGATTTTGGACCCGTACACTGCTACTTTGTTTTAGCCATTGAGAGTGCAGTGTTGTTTTTTTGCTTTGTGACTTACATTTTTAATATCAAACATTCCCAGCATGATTGCACTAGCGTCCTTAGCTACCTTTCTCTTGATTCACTTGCAGACAGAAGAGTATTAATATTCGATTGTTGAGTAAGCTATTAGATGGCTCTATTAACTCCCCTTCCCCCCTTTCCCAAGTAAACTTCAGTGTTCCTCCTCGTGCCTTTCACGCTCCCTTTTATGTTCCAATTCATATTATAATTCATAACCAGACTAAACATTGTATGCAAAGAAAATCCCAACATTTTCAATTTCTAAATCTGCATGTTTTATAGTACATATATATATATACCTTATATTCAGTGTTTTTTTTGTTCTATTATCATTGTTAACTATCATTTGTACTTTTAGTATTATGGTTAGTTGTTTAAGGATTGGTAATCTAATGCTAAAGAATTTTCTATGTAACAGAACTACTACATTTCTATGTTAAATTGCCCGTTGAGATATAAATAAATAAATAACAAAGTTCGATATATGAAACTTCAAGAATCTCGTGATGTAACAAAAAAATTAAATGTATTTTAGTTCCCTTGATATATCCAAGTCTTTTTTGCCAAATCTCTCGCAACAAATTTTCACCTACAATTTCGTTGCTTAATATTGTACATTTTTAATTTTTATTAAGATAAAATAGACATCTACTAATGTATAGTAACGAAAATACATAACTAATAAATATAAAAATAAATAACATAATATTACTAAATTTTTCTGGCATTCATATTGTAGTACATTATTGCTATTAAGATAAGATGTCGATAAATGCATAATGAGTATGCAAAATGTACAGAAATATGCTTTACTTTACTGTTCTTATTTGTATATACATCATCGTATAGTCATTACTCGTGTATTTTATACATATGTAATACATACTGTGAATTTACTATGTATATATTTATAATAGGCATGCGTGTAAATATTATTAAATGAAAATAAATATATAATTTTATTTATTTATTTATTCAGCCAAATCAATTATAATTTACTAATTGTAGTGTGTTGATTTATAAATTTTGTTAGTTTATGTTCTTGATATAATGAATTTTGATTTTTCAAACTTTTTTTTCTCCCTTTAAATTTGTTATATCACGAGTTAATTGTAGTTTGTGTGTTAGATCTAGGAATATGGAAGATATTTTGAAAACTACATGTATGTGTATGTATGTGATTTACTTTGTAAAACAATAAATAATTGAATACCAAAATAATTCAACACTATATTATACTACAATTACTTTCCAAAAAAATCATGAAATTTGAACATAAAAATTGTAGGGGTGATGTTTGTAGAAAATGTGATCTCTCTCTTTTTATTTGCGGTGTTAAAATCAAAAAAAAATACCCATCAACCAAATTTCATATTAAAATGCCAACCAATCAACTTTTATCACATTAATCAGCTTATATAGAAACTCTAATTCACAAAGTTTAGCTTATTTAGTTCAGAGGAATTTTGCTAATAGTGTTCAAAAGTAGCTCGGAAAATATATATATATCTTAACAGACATTTAATTTCTGCATTGGTCAAATATATTTTGAATACACAAAATAATAAAAACTAACATTACTAATAACAAATTTATGTTTATTTTAAAGAAAATTAAAATTAAACATTATATGATTTCTTGATAGATTTTATTTGACATTTTAATATTCAAAAGTACTTACCTAAGTAGATTTTCTGAAAAATAATAATTTGTCATCAATAAATAATTAATAATAATAATTATTGAGTAAATATCTAGTTAAATATCATTTATAACATGTTATATAATGTATATTGTCATTCAGTAGTTTAAGACGTCAAATGTACTTATTTTCATTGGAGTCTTTTATTTAACAACCAAGTCGTATTTTATAAAATATTTCTTCATGATAGCTTAGTGGGTCTTGAAGTTCCATCCCTACCACCACAATCCTATTCTATCAATCATATGACACATTTTATGTTTATTAAACAGGCAGTATTATATTATTCAATTACTTTTATTTTATTTCATAAAATCTACCTTTATTATAATTGGACCATGTTTTAAAAAAAAAATTAAATTTTCATGTACTTTTTTTCTAACCGGAGAAAAATTAAAAATTAGAAATTTGATTTTTATCAATAAAGTAAGACATAATAACTGATATTAAATTTTTAACAAATATTTATTATATATATTTTTTTTAGTCATAAGTATAATTTTAAAAATATTTTTCCTTGTTAAAATTCATTAATAAGTGATTTTTAAAATTAGCTTTTTTTTGTTTTTATGAATTTTTCTTAAGTAAAAAGGCTTAAATATTTTATAGAAGATAACATATAAGTTATCCATATTATGGGAATAAAAAAATATCAAAAAAGCATTGTTATAATTTATTTAGGTAAATACACAATTTTATTATAGGCGCTGAAATAGTTATATATTATTTTGTAGTTCCAAATTAGTATTTGAATTTCTAATTGAACAGGGCAGAATCTTACTATATTTGCAATTATATCCTTGTACATTCCCAACTTCCCAATTAAATAGTGGTCTACTATTATAATTATTATTCAAGTTATACAAAGGGTGATCAATTCTCAATAAGATACTAAGATATAGTTTCAGAACGTAATAACTATTTTAAGAATTTTTCTTTTCGGCAATTAAAGAAAAAAACATTTAAAAATGTTAATGATATTCTACTTTTAATTTTTGATAGAAGGAGAATAGTAGAGCATTATCAAAAATGTCACACTGATGATGCTCACTACTCTCCCCCTACCCAAACTTAAAAGTAGAATATGTCGTCAACAGGTCGATGTAAATTCAAAATTTCAGTGGGAAAATCTAGTTAATGTAGTGTGTGTTGACAGAAATCAAAAATTTGAATCCCAAAATGTATTATTTAAACTAATATTTCACCTACTATTCTAACATCGCAGACTATGCTGTCAAAAAAATGACGTCTACCATGATATAACAACATTTTTTAAACTTATTTTTTGTGTTTTTGTGGAACCCAAGTTTAGTAAACTTAGCTCCAATAATCAAAAATATAAATTTAGACATTTGGACAAATAATATTAATGGTTAGAAATTTATAAATAAGTATTTAAATACTACTAATCAATTTTTATGTTTGTTTAATTCGAAAGGCACTTTGCCAGAGGAAGACACCAGTCTGGAGCTAGTCTGGACGCTCCAAAATTTAAGCTTCTCCCCAAAAAATCAGATTATTGGTACAGCTGTTTACCAATAATTATTGTTAAATTATATGTTTGACCCCACTCTCCATCCCAAAAAAAAATTAGATTGATTTTTTTTATGTTTCTACTGAAATATAATTGATAAAGTGATATAAGTGACACAGTACCTTAGAGTTAGGTAGGTATCTAAGGAAACCATAAATATACAACATATAATACTAGATAGCTAACATACATGGTGTCGCGTAAAACCATACACTATTTACAAAGTTGTCTATGTTTGTAAATATTGTTATTAATTATTATTAATAAAGTTAATTGATATATTATAATTTAGTAAGTTTATATTATTCACTTAAGTTTAATCAAATAAAACAAATCAACAAACTAAAACCATTTAAGATTGTAACATTTATATTGTCATTTAACTATATACCTATAACCTATACATTTATTATTTATTCCATATTGATTATTACTGTATCGTAAATATAAAATCTTGTATCGATAAATAATGGCTATTACAAGAAAATTAAAATTTTGTTCAAATTGATCTCAATATATCAAATATTAACCAATAATTTTAGTATTTCGTATATTCTTCGTAGAAAATAATATGATGATTGTATAAGTGATGTACATCTCAAAAATTTGATTACGATAAAACTTGGAAAAATTAAATTTTAATGCCAGAGGCATTTAAAGCCTTAAACTAAGCCATATCCATAATAATGCCAACAAATGTTAACTTCATTATGTTCAAAGTTAATTCCTAAAAGTAATAATAAAGTATATAATAACTTATTAAAAAACCTCGTTAAAACCTAAATTTTACATTTCTTTTGACAATTGAACTATCTAAATAAAACAATTTTCAAGGGGGGACTGTAACTTATAGAATTTAATTTAAATTAATATATAGCATTGCAGGTCATTTCAAAAAGGGTTAAATTGGAATGGAGACCCTTGGGTTATATAAATACATTATAGTCCTATTGATGTTTTTTAAGTTAAAAGCTTTATTAGAAACAAATATAGACTCTATAGTAAAATTAAAATTAAATAAAATTTTATAGAAAAAGGTGAATCAAAACTCCAACAAATTAAATTATTTGATTCATTTTGTCATCATTATTTGAAATTTTACTAAAATTGGAGATTTATCAAATGAGAAATAAAATATAAAATTATGAAAATTTGCTATTGACTAAAATTCAACTTAAAACATACAAAATTTATTTGAAGTTATTATGTGAATTACACACAAAATTGTAACTTATTATGTTAAAAAGTAACTCATTAAATAGCACAATTAATATTAACTTATGTTTAAATTTAATTTAAACCTTAAAACTTTATTGCACAGTATTGCCATGTAACTTGTATAGTTATATTATGCCTGTAGGTGATATAATTGAAATTACTACCTTCTGACAGCCAGTCAATTTTTTTTTTTTTTCATGAAAAACTGGATGTTTTATAATTTATGTTTCACCTATTGTCAGTAAAAATAAAACTATTGTTAATCACAAACCTAATTTTGATTGTTTAAATTGAATTATGATTTTAGTTTTAATGTAGCTTATCAAATAATTTTATGAAAATTACCCAATTCATTAAATTGCCATAAGAAATGTGCAGGTTGGCAATTCTCTTGTTTTCATATGTTTATTGAAAAGGTAGATTTTTTCATAAACCTTAAAATTAATTTTCTCCTTGAATACAAATATTAAACATCTCTTAAAATTAATTGGAATTATGTAGAAAACAATTAGTTAATAGGAAGTTATAGTCTGTCTCACAAAAGAACATTTCTGCACATACATATTGAGTTCCTGACAATCTGGTAGTCGACTGAGCTGTCGTTTCCCCCTCAATGTAATTAGATGCAATGATGGTAATGCATAGAAAAGTGTGGCGATGATTGGTTTTGGTCAATGCGTGTTCCGTTCTCTTGTGGGGCAGTACTGTTTTTAATATTATATTTCTTTCACATGTTTTTTTTTTATATTTGTACACTATTAAGTTTTTAAGATTGATTCCCACCATTATAGAATTATCTTAATATTTAAATTTTATTTTGTTAGTATATATTATATTATTATAATAATTATTTGCTTTGTTTTTTTTAGACTCATGGCGAAATTTTCAAAAAAAATTGTCAGTAAAAGTTTATATGTTTTCATTTTAAAAGAATCCACTCCACAACTATTAAATATGTAAGTAATAATTTGATATTTATGCTATATTTCTTACAGTTTTTGTCTTGAAAGTAATATGCTTAAACATGTTATATATGATTGATTAATTAAATTAATCAATAAAACTATAATAAATTTAAAAAAAACTTGTAAAATTAGTGTAGTAGGTACAAATATTAGTTTATAAAAACAAAAATATAGAAGTGCAATACTTTACATATTATATTACAATGATTATATTATAGTAATAAATTTTAAGCTTTTAATTGCTATGGTTGAACTAAATCAAAAAGTTCAAATTCAAAATAATTATTTTATATGTTTTATTATTCAGTCTACGATTTATTAGTAATATATTCTAATTAATAGTTACCTATTTTTTTCGTCTTAAATTAAAAGAAAAACTCAAATTTGTATTTTCTCTACAATTTTAACTCCCAGATGAGTAATCATACACAACTTTAAATTTAATAAGTTCTTCAATTTTACTCCCATATTATTCAATTATATTATTCAGTTTTTTTCTTAAATAAAATGTTTGGACCAAGTTTGGTAGGTTATATAAACGTTGTAGGTACAATCATAATTCTTAATCTTTTGAATATTGCCATTTAGTATATTATCTATATGGTTTTTGTTACATCATAATATTTTAGTATGGCACTAACATTTATTTATGCTAGAAGTAGAAAAAGTAGAAGTACTTACTTAAATTTGTAGGTATTCCAAAAATAAATTTACAATGTCCTACACGTTATGGATATTTTTCAAAAACCTAACAAAATATAAAATAGTTTAAACAGGGTATGCATGATCATTTAAAAATTAACATTGTTAACAAGTACACAAATATTCTATTACATAGTTTTAAATACATTATGTTTATTTAAAAATTATTTATCAAAACTTAAAATATATCATACAAATTAATATAAGGAACTATATATTAAAACTTAATAAGTTATGAGAAATGTATCATTTAATTTAAATTTAATAGGCTTCATAAATTATTTTGAAAAAAACATCTTGAAATTGTAAATCATTTTATTCTATGAACATTACATTATACATTTTATTTAACATTTTATTTATTGTTTACAATAAATCAGAATTTATCAGAATTTGTTTATCAAAATTGATTTCTTATTCATCTGTTAATATCTTTTCAGAATTATTTTTAATTTTTTCAAATGATTCACGGCTTGGCTGCCTATCTTTATTATTATTTAAGGATATGCATTTCAAAAAGTTTTCATACATATATTTTTTTTTTTTTTGTGGTTTAATATTTTTTTTTTGTTCTATTTTGTTGTACTGGTCAACCCCCAACTCCAACCGCATTTTTTTCAATTAATAGCTGAGTGGGAATATGAAAATAATTTGAGAAACCTAAGATTCTATCCTTCAGTTTCGTTGTTAGTTATTTAGCTAAAACTATAAGTATACAAATCTAACCTTAACCCCTTAAAATGTTTTCATTGGGTATTTTTACCTTTGGACATTTTTACCTACAACCGATTAAAACATTTATTTTAATAAAAATATAATACATTTTATTGTTAATTTTTGAAAGTACTATTTATTCATTATATTATGGTAGGTATATTAGTTGCCATGCAATATTTTGCTATTGATTATACTGATTCCTAGTAAAATAAGAAATATTATTTTTGCACTGTCATTTTTCATTATATTTTTGAGTTATTCTGAGTTATTTGAGTTATTCTATATTATTATGATTAAATAATTATTTTGTATGCCTTTAATTTGTATAGATTTATGGATGCTGGTGGTTGGAATTTGATATATAATTGGTTAAAAGACGCTGTTGAAACTGATAATATAGTATTAATACAGGATCTATTAACAATATTTCATATTGTGCCTGTAACAATGGACCGATTAAAAGCTAATGGAGGACCAAAATTAGTCAAAAAGTTATCCAAAACTCATCTTGATGAAGGTAATTATTAAATAATATTGAATTTAAGTGCATAAACCATGGCCTTAGAATGATGTATTATACATATTTATTTATTTACTTTTTTTTTATAGTCTTATGGCTAATACTTAAAATAGTTAAAAACTGCCAACAATTAAAATAGTAGGGGTCTTTTAAGAATACAAATTTGTTGTAGGTATTTTTGTAATGGTTTTTAAAACTTTAATTTCAGAAGTAAAATCAATTGCACAGCATTTAGTTGACAAATGGTTAAAAGTAGTTAAAACTGAGCAGTGGCACAGTATGATGAGTGATAAGGAAAGCTTGTCGAAACAAGAAACCTTAGAAAATTTGAAACCTGAAATTGCAAGGAATTCAAATATGAGTATACCTAATGCTCCTATTCTACCTGTCATTTCTTCGGAACCTATAGGTGACAACAATTTGGATTCTAAAATTGACAAAACAAAGATAAAAATTGAACATGATAAAATTAAAGATCGAACGAAAAAAGAAAAACTTATTTCTATAATTAAAGTTTCAGAAGATCCTGAAAAAGTTAAAGAAAAACCAAAGATTGAAAAAGATAAAATAAAAGATGAACCTGACAATCATACCAAAGAGAAAAAAAGGAATTTAAAAGATAAAAATGGTAATCCTTTCTTAAGAATAATTGGTGAAATGACTGATAATAAATCTGATGAAGATAAGCAAATAGAAAATGAAAATATATCCAAAAATTCTAGCCGAAGAAAACAAAATTTAAAAAGTCTGTCTACCGGAGAAAAATTTATGAAATTAAAATTATCTCATGAGAGTAAAAAGAATACAGATTCTGGTTCTGGTTCAGATACAAAAAAACAATCAAGACCCTTACCTCCTTCTGTCCCTAAACCAAAGTTACCAGAATCTAAAACAATTTTAGAAAAGAAAAATTATTCTATTCATGTAGAAAAAAAAGAATTTGTTGGTGAGAAGAAACCAACTGTTAAAACATTTAAATCGAAATTCCGAAGTACTGGTTTAGAGGAACAAGCGCCACCACCTCCTCACCCTAAATCCAAAGTACAATCTAAAAAGTCTAAGAATGTAACACCTTTATCTTCACCAAAGGCCGAAAAAAGAAGTTTATCACCACCATTAGATTCTCCAAATGAAAAGAAACTTAAGACAGCTCCTTCAGACATCAAAAAACAACCACGTAAGATTTTATATTTATATAATAATATCTTTTTTATTTTCTATAAATAATTGCAGTGTCAGTATAATATACAAATTTAGAAATGCATACATTTTTATAATTTAAAGTAATTATAATATTGAGTTCAAATAAAGTAATACAGGTTTTTAATACCAGATAATAATAGAACTAATTCCTTTTTGTTTTTGGTTTAGGATATTTAGGGAAACTGTTGACTTAGTTTTTTATGTAATATATTTTTTTTAGTACAGCTAAAAATTAATTTGTTTTAATGATTATTAAGCCTGATTGCACAAATGGTCTAAAAATATCTTATAGACGCCTATAAATTATATGGCTCTGTGGCAATAGTGTTGCACTAAAGAATTTGATGAATTTTTAAATTAAATTAAAATAGTTACCGGATAAACTTAACCAACCATTTATAATTGATAATTCTGAACCACGGTTATCTCAATCGAGTAGATAACCGAGCCTTTAACAATGATAAGCGATAAAACTGGTATTTTTGGGCAAAAAAAAAACACATTTTGTTATTAGCCATTATGTTTTAGTACTTGAATCATTGTTTGAAATAAATATCATCATATTCAATCAGTAGATTAAATCTATATCATTATTATATTAAATCAATAATAGTGTCATCACCTCGATAATAAATTCATTATTATTTGATGATGATGAGGATAACATATCTGTACATTTTAGTTACGTTAAATTTAAAATTTAGCAATAGGTTATTTAAGTTCAATAAAAATTTATCAGAAATTTCAGAAATAATAACGTTGATAAAATGATAATATCGTTCTGCAAGGAGTTACAGATACAAATTTGATTTGTAAATTATAGTCACTTGCAGGTCTGAAAATAGTCTACAGAAATAATACAGCTTGTTCATGTAACACATAATCTGATTTATAGATCTGTAAGTGCATTAATAGTTCTGTAAATCGTATTACTTTTAATGAATCAACAATTATTTACAATGTTTATGTACATTAAATTTTGGTTTTTTTCTATTATCTATAGAATCATTAAATGTTGGTATCTCTAATATTTTCAAATTGAAATAGCAACTTGTGTTATTAAACTTCCATTCAAATTATTTTTATTCTCGTTTTTAAAAATGCCTTTTTAATATACAAATTGATTCTCATGGAATCTTACAACTATACAAAATATTTTTTATTTAAGCTTAGTCTTTCAATATTTTAGGTAATTATTTTTATTTTTACAAATTTCAATTACTTAATTTTAATTTACACTGACACTGATTTATTTATTGAAAAAAAATGTATTTAATTTATGTTGTTATTAGTGAATAATTGTTCTATAAGTATATTTCAGGATAATCTCCAGGTGTCCAATGCTCATCTTTAATAAACATCTGGTTTACATTTTTATGTAAGTGTATTTATGTGTGTTTGTATCAGTTCATATATGTTAATTCATTATGACAACAAAACATTTATACACATAAATATACTTACAAATATGGTTGATTCGTAGCTAATTCTTCCCTTTTAGTTTTGGAAATCAAGCTTTAAATGGATATTCATATTGATAATGGAGTTTTGTAAGGGTACTGGATTCTTAATTTAACATATCCACACTAAGACAAGGTAAGTGAACAAATGAATGTATATATTCAATATAGAGCTTATTTAACTAAAATAGACACAAATTTATTTCCAATATCTAAAATATTGAATTTTCTATGTTGGATATATACATTATACATATATTGAAAAATCAATTTAGTTCCAAATTTTGTATTTTGGATTAATTATTATACAAGTGTATTTACTATTTATCATTCTAGTATTCCCAATTAAAACTAAACATATACTTTAATAATTTCAGAATAAATATTTTGGTATTTAATTCATCATAATATTTCATAAATAAATACAGTCACAAACTGCTAGTAGGGTTAAGTTAGAGTTGAATTACATTGGTGTTTGATAAATATAAATAAGTTTCATTCTATAGCTTTTTTGAATTACATAAAATAATAACTTCCCTATGATTTAAATTTGAGTGTTACAGCCAAACAGCAATATAGGTAACGATTATATTTTTTAAATTCTTTTATGACATAGATAACTAGTTATATTATTGTAGGTATTTAATATAATTTTTTTTATAATATTTGATATTAAAAATTAAATTTTATGATGCTTATTTAAAATTTAACTCTAATACAAATTATTCTTTGCCAATGATAAAATATTTTTATAATTATTATGTTTTGATAAGAATTGACAAAAAATATATTCCATTAACAGAATTAGATAATACTTAAAAAATTCTTTAAAAGTTCAATGGTTTGTATTCTATAGCTACAGCTTTTCACTAGCTTTAAAATCTCTTTTTAAAATCTAGTGTTTAAATATTCACAAACATGTGTGACATTATTGTACCATGTTTTAGATACAATTTGCTTATTCTATATTTCTAAGAAATCTGATGCGTGCCAAATACTTGAGTTTTATTATATCTATTATTATTCATGTTAGTCTTCAGTATGTTTATGTATATTTTTACTATTGAAAATTATTCAATTACAAACTGATAACAGTTGTATACCATATAGCATATATTTGAATTCAGAATATTATAATATTCTTAAATACTTAATGTTAATCATTAATTTTTAATAAAATTTGGTATTACGATTTTTTGGAAAATTTACTCAGTCAGAATCATTATTTCATCTAATGTTTTTATTTTAGATTCCAAGCATAGCGAGGGAGCTATTGGTTTTACAATGCTTTTTTTATTTTCTAGTCTGAGGACACGTTTTTTTTTTACTTAACTTGCTCTGATGTACATGTGTAGCACCTTTTATGGAAGCTCAAATTGTCTAGATTGTACTTTAAAGAGGTCATTTTTAAATTTTCGACGACATTTTTTAAATAAATGTATTTACGTGTGAAAAAACTGAGGAAAATTTAAAATTGTATTATTTATAAAAACACGGACGACATTTTCTACCAGAATAAATTATTTAATTTCTTACAGTATAATCGCCAAAACTTTTTAGCCACATTTGAACTTTCTGGGAATTTAAATTTTTGGTAGATGTTTTACTTTAATTTAGTTATAAATATGCATAGAGATTTGAAACTTGGTAATAATACTTATATTGGACTTACCTAAACATGGTAAAATTTTCATAATGATCGGACTTTTTTTTTTAATTAGCGTTTTGAAATCAAATTTAAACGAAAATCGTAAAAAAAAAATTATGGCCCTTCAAATTATGCATTACCGAACTGCACTCGGAATCATCTTTCTTTAAGCAATGGTTAATCTTTGCTTACAGATATAAATGAAATAATCTTATGTATACTACCTTCCAAACTTCTCGCCTATAACAGTGGCTGCTCACATCCCCAGTATCAGCTCTTTTTTTATCATGTACATTATAATACTAATATTTAATTAATTTGGTATCTGAAATACCACCAAAAAAAGTGATCCATTTAATACATTTATAAACATTATTTATTTGTTCATTAATAATTATGAATTGTTCAGATCAGTGAAATTTGATTAACTTACAAAACAAAATTGTTTTGAATTTTTGCTTGACATTATAATTTATGAAAATCAACATACACAATGGAAATATAATATGGGATTGAACATTTATAGTTTTGTTTATGTTACTCAAACCTAAATTTCTGGTTAACGAACTTATTTTCAACTTGTAGTATCATAAGTTAATGGGTTATAAAATTACTAGTTTAAATGATTAATTGATTTAAATTATACAATTAAAGCCATTATTTATCATTTAGTGAAAGTATATTTAACTTAATAGATAGTGGTTTTGATATTATAGCAAAATATAAATATTAATTTTTTATCTGTCCAGGTAATATTGACTGGATGAATCATCGCCTTGGTTGAAAAACATTACAATAGTTCAAATTTGTATAAGTTGTCTAAATGTGTGTAATTATATGCACAAAATGTATAAACTATGATTTAAAATTAGTTATTAAGTTTTTTGAGGATGTTGGGTACAATTTATATTTGTGCCTCGCCCAAATGTAAAGACCTTTCTAATTTCAGATACAAATATACTACAATATTTGTTAATTTATTCCTAAATTTATAAAGATGACAGTTTATGGTTTTAAATGGCTCTTCTGCATGGATACATCTCAAGATCTGTTGCTGCTGCAAATCTGCAAGCAGGAAGAGTGCTGCTTGTGAAGATGTTACAGTTTTGTCATCAACACTTCATTACAGATTGCGATCATTTGAACCATCGACACCATATAATATATACTTTGAATGTTACTTTAGTATGTATACCAAATACTCTCAAGAAAAAGTTGTGATAAAACTTTAATGTTTGATATCCAAAAGTTCTGGATGAAAACTACAATTTATATCCTGTATTTAGGTTATTTGAGGTAAAAACTTTTGTCTCTTTCGTTACTCACTAAAAAAAAAGAAAAAAAAAATAAGAATAAGAAAATAAAGCATTAAATGTTCATATTGAAACTATTATTTTTATCATATTATAATAACTACCTACCTATTAGAAATAAATGTCAAAATGACAGTGGCATTAAAATAATCCCACTTGACCGCCAAACAATTAAATTTGTGAAAGCGTGGTTATTTGGCACTCGGTAGTTTTGGTGGTGGGACAGCTGTAATTGGCACTGAAAAGAACTTATCTAGCTGTAAATTATTATTTATTATTGGTGACCGAAGAAAATGGTGGGTAGAGTTATACAATTAGTGTTAAAGTGTGATAATTAACAGGTAAAAGGAGGTAACACAACTAGCCGGTTATAGTTGGTCAGTATCTATAGCCAGTAAAGTATAATACACGTTTATTCAAATGTTATGTTCCAGATCTATACTGACCCTTGTGGGAGAATTGTAACCACAGACAGATGTCCATGTACCTAGACACAGCATATTAATTTAATATATTAAATCATTGGGAACATTCGTTGAGTAATTAAAAAAAAAAAAAATAATAAATTACATTATAATAATAATAATTATAATTATGGTAATTATCTACCTCAATAGTTTTTAAGGGATGCATTCTTTGCGAAGAATTCACTTTTTCATTAGTTGTATGATTGTGCGTTCTTATTGATAGGCCAAAATATTTATTTTTCAAGTACAGACTTCTAGATTACATAAGAACAATGAATAACGTTGGCGGTAAATACATGCATACATAGCCGACATATTTCTCTAGTGAAAAATGGAAATATTTATTTTATTAATTTAAAAGAAGGGGGAGATCTAATTGAAATTAAAGACGTTCGTATAGAATAAATTGTACAATATTTATGTTGCCAAATTTCACATAAATCGGAAAAATCATATTGGATAAACGTGTTATTGAATTACGAGAACCTATATTAAAACTATGTATAGAATCATAATAACACCCGGTCCCGTCACCTTTAAATGGGTCTTTATTAGTATACTTCCGTTTTTAACGTTCTTTATTCATTATTTTAATATACCTAATTCAGTTGTCATATTTGACATTAATTAATAGGTTTTTATTTTTGGATTTTTAATGTATATATTGTTTTAAAAATATTTAATTTGTTGAAGCATTATTTTAATCCTAACCAATTTGAGTTGTTGAAAGATCTTAGAAAACTCTTAGAAAACAAAATTAGAATTTATTGTACTGCATTACAGTTCGTTCGCGTGACGTCATCTTGTTATTCATATCTTTCATCTCGTGTATTTTTTCCCTCAGCCTTAGATCATATGCAATGGATGGAGTCATCGCATATCACACCTATAGAATTGGTTGATGCTAATAAATAGTGACATCTGCGCATGCGCGACTGCTTATCAAATATCAATCTAGTATGCGCATTTCACGGAGGTCCTATTATTTTTTGTTGGCATCACAAATTGTTAGAATGACTCCATCCATTGTACATGATCTGAGCACAGTCATAGTTTATCAGGCTTATGATCTTTATCAATAGATATCTATTTATAATAAATTGCCTAATCATTTGTTTAGGTACATTTTACTTTAATTATCTTATACACAATATCATATGCTCTCATATTCATCCTCTAATACTTAGCCATTTATTGTTTGTTTTTCCTTTTTCCAACTTCTATTTAAGCTATTTATACACTGATAAGTTTGACTGCGAAATTGAACATTAGATATTATTTTGATTTTATATTTAAATAATGAGCACTAGAAGTATTTATTAAAAAAATATAAGGATACTCGAATTTACTGTCGCAATCTAATTATTATTAATGAGCAATAAAGTAAAATCGTATGTTAATTTTATTCAGGTTGTAACTTTTAGATTGAAATTGAAAGTTTAAACTCTCGATTAAAAACTAGATTCAATACACGTGAACGTGGATGAAAAATGTATCCTTGTGTTTACTCAATACACTTGAATTGAATTTACATCCGTGTTCACCTACTTGTTATTCACGAATCTTTATGTTGCCCTTTATTAAAATATGAACTGGTAAATATTAAAACTCTAAACCACTTGAAACCACATACTCGGTTTTATAAATTCGAATGTTAATTTCAATAAGGAGTTCTAGTTAAAACTCTAAATTTAAACTTCACAATTTAAATTCTAAACACTTAATGTGATTGTGTCATGTTGTTCGCTTAATAATAGACCTTTTACCTTCTGGGCTTTTTAAATTTAAAAAAATGACTTCTAAATAAAATTAAATAACCTCTGCTAAAAGCCGTGTTTTTTAATATTAATGCCATTGCTTTTAAAATTACCTATCTACTTTACACATATCAGGTGATTCATTTAAGTGGATACATTCATTATCTCCGAAAGCATTAACTTTTTTCGAAATTTGTTTTCTATAACATTTTTGAAACAACTAGTTCTACAATTTTATACTTATGCTATTGTTTTGTAATCCTTATTTTTGGGAGTAAAACCACTACCCACTTTTGATTTTCAAAGGGCAACCTATATTGAAAATTCCAAAAATAGATTAAGTATTAGATAAAATCAATTTTAGTGTTGAAACTTGATTTCCGTTTATCCGTTGACGAGATATTCCATTTTTAAGTTTGGGTTGGAGGAGAGTAGTGGAGTGTCATTTATGTGGCGGTACGGCGCGCGACATTATTTATGCACCATTACTTTACTCCAACCTAAAATTAAAAGTGGAATATCTCGTCAACAGCTTGTCAGAAATAAATAATTTCAACACTCAAATTTATTTTAATTTATACTCCATCTATTTATGGAATTTTTAATATAGGTTGCCCTTTGAAAATCAAAAGTGGGTAGTGGTTTTATTCCCAAAAATAAGGGTTACAAAAAAATAGCATTAGTATAAAATTATAGAGCTGATTGTTTCTTAAATGTTATAGAAAACAAATTTAGTAAAAAGTTAATATTTGCCGAGATAATGAGTCACCTAACCTAACTTAGTTTGCAAAAAATATTTTGAAGTACCTACCTACCTACCTGTATACTAATACAGTCATATCTGAGAAGCTAGGGACTTAACTCCCCCAATACTTTTAATTTTTAAGATAAATACCAATTATATTTGAAACAAAAACAATCGATGATTTAATTTAAAACCGTTATATATACTTTAACTGTTAAGAAAAGAGGGGGGGGGAAGTGAAATAAGGCTAAACGTTTCCGCAGTCATCATTCGCGATGCGCAAAGCCGGTGTATTCTAGTTTGCAACAGAGTAGTGTTAATTTTTATAAAAGTAATTTCAATATATTCTATATTTGGGTTAAAAATTATAATACAAACATTCTGATAGTAATCAAAATCATAGACAAGGATTTAACTTGATAGTAATTAAAAAAAAAAAAAATAATAATATTGATTCAAATAAATGAAACTTGTCAAATATGACAAATGTATAAACAATGTTAAATAAAACGAATTTGTATATTATCTATGTTGTCACTTCGTGAAATCGACCTTTTTATGAAAAGTTGTTCATTTGAAGAAAAGGAAACGCCTTTTTCACAGTACATGAAATACATAAATATTTCACAATTGGTCACTTTTTTATGAAACAGTCACTCGTATTTGATATCGTGCAACTTTTTTTCAAGGTGTGATCCACCATTTAGTGTACTGAAATCAAACATTACTGCTTTCAACTATTATTGTATTATTTGTATTAAGTATTTTTGACGTTTTACATATTTGAGCAAGACAGTGAATTTTGGCAACAGCTGTTACATATACATATTGTATATCATTTAACTTTGACATCATTACGATATGGACAGTTTCGCGCAGTTTTTAATTTTTTAATTTATTCAGTCAAATTACTATTTATTGTACCGTACTGCATATTTCCCTCCAAATGTATATATAGAGCAGCTAATACGTATTACTTACATAGTTCTGGCTAGTTTCTTTGGGGAATCAGTTTTGAGTAAAACGCACTTTTCGAGTCAACATTTTCCAGAATAACACGACTATTACCGATCCAAAATTAACTACAAGTATAATGTATGTGATCCAAACAACAATGCCATTGGACATCAGTGTATAATCAAGATACTGATAATATTACGATTTACAATATTAAAGCCTATAGATAATATTCTATACATTTTATTTAATAATCTTCGATATAAATAAATTTTCAAAAAATGATCGGACGATAGGAATTATCAAATATAAATAATAATACAATAGTAGTTGAATTTGCAGTAATTGTTATATTTCAGTACACTAATTGGTTCTCAGCATAGAGAAAAAAAGTCATAAAATATTAAATTTTACTAAGTGTTGAACGATACACATGAAAAAAATTTCACCAAGTGGCTACGCCAAATAGGTATATATTTTATGAACATTGTTCACATTGCTCAGGCAATTTCCACCAAATTATTTTTAAGTTATTGTATAATATTGTTGGAAAAAAAAATAATTTTGATTATATTTATTCAATATTTTTTCAGTTTTTTTTTTTAATAATTAAAATAAATGCTTTACAATTAAAATGTTATTAAGTTTTTTCTAGATGAGATGGACTAAATACAATTTTAAAATCTTACTTAATTTTAAAAAAAAAAATTAAGATAGCCATTTTGTAAAATAGATTTTTAGAATAATTTTGGTGGTTGAAACTTCTGTGTAGGTGTAGTATTAATTTCTAAAAAAAAATGAACTTGGCAAATGTGAATATTATTGTGGTTTATAATTTATTATAGTATTTAATCCATAGTCAGTATTACTGTATGATATCAACTCATTGATAAGAAAATCCTTGTCATTTAATGTGCTCTGACTACTCATTAAATATTATAATGTAAGCTACATCAGTATTCACATTATCAAAAACTTCAAAAAATTGTAGAAAATAAATGTTTTAACCACTAAAAATTTTCTTAAATTTTTTTTTTAAAATATAGTAAAATTTTAAACTTTTTATTTAGTCTTCCTATCTAAATAAAACCTAATAATATTTTAATTGTAGCACAGAATTTTACTAATCATTAAAAAAAAAAAAAAAAAATTGAATACAACAAAAGTTATTTCAAGTGGTAAATAGTTATGTAACACTGTATTCTGAATATTAAAAAACAATTTTAATAATTATTAGGTTAGGCACTTAATATTACGTCATACGAAATTAATAAATGATTATTACAAAGTCAGTCCATTTTGAACCACGCTGTATAATTTGTCTATTAATTTTATTATTAGGTACACCAACATCATTTGGCAAGAATTGTTATACTTTAGCCTTTTAGACCTACAAGTGCAGAACTAGGTGCTAATATTCTATTAGATATATTTACCTATTTGGGGCACCCACTTCTTTACAAAATGACAACGGACGTAAATTCGTAAATAAAATACATAATTTCTGAACTCAGTAATATGTAAAATATTACTTTAAGTAATTAGTTAATAATACAATTATTAATAATAACTTATTTATTTTGTATGACGTCGTGACATCAATATTAAGTATATAATTATTATCATGATAATTATGATTGTTTTAAAATATTAATTAATTAATAATGTATCGAATCATTTTTTTTTCCATTAATATTATATAATTATAAGTAACACCTAATAAATTTAATAAAAAATATTGCACAACAAATAATTTTTATTCGCTGTCCACATTGCTCTAAAATGCTATTTTACCATTACTTTTTTCACCTTAATTTTTAGGGGTAAAATGACAACCTTAGTTTGATTTTTAAATACTAACCTATGTACAAAATTATATCCTATAATTATAAACTATAATATAATAAAAATTATATTATAGTTATCCAAAAGGATAACTATGAAAAGACCTCAATTGTTTGAGTGGTTTTCCAGTTTCAAAATAAAAATGCCAATTGATGACCAATCTCTGGTCCCGCTGGCTGCCCTTTGTCGACTTAAAACTGAAAACGTAACAATTTTCTTGAAATAATACCGAAAAATCGATGACGGACTATTGAAAAAGTTTTGGAGTGACTTACAGGAGTTCAATACAGTGAATTTTAAGTTAAGATTTGGGGATGAGAAGGTTAGCTGCCAAATTCGTGTTTCAATTGTTTAGTGCACATAAAAAACAAGGGTACATTGGACTGAAGTATGCTGTGCTTTCAAAGTTGAGTTCCAAAATGATATATTCTTTTTTTGTTGATAAATTATCTCTGTTCTGTGCTATTTTCCCTAAGTAGAAAGTAAAACTTCACTATCGCACTCTGGGGAAATCGGTTATTGAATAAACAATGAGCACAAAAAACAAATGTTACAAAAAGGTTTAAAACACCCAATCAGAATGACATCAGTTTCAAACTATAACTAGCTTACTCTGAAGTCTAAATTATACTATCAGCCTAAATCGATTTTATAAAAACTACGATCCCCACCATATTAGTCTGATTACTTTTGAGTTTTGAGTATCTCCTAGTATTATGTGGATCGTACGTATAATATAATTCGAACATTGTTTTATGTTGTAGATATTTAATTGGTGTTTTTTAAATGAAATGTAAATTTTTTGATAATTGGAATAAAATTAGTGTAAAGAAAAATCTTTACTTTTTCTTAGTAAACTTATAACGTAATTAATAATCATTTTAATATCCTTTTCTTTTAAACAATATTGAAAGAATATTAGGTTTTACTGAAAAGTCACGTGGCCGGGATTATTTTTAGGGGGGTTTAAACATAAATTGTGTTATCAAATACTAATACTTGCACCAATAATCTAATTTTTTGATTAAAAGCTTAAATGTTGAGGGGTCCGGACCCCATAACTATGTGCCTGTCGCTGAGGTTATTACATCGTATGGAGGACCTGGGTTTAGTTGTAGATAAAATTTTACATAATTGGTACTTATGTCTAATATTAATGTATTATACATATTACACCGGATGATTTTTTTATCGTTCAAACATTCATTATTTCGAAAAATATCCACTATTATTTTTTATTTTTTTTTTCTTGAAAACTTAAGAAACAAATACTTTTCAAATGTTACGTTATCATTTTTTTTTTTTTTTATCACCCTTATTTTTGTGAATAAAACGCAGACAATTTATCAGGGAGCGGCAGTATACTTAATAAAGTTTCGAATTGCTTTTTTTTTTCGTGCAACCTTAAATAAGAACCAAACCGACATAGGAAGGGGCATAATATAATCAAACACCAAAAAATTATGTAAATTATCTAATTATTAAAACTATATTTGAAATTTTGAAGTCCAGGGAGGGGCAAATGCCCTGTTTCTCCCCCCCCCCCGGGCGCCTATGACGTCAACCTTTATTGAAAATGCTTTAAATAAATTGAGTATTAGTTAAAGTAAATTTTGGTGTTGATATTTTTGATTTCCGTCAGTCCATTGACGACATATTCCACTTTTAAGAGTTTGGTTGGAGTAGAGTAGTGGTACATTATTAAAACGCCGTTCGCTGTGCCGCTACACAAATGATGCTTCACTACTCTCCTCCGACCCAAACTTAAAAGTGGAATATTTCGTCAATGAATAGACGGAAATTAAAAATCTCAACACCAAAATGTATTTTAACTAATACTCCATCTATTTAAGGTATTTGAAAATAAAAAGTAGGTAGTCGTTTCATCCCTAAAAGTTAAGGCGACGAAAATTAATATAAATGTAAAAGTGCTGAGCTTGTTTCTTAAATTTTCTATAAAACATTTTCGACTATTTTATGATAGATTGATCACTCTGCATATATATAAATTAATAGATAAATATACATATATACAGGCCCCCTATATATTTAGAAAAAAAGTACCCGTTCAGTTAAACAAAAGTCTAGGGGGCCTATGGCCATGACCATAGGCCCTTATAGCTGATTCACCGCTAAGGAATAGATTTATATGCATTTAAAATACGCAAAAAGGCTGTTAAAATCGTCAAAAAAATCACATAAAAATATTTAGAAAAACAGAAGTTGTAAAGAGGATTAAAAGTCTCCCCTCTAATATTTCTAACCTTGTTAAATAAAATTCTCTAATGTTAAAAAATGATTAACACAAAGTATTTTTATATATATATATATATATATGTGTACGATTTTAGTTGAAAAAATTATTTGTTTCGACCATTTTTGTTGTGCTAAAAAATTATTTTTAATAAGTTCAAGCCATTAGAGAAGGCGACTTTTATACTCCTTTACCATTTTTTGCTTTTTAAATTTTTAAATGAATTTTTAGGGATTTGTTGAGTCTTATAAGCGGTTTTTTGTGAATCGAAGTGCATATAAAATCTGTTCCCTAATACATTCCCTGTACATCAGCATAGATATTAACTATTATTGTATCTATATTTCTAAGTCAATTGGATAGATCACTGACAGTATGATGTGAGTTGCTATAGGAAGTTTTCGGAGGTCAATAGTAATAATCTGTGTACCTAATACTAATATTATGGCTTATGGACATTGAATATAGGAAATAGCATATCATTATTTATTTATCGGACTTTTAGACCTGATCGAAATTGAAAATCCTATTAAAAAAAAAAATGTATACATGTATGTATGTATATTTGTAATCAGTTACATTGCGGAAAAAAAATATCAACTTGTCAAAATCGCGCTATTGTTACATTTTATAGAACTTATCAAGGTGAAGGTATTTTAAGGTGGCTATAATGATGCAACATAGTGTTATTATAGTGACGTAATTTATATTATACGGTTACATAATTTCTCTACAGTTTTTTTTTTTTTGTATACCTATGTATAATATTTTTTAGTATTCTTATTATACAATGATTGTATTCATGTATTTTTGATTTTACCATGTCATCGTAGTTTTGTATGTATATCTATGTTACGGTCAAAGTAGAAAACTCGATAATTGTAATACAGTGCCAGGGCATTTTGGGCCGTGTAATAGATGTCGTTTTTAATGCCTACTAAATTTGTTCCTACATTAAAGTACTACAGTGTAGGACTGCGCGATTAATCGAATATGAATCGATTATTTTGTTATCCGATTAATCAGTTATTCGAATAATTGATGAAAAAACATTTGTCCACTTTCTTACATTCGATTAATCTATTATAATCGCAAACTTTTAGAATAATCGATTATTGCAGGAAAAAAAACCGTACAGTTTTACTGTAGTACAAAGTAGTGAACTCTGAACGGATTTGTGGGGGCAAAGTGAATTTCATTCAGCGTACTTTTATTTCGAATAACCTTCACAATACGTTACTGGTTACTACATAAATTTTTGGTTTGTTAGAAATATTACGATTTACGAGATAGTATCAATTGTCTATTTTATTTATTTCTACAAATAAAATATACTATAAAGTTTGGTGGTTTTTCAATAATTATAAGATCATTTCGTTTTATAATCTAATCGAAAAACTACAACTAGATAGCTAATATTTGGTAGGAATGTAACAGTTTTTATAATAACACGGCTTTTGTACTAACATACTGTGCACGATAATCAGTTTTCCTATTAGGTCTACCTATAAATATCCTATTAAACATACCTACCTACAAAGTGAAGTTTTGGTTTTAGTTTGCTAGTATAGTTTCTAACGTAATGTTTTAATAAAATAGGAGGGTGTGTTTTACATTTAATTTTAAATATTTTATCTAATTTGCTCAATTAGATTTGGCCACTTAAACAATGCCCGGACAATATACAATCGTTCTCACTTTGCGCACGAATATCTGTCAGTGTTATACAATTTCCGATTCCCTACTTTGACTGTAACATATACAGAATGTCCCACAGAGATCAAACAAAATGCAATAGCTTTTGTTCTGTTCAATATTTTTAAGTTTTTCTTTTTTATAATAATTACTAGAGACTTGTGCTATGTTTCTTATATGTTGCACACTTTTAAAATTAAAACAACATTTTGGTACTAAAAATGGTTACTAATAATAAATTATTAATTTCCTAAACAATTTGGAAGTTAACAAAATTATTTTTCATGGAAAAAGTTAGTGAGTTGATTGATATTATTTAGTAGTGGCAATGGGAACAATTTAAATTATTGTAAACTTAAAAATACTGGAAAATTAACAACTTAAGTAAACATTTTGTTTTAAAATTTATTTATAAAATGCTATATTAATTGTTTTTTATTTTTAGTATAAGAAAAGTATAAAATATATGAATTACAGTGCAAGTTTCTATTAATTATTCCAAAACAGTTATTGAATTGCCTAGTTTCATTTGGATTTCCCAGTTTTCCATTATCATTATTGCGTACCTAACAAAAGTTATTGCATTTTTTTAATTTATGAGACCTATATAATATTGTTATTCTTTTACACATAAATGTTTAATTTTTATATATATATTTTAGTACCTATCTATAATTTATTAAATACCTATTTATAATAATATACCAGAAATAAATATTGCAACTTTAGGTTGTGAGTACTATTGAGTAGGTATGTATAACTAATAACAACACTAAGCACTAATCAGTTTTGTGTAAACCATATAATCACACAATTAGGTATATATTTTTTTGATTATTCCCAAATCGAATAAACAATATAGTAAGTGTATTATATTATATAGATTTTAAATACATTGAACATATTATGTAAACTTCAATATTACAATTTTGTAAAAATTATTTAACATTATTGTTGAATTTGTGCTAACGTTAAGGTTTTATTATAAAATTATTGAATAAATATACCTATACATAAATACATATATTATGTTTTTTTTTTTTTTATATGTATATTCAATGTGATCTATTAAGTCATGATCTCAGAAAGTAAATTTTTTTCAACATTTTTTTTACAATTTAAGTAATAAACAACTCAATAATGTTAATTTCTGGGGGTGAAACAACTACCTATTTTTGATTTTCTAATAGTAAACACATTTTAAAAATGCTATAAGTAGATGTAATATTAGGGTTTGAATAATACATTTTGGAGTTGAAATTTTTGATTCCCACTTAACTGTCAAGTTTAGATAAGAGGAGATTAGTGGAGCATTATGAAAACGCTATGTGCTCTGTTACTCTCCCCCACCAAAACGCAAAAGTTTAATATCTTGCTAACGTGTTGACGAAAACCAAAAATGTGAACACCAAAATTTATTTTAACTAATACTTCATCTACTTATAAAATTTTTAAGATGTGTTTAATGTTTGAAAATCAAAAGTAGATAGTCATTTAACTCTTTTCTCCCCCCTCCAAAAAAAAAAAAATGATAGTAACAACATAGTAGAGTTGCTAATTGCTTAAATTGTAAAAAAAAAAAATTGAAAATAGTTAATACTTTCTAAGATAATAAGTATACCTACTTAATTGGATCGTTTTGTACATTATGTATCCCATCCTACATTCTTCCACTTTAAATCTGTATAGCCGTTTGATTTTTAATTTACTATCAATAATTAATTATCAATTTGAATTTAACGTTTAGACTGATGAAGAGAGGGGTAGTCAATTTTTAGATTTTGTGGACAATATCCTCACGCTACTTATAAAACATTTATGTTTTTTTTTTTCGTTTTTTTTTTTCTATGCGTTAAAAATAAATTACTAGAACAAAACTGAAGGAATATAATATGATTCAATTAAAATTCACAAAAATCGAATGGCAAAAAAATTATCAATATCACAACGTTATTGACGAAGTCCAACATAATGAAATATTGTTCAAAGCAATATGTTTGGGCTTAACGTGTAATTGTAATGATTTAAATTTCCTATCTAAAGGAAAACAAATATTCATTTTTTTATATATTATGCTGTGTGCAACTGCACCAAAATCTCGTGGTGCCGTGTTTGTGGGTATCTTCCTACTAGGTATCTACTCATAATTATTACGGTAAATCAGTATACTTTTTTCCTTATTTCGTAAATTTCTCTCTATTAATATTATAAGTCCAAACCAAATTTAAAATATTTGCTTAATAATTATTTTAATTATACTGAAACAATTAATAACAGATATATTTATGATGTGCTATTTTTTTTAACTAGATACCTGCCTTCCAGACATCTAGTTTGTATTAATAAATGTGTACTATAATTATTGTGTTTATATTAATATGTATCAATATTACACGTTTAATTTTTCTATGAATCTACGAATCAACCAAACCGATGTTTATTTTAATCTTAATGTCGCATATAATTTATTAATTTTTGAGTACCTATGTATCAATGTGAATACTTTCTCGAAATTCAATTACGGTTTTTTTTTTTTTTTTATAGCCAAAATTAAAGAGAGCGGTTTGTTTATGGATGCCATGTTAAATGTTTTGAACTCCGCTCCGAAAGTCGTTAAAAGGCGAAAACATAAGTCAGAGACTGTAAAAAAAGTTACAGAGCCTACGTTGCCGGTAGATCAATTGACGCAGCCTCAATTGACTATAAAAACCGAACCACTGTCACCACCAAGATCACCGGTAGTTTCACCATCGGCGTTAGACTTGGATTCTTTAAAACTTCCGACAAATACTGATGAGTCTATGCCATTTTCTGAACCGACTGCGACTTCGGATTATGTGTTGTCCGCAGAAAAAAAGCCTTCTGAAACTGTGGTTACACCCGATCCAGAACCAATAGTACAAGAAGAACCATTGGTTGAAAAACCACCTCAATTAAAAGTACTTGCCTATATTTTATACATTATAAGTCATTCATTATTTTTTATTGTATTATTATCATTATTGTATAGTTTTATCGAGATACTCTGTTGGATACTACAACAGAATCACTCAACACTGATGACAATGAAACAAATATTAATAACAGTCGTAAGTATTGAATCTTTGGGATGTTATTAAATGGATGTCATATATGTATATAATATGATTGATATTTATTTAAATATTGTTTAGCTGGTGACAAATCACCTAAAGATGATAATGATGACAAGCAGGATGGTTTAAAAAGTGTACTGGTGTATGTTCGAAGTAAACCATCAAAGAAGTCGGTTTCGTGGAAACAAGAAACTGATCTGGTGCAAGTATCTTATTTTGAACACGACGAAACTGAAAGGGGTATGTTCTTAAACTATGTCATGTCATGTTATGTTACTCTATATCTCATTCCTCTTGTGGTCTATTAATTGTTGTTATTAGTGGAAATATATAACAGATATAGATATATATATGATCATGTAATCATAATTATTTATGAAAGATAAAAGGTCACAGTTTTGTTGAAAGTGACTGTTTTTAATAAATATGTTCGGTGATTATAGAGAGACTGTTTACTTTTGAAAAGAGTTAAATTGTATGATAGTTAATTTTATAATGGTGTTCCAAAAATTGGTTTATGAATAGTGCTAATAGTACCATTATTGGCTCCATTCATAAATAAATAAAAATTTTGCCGATTAAACATTTGACAATAATAGCTGTTAATATTTTTCCCTTAAATATTATCATTAGAGAACAGACTTTAATACAAAATATATTTTTTATTGGGTGGCATAGGGCAATGCAATATTTGATTCATACATCAGAGAATTTAAAAATGAAACTTTTATTTTCCATTTTTTTTTAAACTTTTTTGCTTTTAATAATTTATCATATTAAATTATTAATCTTTGATCTTATAATAAATTAAATATTTAATTACGATAAGAATAACGATTAATAAATTCTTATTTTTATATTAATAATCCCGTTTATGTTTTTGTAATTTTATTTAACTCATTTGTTTATGAACATAGTCTAAATTGTTGAGTTTAAACTTTAACTGTTGATTAAAAATATTTTTGATAATTTTTTCAAATAAAATTGTATATACAAAACCATTATTTTTCATTTCCTAAAAGTTTTACTTTTTAGACTAAACCCCTTTCATAAATAAATGATATCATGTGTGAAATAAGAAAAAAATATACATTTATTTATTTACAATCCTAATAGTGATAATATAAACAAACTTATCTAATTATTACTTGGATTTCTTTCTTAGAATAAACTTATTTCAGATAAACAAATTATTACTTTACTAAATTAAATAAAATAAATTTAAAATATAACTTCTTTTGGTATTTTGGTGTTATTATCTGGTACTGATTAATTTTATAAAATGTTTACTTCAAAACTAATATTATGTTATTTTTATTATTATTAGTGAATGTAACAAAGAACTTTAAAGCTATGGAAATGCACGAACGTGACATTGAAAGACAAAACTTTATTGCTGTTCGAAAATTAAGTAAGATAGTAAAAGAAAATTACAATTTTATAGTAAAAAATATAATATAAATTAAATTAATACATGCTATTTTTAGATTCTGCTGATAATATGGAACCTAAAACTGCCTGGAGAAATCTAGACGATAGCTTGTTAATTGACATTCCAGAAGAGCCTGGTAAAGAAAAAATAGAACCAGGTAGTGGAAGTCTTGAAAAAAAGAAACAAACTCTTCGAGAACAATCTGTTTTACAAGCTATTTACTTCACTAGAAATATGTACGTGTGCACATGAATTATTACTAATAACTATATGTATATCTTATGTGTTGTTATTATTATTTTTATTCTACAGGATACCTGATTCGCCAGAAGAACCCGACCAAATGGAAGTAGTTCCTTACTCAGAACCTTTAAACATACCTCTTGAAGACATGTCGGGCGATACAGCACCAATATATAACTATGTAAATATACCGTGGCCTGATTCCAAGGGTGAGCAGCCTCCTCCAGTAGAATTCCCAGTCGGAATGAACAATATAATGCCAATGATGCAGCAACAACCGTTCTCAGTATACGGTGGCAACCAAATGAATTGGGTTATGCCTCCCGATAATAATATGATGGGAATGGTATTACCATCAAACAATATGTACATACCTCCTAATCAGATGATGATGAACAATCAAATGTTTATGGGTGAGCAAATACCACAACAGCAGCCTCAGTCCATACCACCACAACAACAACAGCAACAACCACTGCCACCTCAACATCTTGCCCAAGAAGATCAATGGATGGGCCCATCTGGGCCTCCAATACAACATGATCAACATTGGGGTCAACAACAGCCGCCTGTTAATAATGGACCACCACATTTTGAAAGGAGTAACCGTAACCATACCAGATGGGACAACAATTCTAGAGGTGGTAATAATTATGACTCTTATCGTGGGAAAATGAACCGGAATAATCAACGTGGCAATAGAGGTGGTCCGTTTAATCGCAGAGGTGGTCATCCTGGAAATGGAAGAGTGAGTCGGTTATGCAAATACTATGCAAAACAAGGTTTCTGTAAAACATCTAATTGTGCATTTTTACATTCCAAAAGTTAATAATGTTAAATGTAAAGGTGCATTATATGTATATAATTTTTTTTTTTGGCCACCAAATAAGACTGAATTAAAATTAGATAAAGTAGCTGTAATTGTTTCATACCCATTTATCCTCTACCATTTCAACTGACAAATACTGTATGTGCAATTATACATTATATAATATTATACATACTTAATTAAAACCTAATAACCTTTGTTGAATGTAAATATTTTATGTATAGTAGATTTGAGGTAGTTAATATTTAATGATATAATTGCATAGTGTTGTAATATAAACATGTTTAAAATAATAATATTTACCTAGACACGTAGATTTAATTTTATTAATATTTCTATAATATAAAATCAAATTCTTTAATTAGCTCTTAATATGCTAATTTATTATCTACATATTGTTTTTGGTTCCATAAATTGGAATTTGAAATGTTATCTTACTTCAAAATATGAAGTAAAAGAAAAAAAAAATGTTAACTACCAATACTATGATATAAGTTATGTACAAAATATTTCTTTACAGTAATACTTTAATGTGTTATTTAGTGTCTTATGTTGTAGGTTAAAATGATCAATAACTCCAAATGTTCTGTTCTCTCATGCAATGCATGTTATGACTATAATGTTATTACTGCATCATAATTATCAATATGTGCTACGAGAACACAAATGTTTAATTTGATTATGTATTTAAATATAATTTGGGTTATTAATAAATGTAATAATATAAGCACATAGTTTTTTCTCCTTATCCTATTTTCCTAACTATAATAAAAGTACATTAAAATTTATTAACTATGGTATGCTGATAGTCTAATTACTTAAACTGTCATCAGAAGTTAAATTTATTTTCCCTTGAAAATAGTATTGAATTCTTATATGCCTGTTATATATACTTTTCTTGCTACTGGTGACACTAAACAGCTCCCTCTATACCAAATGAGTCTAAACTTGGAATTAGATTTATTTTACTGATGGATTGAAGCAATACCAATTGCGTCAAATTTCAATATGAATAATTGTTGTTAGAAGAGAGTGGTTTTGACCTTTGAATATCTCTATAGACCTACCAAATGAAACTAGGATGATAAAATTTTGAATACCTATGTACCTATTTAATTAGTGATAAAGAAGTGACCTATTTTGGGTTTTCAACTCCCAGCCCTTGCCCTTGAAATTTGTGTCCCAATTAGGATGTAGTCTCACGTAGACATATTATACAGTATGTGTATTATTATACTTACCTTGTATTTTGAATACATACTACCATTTGCTTTAAATTTATGCCTACAACAATTGAAATTCAAACACATATATAAATGATATAATCTGTTTTATTTTTTCTTCTTATTATTTTTCTCTGGTCTCTCTTATCTATTTGCAGTCTAGATAAGTGGTTATCAATTTTATAGTCGATGTAATAGGGTTCATATAATGTTAGAAATATTACAAAAAAAAAAAATAAAATAAGGGGGCCGTGATTCGTAAAAGGTTGAAAACCACTGGTCTTGGCTCTCCACGTGGTTGGTACATATTATTATGGCTGGTCCATAGTACTACTGGTACTATTGAAATTTGAATCAAAAATATATATTTTCCATCCCAGTGGCCAGGAGATCACTACTTTTGAGACTCGGAATGTAGGAGTATAATACAATAAAATAAAAAGTCAATTTTAAGCCTTACAGTTTTATTTACTAAACATTTCGTTATAGTGTTATACACTCTAAAGTTTATATAAACATAATTTACATTTAATTTTAATTTCACTTATACTATAATAACCTGAAATATAATGTATTTATTCATAGATTTTCCTACCAATTTGAAGTTGTTAGATTTCGATTATATTAGAGCATATAGTCATAGTATTGTAAGTACTTATTTGAATAATTATAAATCATTACAAAAAATACAACCGATTAAAATATAATTTACAAGAAATCAACGGGGGGGAAAAAAAAACAATAATAAAAATAATTTATATTTATACCATTCGTTTCAATATTTTATTGGTAACAAATTATGATTTTTAGGTACACAATTATAACTTCATCACATAATGTACAATATTATATTATGTAACAATATAATTTTATAATAATATAAGTACTAATTTTGATAAACTTACAAGAATAATGCAATGGGTGAGGTCGACAAAATATTAATGCCATAAATTGTTATTTTAACTTTTTTTTATATTTTGATTGTAAATATAACTGTATCATTCGTTTATTACGTCTATCAACTGAATTTGAATTCGGTCTTTCAGTAATACTGTGATAGTAAGTAGGCACTATATAATAATTATAATATAGTCAACCTATATTATACTATGGACTTATACAGTATGTCTTACAAATTGTTCTTGAAATTTCAAATTAAAAAAAAAATTATCATTAAAATATTATGTTTCCGATTAATTTGTCATTCCCACCTCACAACTGTTATTATATTATTATTATAGGTAATCGTTTTTGGTAACTGAAATTTCCTATCGATTATTTAATACTCGTATTTCCAATGTATACCTAGGTGCTAGGTATACATTTATCAACAAACTTAACTTTTTTATAATTTTTTTTTAATATTGGTAGTATATTTGTTACAAAAATTAATCTCACGCAGGTTGTGAAAAATAACTGCTATTAAAAATATCATTTATTGTTACTAGTTAAGACTTCCCATTCCGATAATCACATTTGCATAGGTACCATTTTAAATATTATATTAGGTATAGGTAAATATACCTAATTTTGAGTACATAAAACTTTTACAGGGTAGAAAAAATAAACACTTATATATTTATATCATCTCGGTAACAGCTTTATCATAAAATACATCGATATAACTTAACCTCCATTCTTAATCTGAATACAACACTGTAGTAGAAAAATATAAATAATAGGTATGTAATCGTAACATAAGATAAATAGACCAGTCGGAATAAATGGCCGTTTAACATGCTATACGTGTCATTATAGAATAAGGATTGTAGCAAACATAATATTATATGTGAGAGGAAAAGCACGTGCGGCCTTTTCACGATAGATACACAATTGTTTTTTGTTTTTCACAATATCAGTTTTAAAACAAGTATTATCAAATTTTGTCCGTGATTATGTGTTGAAAATATAGTTTTCTAAATGGAAAATAAATAGTAATTCTTATCCGTTCTCTAAGTAGATAACGATTCCTATTTCATGTAGAATACATTGTAACATAAATATATCTTTGTTTTTTTGACCACAGGGGCGGAATAGCCTGCCGGGCATCCTGGCGAATGGCCGGTGGCTTGGTTTATGAGTAGGAATGACAATTTGTTTGTGTATTTAGTGCCTATTACCAAACACTTGAACCTCAAATATAGATTGTAGCCATTCAGTCTCCGGGAATCATAATTTATCCAACTGTACCAATGTAAGAATACTCGTGAACATCGAAGATAAGCAAACATCGATGCAAAATATCGAAACTAAACCATTGATGTCAAACATCGATGTTTTATCGCCATGAGTGGCCCGAAGTGTTCAAAATTATATGTTATTTTTTGTTACTTAAAAATAAATTTTTTATTAATTAAATTATTCTTATAGAATAAAGAACTCGGATATAGATTCGTATTTATTGCGCGATATACCTATTTAAATTCTTAGAATTGCATAGAAGAAATTCCGAAAGGTACTGGTAAATTTCATTAATCGAATCTGATACCAATAATTGACGTTAGTAATATTTTTCATTTCTAAAAACCTTACTTCATTAATCATACTATATTAAAATAATAAGTATTTGCTATTTCGTAATATCATTATTTTATTTAGGTATTTTGGTTTGTTTTAACTTTATAGTGCTAAAAGCGGCAAAAGACGAAAGAAAATCCAAGCGACACACGAACTGCGGTACAGTATAGAGGGGAAGTGTATTGGGGAAGTCATTTAAGTGTTTTATTTGTTTATATAATTTTTGACGTATTTATACTCACGAAGTTGTAAATTATCTTGTCGTCAAAATTGAACAAAATAGTATTTATTTATAATTTTATGTTTCAAATTGTCTAATGTAGGTTAAAACTTAAAACAGTGGAAAAATAGTTTTACCATTGGAAATGGCATACCGAAGAGAGTGGGGGCGATTAAGGAATGACCCATCTCACGGTCCATTTAAATCACGTTTAATATAGAAAAAAAGATAATATAAACTATTCAGCATTAAAAAATGAATTTAATACATATAGAAATAATTTATACGCATTACGTATACTTGTATAAAATCAAGTTCGATTTATGTTTGCTTTTTACGAAAATTTACAAATTTATTCTGATCTGGATGAAACATTTTACACATGATATTTAAAACAAAAGAACTACTTTATCTCGAAATTCAAGCTCTAACGAGTTGCTGCACAAAGTTTTTGGTATTTTTCTAAAATGGAAATATTGAACTTTTTTTGTTGATTTATGGGTTACCTTGGCGATACGCATGAAAAAACCAGTTATTATTATTTAATCTGATTGTCGTGGTCAAGGAACAACCCTTTTTAAAGGATAAACTACTGAGCAATTAATATTTACTATGATAAGAATAAAAATGAGCTCGAAATACTAAGTAATTCAGCTATAGTTACTAATCAAATAATAATCATTACACATTTGCACTACTTATTCAATTAAGTACAAATAATTATAATACAAAATTGTGAATTTTTTAGCTAAGTACTTTCCCCTCCCTCCCATTGAAAAATCCTAGATAAGCCACTGATCATTGGAATTGCACAGTGAGTGTTATAGTTAGTATTTTGACTGAATTATTTTCTCTTAAAAAAAAAATGTATTTATGGTGGATATTATAGAAGGGATGGTAATTGGCGATGAAAGTTTCTATAAATGTAATGTCTGAAAATGTGTTTATAATTCTCTATACAAAAATTGTAATTAGGTATACAACTATCAATATGGCTATCAAGAAATAGTAAAAATTGAAGTGGCCTGGACATATAGTGACCCGGTAAGAATTTTCTAGCCACTTCGTCCTTAATTTGTCTATTGATTAATTTTATAGAACAGTAATTTTACCAATGTCCATTTGTATGGTTTATATTTTTAGTAGGATAGGAGAGAGAGATGGGCATAGACCCCTCGAGTGACCTAGTTTTTTTCCCTGGGGGCTTTAACACCCCCCCAAATGTTTCGTCAAAATCGCACGGGGGATGACAAATAATACAAATTATCAAATTCAAGGACATGATATCAATGTTTTATTGATCCAATGAATAATTCTTACTGCCTTTAGATAGATGGTCTTTGGTGCTGTTCGTATGATTACTATCTTGATTTAATGATTTTATGACCATCCCTGGCCTATTTATCTTATGTCTTTGTATGGAATCTTAAAAAATATGTTTGGTTATCGTAGTCCTCTACACGAATGCTAAACTACGAAATACTTATTAATTTATTATGATTAATGGCTTATTTAATACGTGTACCTATAATAATTTATACATTTTAACATGACAATTACATTTACTTATTATAGATTAGATATACTTATGATAGTCACGCTTGCATTAATTTAACTAAAATATATATATAAATATATATTTAATTTTAATAAAAGTAATAATTGTATTTTAAGCTTAAGCCAAAGTTTAAGTTGTTTTAAATATAATATATACAAATAAGTTTATATGTTTATCCGGACGCATAAAATATATCCCACGAGTATCATACGACAATTATCTATGTAGAATTTAAATTGACTTTTATGAATAATTGATTTACCTACGCTAAGAAATTGAGCTCAAATATGCCATTGATGCCAGTTAATACGATATAACTCGAAAAATATTATCAGCCAAATATTATCGAACTCTGGGCGTTAAAACTTATACTGTATACATAATAATGATAAATTACATAACTCATGAGCTTTGCGATTCTACAGTTTTGTAAAGTAAAAATAATATTATCATTTATGATGGGCTCAGTGTAACAACAAATAACAAGGCAAGTCCAGAAAATGACTTTAAGATAGTTTCGAATAAAGCAATAATTAATGTTACATAATTTGGTGCAACAATAATACAAGTCCATCTATCCACTTATTACGGAGAAAATATTGATGTGGACTTGTCTGGTTATAATCGAATTTTGGTCAAAAAGATTACCTTCCCATAGATATTTACGGTTTTTTTTTCTCTCAACTGAAAGGTTTTGAATAGTGGACTTGGCTTGGTTAATTTTCCTGAACAATTTCGAAAAGTGGTCTTGTTTTGTTGTTGCACTGGTCACTTTATATAGAATTTATTAAAATAGACACATTTTTACATATTACGTAATAAATGTGTATACACGAGTTTTTATTTTTTATATTTTTATATAAAAATAGCCTGATGTTTAATATAGTATATTTATTTATTTTATTTTCTACGAAGTACTTTTTTTTTTTTTTTTTCTTTTTTTCATAGCTTATTATTATTTTTTGAATTAACACTTATTAATTATATTATAATATTTTTTTATAAAGACTAGTTTGAAAAAAAATCTCACTTTTTTGTCTTATTATAATAATAATAATATTATTATTATTATTGGAGTAATATACAATATTACGAATCAATATTTTATTGTCTATATTATTGTTTTAATACCATAGCTGTGGTGAATAATATTACACCTATATCTATAAATACTGCGCGCCGATCTTTCGATGTCAAAGTCAGACTCCGAATGAGATTGTGTTTCGCTAAACACTGTTGCCAACCGGTAACGTAAAGTAAGTATATTATATTAGATTATATAATAATAATATACAATAAGTGGGCATAGATAAATACACGACACTTTTGTCAATGAGCAATTTTTAGTTTTTTTTTTTTTTTAATTTTAAAATTTTTTTCAAAATCTATATATGTATGTATGTAATACATACGGAATGACTGGTTAGGAATATCCATATAAGTCAAATTTCTTTAGTGTGCGAATAGAAAATTAAGAAATATTCGCGTCGAAAATCGCGTTCTATCTTTAAATGTAATGCTGCGTTATTAGATAGATATTGTTATATTATAGTATTATATGTGTTTCGTTTCGTTAAAAAAATAAACATGTACAATTATTACTCTTTGCTAATAAAACGGGTGAATGAATAGAAAAAATGAATAGAGTTATTGTCAGCGGTACCTGATTACGAGCGATCGTCAACGGCATTTTACATTAAATACGAACTATAATATTTTCATAGCACTACGGTTGTAAACCTATATAGTTTTTTTTTACTGTACAGGTAATCAGTGCTAAAATATTGAAAAAATAAAAAATATGTACCATGAGACATAAAAAAAAAAAATCTCGGAAAGTCGTTGACGGAAATTAAACACTTCAACGCCAAAATGTATTTAAACTAAAACAGCATCTATTTATGGAATTTTTAATACAGTTTGCTGTTGTAATAGTGGTTTCATCTGCAACCGTATGGGTGATAAAAAATGAGAAACTAATTACATTTTAGAGTTGCTTATTATTTCATTCAATTTTCTAAAAAAAAAAAACAACCATTCGAAAAAGTTAATATTTTCTAAGATAATGAGTGTCTTACGTTATATTGATTATTCATTATATTATAATATAAACTATAATGTACCCAATGTTAAAATAATATGTGCTCGGATGTAATGATACAATTTAACAATGAAGTCGCCCAGACAATCGTTCGCAATCGTTTTTCAGGTATGAAAATCGATATTATCTTTGAACGAACGACGTGTGTTCACGATTGAGTATGTCAAGTAGCTATAACTATTTTATAAAGTATTCCGTTTCCCATCTAAATAGTATTCATCAATAAAGACAAAAAAGATTATCTTAAATATAAGATTATTTTGGTAAAATCAATGGGATTGACATTTTTCATGATGTTTCAAACATTGATTTATTAAATTAAGTGGTCGCGCGCGATTGGACGGAGGACTTGTATGTTTTATACAAAATTTATTTTCCTGACACACATTCTATACATTACTATAACTTATAAGCTTTGGTTTTATAACGATAAATATAGATTTATTATATTATAATAATAGTATATCAAAAAATAAAAACGTTGACCGATGATAAACAGTTATTGGATTTAACAACAGTCTCGAGTTTAGTATGCAATAGATAATATTGTACGTTTTAGTTTAATTTTAAATTCTCATCTACCGTCAATCACTAGTTTATTGGGGATTAGTCATTGTTTTATTAAAGATAATGTGAAATGATATCTTAATTAAGTGCCAAAAACCGTTCACAAGGACTCCCCAACCGTTAAAGGCGAATCTTATAAGGAAGGGACAAGGGCTTAAGCAGCTTTCCTCCTCCTCCCTCAAATGAATTGGTATATTATATTTATGGTAAACGATTCGCAACGTAACGGTTGTTTATACCTACTATTTTTCATTTTAACTACCTATTTTCTATGGAAACACAAAAATAAAATCTTGGGTGCGTCGTTGCCGTTGTATGGTATACTTGTGCTGATAGCTAAATTATGATTCGGTTTGGAAGCGATATTGCCGCGACAGAGGTCTGCGATGACCACCGTCATGGCCGAATGCTCGTGGCGATGTCGTGCGTTTGCAGGGGAGGATCAGTAGGAAAACGATTCGGCCGGTATTTTCGTCGGCGAACCCGTCTCAGTGCTTTCTGTCGTCGTCGTCGCCCTTCTTTGATGATGACTGTTCGTCTTTTCTTATGCGGTTTTCGATCCATTCCACGTACATGGGCACGTTGACGTACACTCCTGGCATGCTGGGCGTCGCGCACTCAACGCCCCAGCTAACGATGCCACCCACGAACCACTTGTCCTTAAACCCTTCCATCGGGCACAGCAACGGACCTCCAGAGTCACCCTGCGGACACAATAATAATAACATAGTCGTTTCGTATATAAGATGGGTTCGTATACAATTATGTGTCAAAAATATCGTACGCGCACGTTGAAATTATTTTATTTATAATATTATGCAATAAATACGTATCTACCAATATAAAATCCAGTTCCAGATGTCTTATTTGTTAAAATAGAAGGAAATGTAACGCAGTGTTTTAAAGGTTTTGTAATTAATATATTTTTATTGAGAGAAGAAGTATTAACGTGATATGAGTAAAAACGTACAAAGAAAAAGATAACAGAAAAGATGACCTCAAGAGAACATAATCAGTAAATAATTGCTAATAACTTGTTATCAGTTATTACTCTCTCAGATCTCAACACTCTTCCTCAATATTAGATTGCATTAAATAAAAGAAAATTAATATTGCATATATGTAACAAGTAAAAAAAAAGAACTGATACTGGGGATGGGAGTGGCTACTGTTGTAGGTGAGACGTTGGGAAGGTAGAATACATAAGGTTATTTTATTTATACCTGTTAGCAACGATAAATCATTGGTTGACAAAAGACGATTCCGAAAGTAGTTCGGTAATACATAATTTGAAGTCGATTTTCGTTTAAATTTGATTTAAAAACGCTTAATAAAAATGAAAAAAAATCATCCGATAATTTTGGAAATTTTACCACGTCTAGAAACCAAGTCCAATATAAGAACTATTACCAAGTTTCAAGTTTCTACATGTATTTATAACCGAATTACAGCAAAAAACTTCCAAAAATTAAAATTCCTTAAAAGTTCAATAGTGGCTCAAAAGTTTTGGCAATGATACCGTGAGAATGTAAATCAAATAAAACAACAAAAGAATTATCTAGTGATTTTTCGATTAAATCATTTTTTCTGGTAGAAAACGTCGTCCGTGTTTTTATAAAATAATGAATCGGAACAAGTCTACTAGGAAAAAACGTGTCCACAGACTAAAAGAAGAAAAAAGAAAGAAAGAAAGAAACATCATTGTAAAACCAATAGCTCCCTACCTATGCTTGGAATCTAAAATAGTGATAATAATACACATTACTAATTCAAAATTACATTTATAAATTTGTTAAAAATATCTAGAGGCAAGGCTTTAGTTAAACAATCGGCCAATTGATTATCTGTTAGTGTGTATTTAACTTTGATTTGGTTTTCTTGAATACTTTTTTTGATGAAACTGTATTTTATATATATGTGCTTAAGTCGCTGGTGCTTCCTTGGTTCCTTGCTTATGCTTAGGCAAGACTGATAGTCCTCATACATAGTTGTTGGAGATTTTGTTGATAATCCTATTTCTGCCAACAGTTACCTAATCCATATGCACTGAGTTATGCTTGTTGCTAAAGCTATGCAATCGGTCTCTGTTGTGGACAGAGCAACTATGGATTGCTTTTTGCTTGCCCAACACACATTTGATTTGAAAACTTAAAAAAGATAGCCGCTTGTCGATTTTCTGTCATTGATATCCTCTGCAAAGTCAAAGTCACAATATCCGATAAGAATATTTGTGCTTACTTGTAAATGTCAAAGCATAGTCGATGGTTCCCATCAAGTACTTTAATATCATTTTAAGGCAATTCCAAAGTTCTATGGATTAGATTGAAATCTGCTCATGAAGTATACAGAGAAAGATACATCTGATCTAGAATCCATTACTAGATACATCAGGCGACTAATATGTTCACGGTATGGCTTGATTGTAGTTACTATCGTTTATGCCCAGCTTTAATTTTGTTTCGATTGGCGTTTTGATTGGATTATATTCGATCGGGAGTCATAAGCGGATACATAAGAGGTTTTAGATCTCCCGGAATATATTTAAGTAACGGAAGGTTTAAGCCCTTCCATAACACTATTTAATTACCTAGTTTACTAAATATTTATTCGTAAAATTTAGTTCTATATGTTTAATAATCATAATAATGTTTTTAATCCACTTCACGAAATGTACTGTTTTTTTTTTTAAAAAATCAACTGTCAATAGTGAAAATAAATAAAGAAAGCTTTATTGTTGGTTATATAAATTAAACATCCATATTATAAAATAAAATAGAATGTAATGTAATGTTTTTAATTTTAAGTTTAAATTTTTATGAAAACCGTGAAAATCATGGTATTTTTTTAACAATAATTAGTCTAGCGAAGGGACTAAAATTGGCTTCATTAAATGTTTACATCTCTTTATAAGAAACTGAAATCGCACCCCTGAAGAAACTCAAAATTCAATTTTACGTTATACTGAACAGTTCAAAAATATGTCCACTAATAATCTGCTGTCGTAACGATCGATTAGTATAAATATCGATTAAGGTTTGAACCGCATTAGGGAGGGTATGGTTTATATTACCGTGATATTATAATAACAATAACGATCGAATAACTTGTGCAACTCGAATAATTCAAAGGCGAAGAAGATTAATCGAAATGTAATTTGAATTCAGCCGTTGATCGCGTGTCTAATGAATAATAATCGTAATGACGAAAACCCGATACAGATGTGCGCAGATTACAAATCGCAGTGTAAATTACCCGGACGCATCACCAGTGTCTTATGGAATCATTCAAAGATGAAATTAATAAATATTGTTTATTTAGATTTGTAATGTGTGATTTTTTTAAAGTGAAAAGACAACAAATATAAGGTACATTAATGCATCATTATAATAAAATAGGTACCTATAATAATTATAGTATGTATAATTGTTGGTTTTAGGCTATACCCAATAACATCTGGCTATTTATAGTAATAATTTTGCTAAAAAAATTTCCTTGATGTTAGACGATGTTTAATATTGTAATACTTTGGTGTTATTTATAATACTATTACGCCATTAATAATGAGTTGCTTATTTTTCTTTGATAGTGTACGAAAAAAATATTGAATTTTAAAATTATATTAGAGGCAGATAATGTAAAGAGATCGTTTTTTTTATACATTTTTGGATAAATTTTTATACGATACTCAAATATAAATGTGTGTTTGTAAATAAATAAAAAGCACATATTAATCTACTTCGTAATTGTTATGAGATATTAATATTTGACAATACGTTTTTTTTTGCGCAGCCCAGATATTGAGTAAATTAAAATTAACTATAATATTTCTTGTTAATATCCGATAAGTACACTTACGTTTTTATATGTACTACAGACTTTGCACAGATAATACGGATTGTCTGGGCGTGTACACACAAAAAAAAAAAAAAAAAAAACAAAACTATAATTGTATAATTCTACTTACTTCGTATAGGTACAAACATAATAATATAGATTTTTTATGTTCGTGTAAAGTCATGTAGGTAACAAAACTAAGTGTATCTATGATTACCTAAATTACCTAAATTATCTAAATTACCTAATTAATCTTAATCAACATTCAACGTATTTGGTAAACCGCCCATCCACTTATTTTAGTCGTGAAGTAGTTGCCTAAAAAAAACTATTTGGAAACACCACTGACTACAGCAGTATATTATACTTTTTAGAAACGTACATATACTGTTTCGAAAGTATCCTGGCAATCGGTAATCGTATACGAGAATATCCGCATATTTAATAGACGACAACAAAAATCATGTCTTGTAAATAGTCCCCATAATCCGTATGGCATATAGGTAGGTAGGTACTGCATGTTTTTTTTGCAAGACTGTGCTGTACGATGTTAGTGAGTCGTTTACCTACTTGACATGCGTCTTTGCCGCCCTCCTCGTACCCGGCGCATATCATCCCTTCAGTAATGTTCACGTCTTTCTGTTTTAGCCACGTGTTGCACAGATCTCTGTCCAGCACGGGAACTGTGACTTCGTTTACTGTTGGTTCGTAGTCAGCTCCTGTGAGAAAATAATTCACCGTCAGTATGTATACATATTGATAAATAGTATGTACCGTGTTTGATATTGTACTGCCATAATACAAAATATATTTTAAAAAGCGCATTATAGAAAATCGGCAGTGTTGCGTTTTATCCTCGATAGGTAAATTTGTATCTTTTATCTTATGTACAATATATATATATATTATATGTGCCTATCTAGATTAATGAAAAGTTACCTATTTGAACAAAAATGTTAAACAATTAGGTCATCCATGTAAATCCGGGTAAATTTTAAATCCTATTACTATATTTATTAGGAATAATAAGTAAAATATGTATTAATATATCTAATATGTTTTATAAATTGATTATTAAGTTAAATAAATCATAAGACTTTTTAAAATTTAGATGTATACTATCATATCTAGTACATTTCGAGCATTTAGTTTTATATAGTTTTTTGGTTATCCATTAAGTATAAATCTTTTTTGTTGATCTTGATAAACAAATAGCTGATATTTATCTTTATCTAGATAACTATGTTTGTAAATATCATTTATATTCGTCTTGATTATTTTCCTAGCAAGTATCTATCTTTATCTAGGTATTTTAAAACGTATCTTTACAGAGCACTGAACATAGATACGCACGTATAGAACCTCATTACATAAGCTGCTTCTATAATTTTTTTTCAAAAAAACAAAGTGTATATTATGACGTATGGTTTTTAATAAACATCATTCAGTTAGTATTCTTATCATAATTCACCTGAATATGTATGTTAAATTGTCAATCATTTCTATTTGACCAAAGTAATTGTAATCACGTAAAACCAAATAATAAACTCGACAAAATCAGATGTCTATATTAGAAAAGGCTAATATTCTATATAATAACTATTCTGTGAAAATTATTATTTTACTGATTTCATAGTTTTATTGTATAACATTATAATATTTTTGTGAGGTAGCTGATTATTTGGGCGAAAATCAAAATGGTTTAAACTTAATTATCCTTGTATAATTATTAAATTTACAGTTGAACGAGTTTTATAAAATAAAGTTTATTCCAATGCTTTAAAAAGTTTTTTTTAAACAAAAATTAATAAGGATTATAGGACTTTCTTATTCTTTTACAGTCCAACCAAATTATTTATTTTATAAATAATTGAAGTAAGAAAACTATATGGAGAAAAATAATTTTACTTTTAAATTGAAATGCATAAAAAAATATTTTCAAAACGAATATACTTTAATAATTTTGTAAACGTTTAAAAATTGTTTATACAAATATAATTTATATTTTATAATTTGCTTTACAATATTGAACTACTTTTTTTTTCTTATTTTCTTATATGTAGAGGCCAAAATTGAAAAACACTATGCAAATAAGTTTATTGCATTTATAACTGTGAACAGAAAACTAAATTGTTAATTATTTCCTCGTGTCGAATAATTTGATATTATAATTTCAAGAATAATAACAAATTGTATTGTACTCCAATATTTTGAAATCTCGTAGAGATAATACGAGAAATATAATTCTTTAGCTACGATCTAAGACTCAAATTTAAACTAATCCCATGACGTATTGTGTTCGCAAATATTTATGTATAGTAAAATCTCCTTACAACGGAACCGCTCGGAACCAACTTATTTTTCGACTATAAAGGAGTTTCCGTTACAGGAGATTAAAAAATACAGGATATAGGTTATGCAGAATTGTTGTTGTTTTCCGGTTTAAGGAGATTTCCGCCTTTTAAGTTATAGGGGTTCCGTTATAAGGATGCTTTACTGTATTTACTATTTAGGCACATACTAGATAGATAGATTCATTCGACTACATATTCAGGTGAATTATGATAAGAATACTAACCGGATGATGTTTATTAAAAACCATACGTCATAATAAACACTTTGAGTTTTTGAAAAAAATTGTAGAAGCAGCTTATGTAACGAGGTTTTATACGTGCGTATTTATGTTCAGTGCTCTGTAAAGATACGTTTTAAAATGCATGATATTATAAAAATTGTCCTCTCATTGCTACCAAATAGACAAAATTCGCCATCAAACCACCAAAGAAATTGATAGTCAGTGTTAGAATTCTGGAGGAAAGGTTGTAACAAACATAAAATAAAAGTACACATCATAATACGTATAGTGAATAGTCAGTACGTTTTTCGCTACGCTTACAATGTAAAAAGTTATTAGATCCGGTAGTGATGTAACGAGACAAAAGAAAATTTTTAAAATTAGTAGTTTCTTATTGATATTTAGTTCAAGAACCCTAGACCAACATTATACAATATTATTCCGAATTAATGTGAAAAACCACACATATATCATTTTTAAAATATCAATTTATAATATATTTACGAGTATTATTGTTTCACACTGCATATTTTTTTGTAGATTTCGTAATTTAACGTGTCGATTTATTTCAAGGGTTTATTATTAAAATATAGCTGCGTGTATTGTGCATTATAACTTTTTTTAGTTTATTACAAAACTTTACTGTACCTATACGCAATACATTCTAAAAATTCTTTCAAAATTAACAAAGGCAATAATAACGTTTAGGTTGCTGTAATATTTTCAATATGGCGCGAAATAAATACAGCTTTTTTGTCTCCAATAAATCCTGCAAACTCGACTGCCAGGGTTAATGTCTCTTTTTTGGGTTAACATACCAATATTTTAATTTATTTTCTCAACGTTTAATAATGCCCTGAAATTTAACATTCCCGTTAAAATCCTTTACTTTTTATTAAAAAGAAAACTCTAATAAGTACCTATATATTGTATATTGCTATAATACCTATATACTCACGATAATTTCGTATGGTTTCTTTTTTTAATTATCTACATTCAGAAGACAAAAAAAAAAAAAAGGGAAAAGCTGATACTGGGGATGGTAGCGGCCATTGTTGCAAGTGAGAAGTTGAAAAGGTAGGATACATAAGGTTATTTTAATTATACCCGTTAGCAAAGATAAATCATTGCTTGATGAAAGACGATTCCGAGCGTAGTTTGGTAATACATATATGGAAATGCTGTAATTTTTTTTGTGATTTTCGTTTAAATTTGATTTCAAATTTTTCGATTAAATCATTTTTTCTGGTAGAAAACGTCGTCCGTGTTTTCATAAAATAATGAAATCGTGAAATTGTACGTTTTCCCACGATTTTTTCCACTTAACATATTGACGGACACTTGGAATATAATTTTTACCATTATATTCGTAGTGCTACAATTGCATCCAGAATCTATGTAATTTATCAGTGTAGACTGCCGTAATGTTGCAGTTCGTTGTCTTCTATGATTTGATACCATTGAAAAGATTACTGCTTCCGCAATATTGACGTAATATGACATTTTACATATTACTGCTATAACAGTAATGTCCGTCAATGTGTTAAATGCCATTATTTAAAAAATGGCATCGAAAATCGAAAAATGGTCTCAAACTTTCAGTAAAGGTGCTACACTTATACATCGGAGCAAGTTTACTAGGAAAAAAAACGTGTCCACAGACTAGAAAAAAAAAAAAAAAGAAGAAAGCAATAAACAGCATTATAGAGCCAATAGTCCCCTCGCTACGCTTGGAATTTAAAATATATCGGACGGAAGTAAAATGTTTTATATTTTTCACGATAATATTGCCAAACCGATGATAATGATTTTACAATAATTGAAAACTTTTAAATGTATTTATAAACTCGCTGGTACCATAATATATTGATATAATATTTCACTTACCTATATATTAAATACATTATGATTCGTTGCGGTGAAATCGTATAGGTTGGTACTCGGCAAAACTATAAACTATACCTGCATACGTCCATACGCGCCACATAAAACTGTTATTCGTATATTAACTTTATGTAACCGAAAACTTTGATCGGAAATAACTATATAACTGGAATTTATATACATGCTACGTACCGTTATACCTAGGTATACATAGGTGCATTCACACGTGTGCGGAAATAGTATGACTTCTACCGGAAAAACCGGTGAATTTACGATCCGTAATTTATGAAGACATTTGGTTTTAAGTGCTGAAAACTTTGAAAACGCATCTGTGATGTAGCGCGATGTGGCATCGGCGAAGTGCGATTTCTCTATATAATAATAAACACGCGCAATATATATACGAAAAAAAAAAAAAACCGAGTAAAAATTTATTGATCGGCCACCGAACAATAGCCGTCGGACCCGGAACTTTTAAACGTGCAGTCGAAAAGATAAAAGGGATGACCGAATGCGACGTTTAAACTCGATTGCAGGTGAAGGGAATGAATAATCACGGTCATTGACAACCTCGTGGGGATTATTATTTTTTATTTTACGTTAAAATTAATGAACACCTTGAATATGGTAGTAAACAGCACCTATTAAAAGAATTTTTTTCTAGTTCATTTATACAATATTATAGAAATATATTTCATTGTATTTTGTAATACACGTTGAAAATTGTCGAAATACACAAAAAAAAAAATTGAACTCATGTTAGGTAAATGTGCTACCTATGTTTACCTATATATACCTAGGTACCTATGCTATACTATACAGTATTATCGTGCGTCGAATTTTAATAATTATTTTCAAAATTATAACATTCGCGTGTATACAACGGAAATATTACGAAAATGCATCCTGTTATAACTGTTATAGCTGTATTTATTTATTTAATATAAATAAATGTTAGGTACAATCATTAATATTTACACTAAATTGCGAATTTACCTTCTTGTCCGTTTCGTCTGCCCCATCCGATAACCGTGCAGCTGATGTTGGGTTTCAGGATCATGTACGGTTTTGGCAGACATACCGGAAGTAAAAATTCATGGAACCTCAACTTTTCACTAAGCTAAAACACGTTGGAATTTGGAATATTTAGTATTATTTTAGTTATAATAACGAGAAACAAAAATCACGTGTATACACCTTAATAATATATTGCGCGCTATAGATAACAATTTGATATTTGTGGCCGAAAATCGTCAAAATTTGTTAACAATAAGTTAAAAATTACTTACGTGCAGAGGAAACCGTTACATAATATTTATAATACTTGTATATAAGATAAATAAATGTAGTATACTGTATATAGGTACCTTGAATAGCGCAACATCATTATCGTGTTGAACAGGCCCGCCATTGTTATATTTTTCATGTCTGATTATTTTTGCCACTTTCATTTTGCTACCGAAAAATGAATGAGAATGTCTTCGCGTCATTCCGAGTTGAATTGTCCACTCGGTGAGGTCGTCCAAGACTTTTTTCCTGAAAACGCAATGCAAATCAACAAAAAACAAAAATAAATGATGATACTAATTTTGTCACTGTGTCACTGTTGTTGACGGGAAGTTAAGATTATACGTATATTATAGACCAATTTATTTTATATTTGTACTTAATGATAAATTATTGCTAACGAAAAAAGATTCTGAAATTAATTCAAATTGTTGAACTCAATTAATTAATACATCACTTCAATCTGCCTATGAAATAACATCGAATCCCGAGGTGAGATTGAGCTTATTTGATTCAGGGGGAGCAGATATAAGTGCTCAAAAATAGCAGGAAATAGAAATAACACAATTCAACATTCCCTATTTTAGAGGAAAAATTTGATGAAAAACTATACACATTATATTAAATGATACGCTCAATATCTAAAACAAATATTGCTATAACTATTACTACGTATATATTATGCCATTATGGTTTTTTGTTGTTTTCCTCAAACCTAGGGCTGAAATCTATTTGGTCTTACCCTCCAGTGCAGTGAGCCGCTGTCAAAACCCACTGATCGGATATCAATACGCCGGCGCAGTAGAATATTTCGTCCGGACCCCCGAGGATTGCTGCCAGAAACGGCCAGTCGCCCGGCAGTGAAGCTTTTCCTCCCACTATTCTAGTTCGGCGTATGGTTTGTGGTCTTCTTCGGACACCACACTCTGTGTTTAGTAAACGTAGACAAGCAAAATTGTATTATTACTATATAATAAATGAAAATAATCCTCGAAAACTGCAGAAAATAAAAGGAACCATCATACTACGTGTTTTTATATGATGGGCACAAAGATAGTAGTCAAATTTCGAAAATTATTCCGTAAAAAAAATTTTTTTTTACAGTAGTGTAGATTACATTCATTTTTAACCAGTACATCTAATATTCTACCTTCATCTTCCTTCATCATCCTTATCTAACTAAAACCTTTTTACACTCAACATTCGATTATAATTTGAAAACACTATTAAATGGTACCATTATCTCGAAAATTTAATAAAACGGACAAATACATTTTTTCATACAATTCAATACAATTTTTCTCTGTAGCCTTCAAATAGATAAGAAAATCATAAAATCATATTTTGAATAAACGATCACATAAACAATTCCATATTAACTGAAATTACTTGAGGTTTCGTATGATTTAAAATAAATATTTTGTATAAAAAAGTATGCATCTGTTAAATTGGGTTAATCATATGAATATATGTATATATTTTTTAAAGCATCTTTTTGTTTTGAAATTAAAAAATATTCGTATACAGAACACTAGACTGTAGTACTTACCGAAATTGGTACAAGAAATACTTATTGATGGATAACTGTACGAATCGGGACAATCGTGAATTTCTCTGTAAACGGTCATTTTGTTTTCGTCATAGTACTCGTCTGATTGGTTGTACTTGACAGAGGCCAAAAGTTTGTTATTTTCGCCGAGTTTACTTCTGGAAGATACTCTGTAATTTATAATAGGCCACGATTAAAATTCGCAGTTCAAAACACTTTGCGCCCGAATAAACAATATAGTAGTACTATCACTGCAAAAGTTATATTTTATGTGAGAAATTAACACGAATATAATATATATCTACCTACGGATTATATATTACTATATTTTAACCAAGGAAAACTTTTAGAATTTAAGGATAACTTGACGCGTCCGTTATAGATGTATTAATTTTCCTTAATATTATAATACAGTGTATATTAAAACGATGCTGAAACCAAACGGAAAATAAACGAATGCAAAATATTAAATATATTTTTTAAGAGCTTAATCTAAAATCGTATGAATATATTATTATTATATATCAGTTAATGTTTCTTATTTGCATAAGATATTTGTAATAATATATTAAATAGTGGATTGATACTGTAGGATATAATTTATTCTTGATTTGTACAAACATTCTATGGTGAAGGAGTGAAAAAAAAAATTTGTCGTTATAGATTACTTATATCCGAGTATGTTGCAAATTATTGTGGCTGACATCGTTGAATCCCAACTCTGAATGCACGCAGGTTTCCAAGATGTCGAGTTTGGCCAGTAAAGCTCTAACACTCCGTCGCCTTTCTCGCCCATTTCACCACTCAGTCGCACTGTACAGGAACAAAAAACTAATTTTTATGCCGTGTCAAAATAAAAATTTGCAGTGTGCGTGTATGTGTTTTTTTATCACGGAATATAGCAAGTCGAAATGATAATTTACCACAATTTCGTTCGTCTTGTCCCCATTCGCAATCGGATACGCCGTTACAAATATGCTCCATGGCTATACATTTCCCGGCGCCGCAAAACAATTGATCTAAAAAATAATTTTAAGTAAATTTCATCGGTTATATATTACCTAAATATCATATTTTATGGGCATTTTCTTCCAAAAGAAACGATCAGACTGTTTTCAAAAATTAACCGCCAAATACATTTTACTCAACTAAACCGGATAATCTATTTTAAAAATAGTTTAGGCCGTTTAAGGTATCACGGATACAGACTATTGATTATAAGTGTCGTCTAATTTTCTTTAGAATTGCCTACCATTTTATTCGAACTGGAAAAAAATAAAAACAATTTCGTACACGTTGATGGTACCAATGCATAAATGTAAACGGCACGGTAGCGATGGGTCCAATAAGTAGTCTTCGTACGAGCTCGAATCATCCTTTCGTATATCGTATTGGTGCATTCTTCCAGGACGTTAAACACGATAAGCACTATGCGATTACTTTTTTTTTCTATCAAAATTCTTCCGACACGCGCGTTAGCTATAATAATAATAATACACTGCTACACCGTATCTGTACCGTGATGATATTATTTTGTGCATAGTCGTGTGTACCTCTACATATATGTATATAATAGTGATATATATGGTATACTATGTAACGACACTTAAAATTTATGATATTATATGACAACAATAGGGCACTGCACATTCTGCCTTTGCGGGATTATAGGACGTCTGCTACGACCGTTTTTCGGATGTCATTTAATATCTACACCACACACTACACACGCGTCAACGATAAATCGACACGATTCTAAACCGTAGGTATATATATTTATGCATTTGCTGGAATATTAATTATTATTATAGAGGGCCTACATATAGTAAGAGAGTGGCCAACACGCTTAACACGCGTTCTGATTGGTTGATCTGTAATTTATATCTATATATGGACTGCCATTTTCTATAGGTAATAATGTAGACATATTTATAACCGTTAACATTAACTCGAACATTTTTCCAACAAAATAACTTAATTATTAAATTTATCAATTTGTCATTCATAATTTGAAACTATTGTTATTAATTATCGCGCAGAGATGTTTTATTCACAATTTAAGATATATGCTGAATTAAATATGGATGTATCGTCGTTTTATTAATTATTATTTCTTAGTAATAATTATTACTCCTAACTATTTTTATTATTGTTTTATATCTTTTCTTCAAAATCTAACCGACGTCCTTATTATTAGATTGATAAAAATGAATGTTAATAAATTTAAATTTAAAATTAAAATTATTATCGTTAATAGTACAGAATTTTTAAAAAAATTGTTTGTCTTTGCCCCCCTTCCACCCATTTCAAAATTTTGGCTACGCCATTGATAATGATACGCTGTGTTGACTTGTCTTATACTATTTTTGGTTGAGGTACACTCAGGTACTCTTTCTAGTCTCTAGATATAAATGATATTGATATAATAATTATACACTGTATAGCATCTTATTGTATATTATACGGGTAATAATTTCATAAGCGATACCCTATCCAAAGACCACGATTAAAGTGATGAGAAAAGATACAAACAAAAACCGAATAATCCTATAATTTAAATAATAAAATGTTAATATCGATTTTTATAACTGTTATAGAAAATGAATATAAAATAATAATAATATTCGCAAATTAACTCGTAAATCGAAATATGTTTTTAGAACTTAACAGATAGTGAAGCAACATAATATTGTACTTATACCTACCATTTACCCGGTGAATAATTAACCAACTAACGGACGGTCGATTTTATATTTGCCTATGGTTTATTGATGAACAGTTTAAACATTATACTGACGACTCTTTTATGGTAAACAAGTTGGTTTTCGGCCCTTTGATGTAAATAATCGTCTTTACACAAAACCATCACAGCAGAATAATTTCGTTTTAAAAGTCCAAATAAATATTTAATACAACTTAATAGTAGGTGCCTATAAATATATTATATACATTATACAGATGCGTGTTGTATTAATACAAAATCTACACACATTTTTTGTGTGAGGGGGTTTGAAATTTCTCTAAAATATAAGTGATTTTATAATATTATAAAAATACGTATAAGATATGAATTGAGTAATAATATGACGTATATATTGATTGACAAAGCAACATTATCAATTGAAATCCGCTTAGAATCGTTTTTTCGTTATCAATGGTTTATCGTTGACTACAGATATACATTAAATTCCCTTCTGTATCTTATCTTCCCAACTTCCCGCCTACAACAGTGGCTGCACCCATTCCCATTATCCTAGAACAGGTTTGTTTGTGTATGTTTATTCAAACGGAATTCAAGGTCTAGTATCACGATACCTATTATATACATATTTCACAAATTTGATGAATTTCAAAAAATATTTATAACAGATAAAATTTGTTGAAAAAGGTGCATTGGGTTATTTTGTTGTTATTTAAGTTTATAATTCGATGAACGATAAACGCATTGTACTTAGGTATAGAACAAAACAATTTCTAATAAAAATTGTAAATACTTCAATATACCACATTGATATAAAATACCTACAAAATCTTTTATAATTTGTTTTATTTGATTGTGAATTATATCTAATTTAATTTATTGTTTTATTAAAAATAATATATTAAACAAATTGTGTACATTATATGCAGAACGTTTTTTGATTGGTAAAATCGACGAAAATATTAATTTATTTATTCAATTACTAATTGTTGTTATTTCCGAATTCGTCTAAATAATGTTATTGTTGTAGTTTGCTTTCGGTTCAATGCTTACATAGGTAATAAATAGGGCAGATGACTTCTAACATTTGTATATTATTACTTTGCGCAGTCCTAAAGAAAGGCCAGTTTGAAAGAAATTAGTTTCATGTTACAATAAATCTAAACCAAAGGTTTCCAACAAAACAAACCAAACAAACGACACAACACTTTACTGGTCTAATAGTATTATCTGTTTGTTGAGTAAGTACATATTTCTTCTGGCATATTTTCTACAATAATAACAGAAAGTAAATTAATATTATATGTATATCACTGAAAGGTGAAAACGTTGTTTTGTTACAGATAAAAATGTTCACAAATTACCTACATATTATTAATTAATTGTTAACGAGCATATTCTAAAATTATAAATACTTATCTGTGCTATTATCTGATTCACCTACACTTTCTTTAAAACTTTTTTTACAATTATAAACATTTGTATAATTTATTTTAAGGTAATCCCACTTTAAAATAAAGCCTATGTATTCTAGACGAAGCTGTTCACAAGATAAATTGGTTTGAAATGATACAATTTTTGTAAAAATATTTTTCAATGCACTTTTTAGCAAACAGTCTTTATTAGTAAACAAATTATTTGAGTTAAGGCAATTAAAATTAGAAAACAAGGCCTTATGTTTTTAAAATCGTAACTTAATACTTTGGATAACCTAGTCAAATATTATATTGCAAACATTAACATCAAAAAACTTCATTAATTCATAATTAGATCATCTGTAGATTTGGGTGCGAATTGTTTAGTCTTTATTTTTAACAGTTTAGTGGTAAACTATTAGTAATTTTTATACTAGTTTTTTCTATTTTATCTAGTTTATATTATTAGCCCATTTAACAAAGTTGTTAGTTTGAATTATTTGTTTGATATTGATAAAATTGTTGGTTGTCATAGTATATACATATATTAAGTACTAAGTATATATATAATATATAATATACATACTTACTTATACTTAATACTTATATAGGTAGGTATAATGATAATAACTTTTGTCTAGGCATTGATAATAGTATAGACACTGTAACAGACAGCAGTGCACTAAGTTCACTAGGAATGGATTCCCAGTAGGTCCAATCCTGTATTGATATATGAGAGCTCGGATTAATTTGTCAATATTAATGAACTTAATTAAAGATACGTTTGTGTGATAAAGATTAAAATTATAAATAAAAAAATTAAATCGATAAATTTAATATATATATGTTTATGTTATTTTTCTGGTATAAGAGGTGTAATTCAAACAAATATTACATACGGGCCGTGATCGTCTAGTGGTTAGGACCTTGCGTTGTGGCCGCAATAACCCAGGTTCGAATCCTGGTCACGGCACAGAAATTTTTGCAATTTTTTTTTACGACTAATGTACCTAATACGTCTATTTCTTTAAATCCCTTGTACTTTTATTAGGGTTCCAATTGAAATTCTGTACAAAAAGTATTTTTTTTTTTTTTTTTTTTTTTAAATTAAGTTCAGAAAATAATTATGACATATAGCTACTTATTTATATAAGTTATCATATAATATTAAAATATGAGATTACAATAGCCTCTTTTTTGTGATAAAAATTAATTTATACATTTATAACTTTGGCTAATGACTGTTTAGTTAGAACAGATAATCTGGTTACCAGTTATATTATTATTATTAGTTACCACAAAAAATATAAAATATAACTTTTCTTAACAAAATTAACTATATATTTTGATTTTTTAATAATATATAATAGAAACAAAAATAAAGGCTAATATATGTATACATGTAGAATATTTGACAATGTTACGTTTTAATAATATATTTTTAGATGGATAGTTTTAAAATATTAAATTTTTGGCGGTAAACTTCAACGAACGAAGCGATAATTTCGATTTCACGGTACTTTTTTATTGTCGAATAGAGGTATGTGCAATTTACTCGTATTTAACACGAAAATAATAATAACATGTTTGTGCATAAAAACAATACTTAATAAGAAAACAAAAACATATGATTCGGAATTATAATTTTTTTTTCGATTCAATTATGGATATAGTATTTTATTTGATATACCTACCTGTAACTATAATTTATGATTTTTTTTTTATGTGTTTCGTAAAAATGTTTTATTGCGTATAGGTACCCACCTATATACTAATGGAACGCCGCAGCATACATATAAATGACTAAAGGATGTGCCGTCGTGACCTATATATATATTTTTTTTTTTTATTTTTTAGGCAACTCTATGTTACCGCCGCCGGGACTAATCGATTGCGAGTGAACAACAATATTTGTATGCGTGTATAATATATCTCATCATTTTACAGAAGAAAAAAAAACGTCGCACACATTTTACCAGGATAGAAAAATATTATTATGTTCTTTAACGGCGCACGTTGTCAACGCATCACGGCGATGCGGAAGTCGGCGACATTTTCGATTAACGTCTGCCACGGAATTTTGATTAATTTTGCGGTAAACTATTTGATATATAATATTAATACATAATATATAATATTATTACATTATAGAATACAGTATTTTCAAATCTCCACATCGTCGCGTCGACGATAATGATGGCGCCCGGTTCCGTCCGAGATATTTGTTGACACTAAAGATAACCCCAGAAAGGGTTCATAAATCAATTTCTCTGTACCCTGTAGTAGTTATTCGTTGTATGCGTTCACGAAAGGGTTTCACGGAGAAGATATAAAAATTAGTTATCATTATAATAATATATTATAGTTCAGACCTTTTTACCAGAGCTTGAATACCAGTAATACTGATATAAAACCGAAATCGAAACCGCAAAAAAAAAACTGATATTGTTAAAATGATTCAAAATCGAAATCGAAAAAAACAATTTAAACAAAATGGAAACGAGATAAATATTGTTTTCGGTTTTAGGCCTCGCACATGATGTACCATGGTCTGCAGTACGTAGATAGGATGACCGACGCGTTTAGTCGGAATATCAGGAACAGATTTACATCCCCTTAACCTAGGAAAATCGATCTCGTACTTTCCCGTATTTTTTATTCGATTGTTTACCTGCAGGTTGACTGAACAGTTTGGCTAAAGGTCGAATGATAGAACAAAAAGTTATCGAAATAGCATGACGAACAGTTTTGTCATTTTTTGGCGAGAAATATTTTATCGAAATTTCTTCGTGAATTTTAAATAATTTAACAAAATAATACGGTCATCGCACATTATTTTAGATTCTGAGTGGAGCGAGGAATGTATTGATCATGAAGTCATTTTTTGATTCCAGCTGGGGTTTTCATTATAAATGGGGAAAACCGTGAAAATCGAGAAAAATAACAAAATGTATTAAGTATTTTCAAATCGTAAATATTAACTCTGCTCAGAATCGTTTTTCGTTAACAATGATTAATCGTTGCCTACAGATATAAATTCAATTTTCCTTTTACCTTCCCAGCTTCTCAACTACAACAGTCACGGCCCAATCATTAAATATGTTTTACAATACCTAAGATAACATATTACGTATTTATTACATTTATTTTGAAACAAAATATTGATGTTATAAGTGTTTATTAATGATGAGGCATTACATTTTTGAAATTTTTTCATTATCTCGGAAAGTATTAACTTTTTCTAAAATTTTTTTTCTAGAACATATAAGAAACAAGCTGCTCTACAATTTTATATTTATGTTATTTTTTGTCACCCTTATTTTTGTGGGTTAAACCACTACCTACTTTTGATTTTCAAATAGCAATCTATATTAAAATATCCATAAATATATGGAGTAGTTGTTAAAATAAATTTGAGTGTTGCCATTTTTGATTTCTGTTAAGCTGTTGACGAGATATTCCACTTTTAAATTTAGGTTGGAGAAGAATAGTGGTACATTATTAACACGCTACACAAATGATACTCCACTACTCTCCTTCAATCAAAACTTAAAAGTGGAATATTTCGTTAACGGCTTGACAGAAATAAAAAATTACTATAATTACTTATTAATGGGAAAATTAGTAAAATAATTTATATTTATGTCATTTCAAATTGAATTGTTCTTTCTTAGTTCAGTTAATGTGAAAAAAAAAATAATTATTATAGTTAAAAAAAAAAAAAAATAGCATTGTAAACACAATGGCCCCCTCGCGGTTTTATTAAGATGTTTATTTTTTTTTTTTTTTTGTAGTCTGTGGACACATTTTTTCTCAGTAAACTTGTTCCGATTTTTATGTGTAGCAATTTTTCTGAAAGCTCAAGGTCATTTTTTTGATTTTTGACATTGTTTTTTAAATAAAAGCTCTTAAGTGAGAAAAAACGTAGGAAAACGTACAATTTCACGATTTCATTATTTCATAAAAACACGGTCGACGTTTTCTATCAGAAGAAATGATTTAATCGAAAAATCATAAGAAATTTTTTTTGTTGCAGTTTTGATTTACTTTCCAACGGTAAAACTTTTTAGCCACATATAAGCTTTTAAAGAATTTTAATTTTTGTGAGTTTTTTTGTTATAATTTGGTTATGAATGAGACATGTAGATACTTGAAACTTGGTAATAATACTTATATTTGACTTATTGGACCTGTTTTAGTAAATTATTTTTAAGTTGGAAATGAGACAGTTTTGAAAACGGGCTCAAAATTAACGTCGTTTTAGAAGTGAATATTAATATTAATATGGTTATGTTAGTAAGATAAAATCGTTAATAATCTTAGGGTCAATTGTTTCAGAAATTCGTACAACATTCGGTTTCACATTTCCCACTCCCCGGTTAAATAATAAATTCCAAACGGGACGCATTGATTGTAACATGGTGGCGTTACGCACCGTGTGAGGAATAAAGTTTAAAATACATTTTATTGTTTTTTATATCATATAATATATAGCGGTATCGTATACTGGAAGAGAATATTAAGTATACTTACAGAAACATAAAAAAACAAAACGAAACAAATCTGGAAGACGAGTTGAAGTGAAACCGTATGAATGTGTATGCAAACAAAAACGCACGTATAGAAAATAAATAAAAATGTATTCGATTTTCCTGAATCGGAATTCGTAGGGCGCATTATATATCTCGAAGAATTCGTTTTTTACTACTTACTAGTTATGGAGTCAGTGTTTCCCAAAATTTTACGTTTCTCACGCAAATAATTATTATGAATTGAATCAAGTCGTGATTGCAACGAAATTAGCGTTTTCGCTGTAAAATTACTATTCAATCGATTTAAGTTACATATAGTATTTTTGTAATGTGTATTTCGGGTACAAACATACTCTACGATCATCTGTACGGGCTTTGTAAAATATTGTTTATTATTTTATTTAATAGTTAATATTTGTTGATAGACATCAGTGGATAGTGGCGTGTAGAATATATTTGTTGGCGTGAGACCCCTAAGGTCATCACCACCATAAACCACGAATAATAGTCGAAAATAAGTTGTTTATTATACTCGTAATTATTAAAATGTTAATATCAATAGAAAAGAATTCAGTTTAGAGTTAATAATCTTTGTAAGATCACAAAGATGATTGATCAGTTCGTTAAATTTAATAACCCAATTACAATTACAATTCAATTTACATCTTCGTATTGTGTAACTTCATATGTAACTGATTAGTAAATAATTTATACGGTTATCATTAATAATAATTAATTACGATATATTAACATTTTTTATCTAAAAAAAAAAAACAACATACAAATAAAAAATGTGTTTAAACTGTGGCGAGAGTACCACCAAAATTAGAAAATAGGAATTTCAGCAAAATGGGATTATTATTTCAATCCGTATAAAACCGATTTTTGGTCGGTAAAATGAGCTTAACTGAAGTGATATATTATTGAAATTATTTTAATTATAACCAGGCCTGTTCTGAATATTGATCCTAGGCACGCTTCTGGGCACCCCTCTAGTTTTTTAAATCTATGTTTAGTGTTATCATTCTAAAATTTCAATTTCCTTCTATAATTAGAAGACGATGCTTCAGCATCCTTAAATTAAATATCGAATAGGTTTATTTTATTTTTGGTTTGAATTTGTAAAACATCGACCTATGATCAAACATCTATAATATTAATGAATAATACGTAGGTATACTGTTGTCACAGCTCTGACTATTGATTAAATATTAAAATAGACTATAAAGCACAATAATATTCACATTCGCAAAAACTTCTAAAAATTTTAGAAAATAAAAGATTACACCTCAAAAAAAGTTTCAACTACCAAAATTTTCCTAAAAAATTATTTTACAAAATGGTTGTTTTGAGTTTTTTTTTTTTAAATTATTGTAAACTTTAAAATTTTTATTTTAAGTTCCCCCGTTAGTGTAATTCGCAATCAGAAAATTATTTATCTGTTGATATTCCGTCAGTTACGACGAGTATACAGAGCTTACTATTATGCAATATATAGAAACTACATATGGTAAACGATATAGATCGTTTAATAATATTATTATTTATTATTGACGTAGTAGGTACAGATATTAGAATATCAACGGGATAAAATGCCTTTCGATAAAATTATATCATCGGAATTAGATGTATCGAAAAGAATACAAACAATTTCTTTTTGAGGCGTAAACCGTTAAAATTACTTATACGCAACTCCTTAAAATACAGGGTTCCTTTCTATAATAAATTATATTATTAACAGTTATATTCAGACTCTGTGTAATATTTCGTAAACAAGATCATCGGTTTGTTTGCGATTTTGTGCATCACAAATTTTTTTGTCGGATAAATTTTTATTTTTATCGCAAAAACAGAAATGCTGCTGCTGCCAAATTAATTCCTCTACCCTCTGGCCGACCTTTTACTAATAGCAAATAAACTTTGTATGTATGTTTCTTTCCACTCGTACATATATTATATTAACACGACTCGCAGTGTACTGCACCTGTAGCTCGTATACGAGTGGAAAGTATAATACTAACGGTTAATATTGCCTAACTGTTTTATATTAATATATTTTTTCAAAATTAATATAATGTATCCATTTTTAATACTCAAAAAATAATTATCTCATTTAGAATTCTCTTCACGCTCTATAATATTATAATATAATTTACTTAAGAGCAAATAAACTAAGAGCGTTATGTTTTCCATACTAAATAATTCCTAATGAAATTAATGCTTCAATTCACTATTTTTTTATGGATGACACAATATTAAAATTATAGGTTAAAGCTTTTAATCTTTCAATTGATTTGACTATACTTCTAATTATTATTTACAAATGTGGTACAAAAAGGGGAGATGATGAAATTAAAATACATTTTACTTTTGATAATGGAAAAATCCTCTTCGTGACAGGGTGCACTTTCACATTACCCACTAAAAATAATTTACTATTATTAATATGGAAAAAACCACACAAGATCAGAAATAAGTATTAATTAATGAACTGCATTCAAATTATATAATATTATAGTCATTAAACTAGACACAAAAAAAATCATTTTTTTCGGGGAGAAAAAAAAATTTAATTTAATTTCAATTATATTTTAACAGTTATTTTTTTATCCATTATGAACTACGTAGGTACATAATATATATTATGATATTATTTGAATTTGAAATTAAAATACAGAACGTATTTATTTTGAATTATGAACTTGATATATCGAGTTAAATAGGTATAAATGAATATTAAAATATTTCAATTAGTTATTAAATTCCAATCGGAAATTAACCCTTTTATGTACTAACCTTTCACTGTGCGATTTTTTTTATGAATAGTTTTTTTTTTCTTTTCACTGTAGAGAATATCAATAGAATCCATGCAATTCAACACATTTTTTTTAACCGTTTTTAAGATTTTAGTACTAAACTCGAGTATTTTTTTCTTGGCATACATAATATAACTTATATAACTCATAATAATACGAGGAGTAGAAATCTATAATGAAAAATTATAATACGAGATGACCAAAAATATTTGCAACTTATAAAATTTAAATTTTGCATTTTTTTCTCCAATCAACTAATGACAAAATTAAAATTGGAGCTCATTTGTCGCAACCGAAATTACCAAATATAATAAAATGTACCGGAATTAAAATAATTTTTAAAAATCTTACCTGGACATTGGGAACATTTCATCTCGTCCGTGTGGTCTTTACAATCAAAGTGTCCATCACACCTCCAGTCCCTTGGAATACATCTCTTTTCGTCACATTTGAACCCACCGTGACAATCTGAAATATAATAATACATTTATTGTACTCTGAAATAATTGGTATGCACCTAAAATTTGAATAAAACATAATATGCACACTCTGTTTTAATTTTACGTTTTGAAACTAAGGGGGTATATATAATAAGTGATAAAAGAATAAGGTAGTCATAAAATAATAGGTGATAATTATTCTAGCTTAACAAAAACATGATAAAAAAATTAAGTGGCCTCTTTCTTCACCGAAAATTTTTTCTGACTACGGTACTGGGATCATGAAAAAGATCCTTGTCATTTGGTCATATGCTCTGACTATTGATAAAAATAGATTAAATAGATATTATAATAGATTATATGCAAAAATAACAGTCACATTTTCAGTAAGTTCAAAAAGTTGTAGTAAATAAATTACTATAACTAAACAAAAGTTTTAAATACAGACATTTTTCTAAAAAACAATTTTACAAAATAGCTATATTGAATTTTGTTTTGAAAAAAAGTATAGTCAAATTTAAAATGTTATATTTTAAGTCACCCCATCTAAAGAAAAAATAAACGTAATACTATTTTAAATGTAGCGCAGGAGCAAACAATCAAAATTAAAAAGGTATCCTTAGGGTAATGGAGATGGGTGCAGTCACTGTTGTAGGTGAGAAGTTGGAAAACAAGTAGAGGGAAAATTAAATGTATGTTTGTAAGCAACGATAAACCATTGATAACGAAAAAACGATTGTGAACAGAGTTCAGTTGATAGTGCAGTTACTTTGTCAACAATATGCCACATTACGGTAAAATAATTGCATAGGCATTATATAATTTCTTTAAAAATATTTGTTTAATATTGTACCGATTATCTCGTCTTTCCTAGTGTTCACCTATGGTTTTTCCCGACGTTTTTCATTTCTTGGAAAAACTAGTAAGAAAATAAAAAAATGACTTATTTAAAGACTCTCCCCAGTTAAATTTTCTTTCAGAATAGATGCTATACTTAAAAATCGGAGCAAGATTTCTGATAGAAAAATTGCACGCAGATAAAAAAAAAAAAAAAAAAACATATTTGAAAAACCATAAGCTTCTTCGTTCCACACGAAATCTAAAATATTGAATGAAATAAATGTTATTTCAGATGTCAAATTTTCGTTTTACATTTTGTAAATGATAATTTTTAAAATTCCAGAAAATCAAATAAATGTTGTCGTCTATATATTATTATTATATAATTTTGCATTTGTGTAATAATAGTATAATATTCTGACAACGACGTTTTGGTCACTAAATTTCGCTTTATGTCACCCGAATCAGTCATACGACGACGTCCCGACACCACGTAACATATTAATTTTAAGATCTTAGTATTAATACATATTCATTATTCCATAACGGAAAAGATACGAGTTTCAATTGAATAAACCGCAATTTCGACTCTTAACGTTGAGAATCGAACTCGACGGTTAAATTTTAATCTAATACATAATTTTATGTAATATATTATTCACTTTGTAATATTTTCCTAGTCTAAAACCGAACATATTATTTAAGCAAAATGCATATTGTTATTAAATGTGTAAAAGTACATAGAAAATGGGTTTGTAATAGGCTCGAACTTATATATGCTCAGTGACAATTATACGATATTATGATTATATTTAGTCCCAGGGAAAAAAGGTTTAAGTAAATTGTAAACATTTTTTATAATTTTGTCAGGTGTAATTTTGTTTAATTTTTTTTCAGTTTAATAAAAATGTATGATATATTTTTTTTTAATGTTATTAATCACTAAAAATATTTAATTTTCACTTGTAGCAATTTTCAAAATTTAATTTGCTTGTATTGAAAATTATACTTATGAATTTAATAGTTGAATTAAGCCCATTTTCCCTGGGACCAAAGAAATAATTGAATAGGTATGTTATTAATATAGGCAGATACTCACGTGCTTTTAGTTTCATTTTCTTGACGTCGATCACCTCCTTGTGCCCAACGCAATATGCGGTCGGGTTGACGTGGTCATCTGGGAAATGCATGCATTCGCGGTTTTCTTGATTCGCCTCGAATATATCGAAGAAGAAACCACAGCTCCGAATAGTCTCTGTGAATATTGTAAATCGTAAAAACTCAGCCATTTTCCATGACCAGACCTCGTGGAAAAATAAAATTATGAAAGTAATGTAGTTAATTAATTAGTTTTTACCTTGACAGAGCGATAGACAAGGCCTCACTTTGCGGAACCCACAATTTTTAGACGCAAAAATTGCGCAAAAGTACAGAGCCGTTAGCTCGTAGCACCGGACGTTGATCACAGACTCCAATGCCATGAGTTCTTTGGGATCCTTTAAACCGTAACAAAAGCAAGTTTATATAGTTAGTCATAGTTCTCGTAGTCTGTTCTGGTGACGAAGTGCAATCGTCAATTATATTTTGTTATCGAAAGAGGATATAAAATTTGTTTACTTAACTGTTGTTATAAAACTTATTTAATAATATTATATATTACTATTGTATCGCGAACGGTTCAAAATCCTATTCGAAATGGAAATTTATTGACATAATTTTCTAATGCAAATAAACATAAAACAAAATTGTTTTTAAAAGTTCATAAAAAAAATCATAAACATTGATTAAAAAAAATGTATTATCGCCAATACATAAAATATAACAATATACAGGCAGGCAATTGTCTATTATAATAATCTTGGAAAAATGTATTATTTTTGATGGACCTACCTAAATAAATAAACATAATTAAAATAAATTTAAAAAGAGCTTTCTAGGGATATTTCCATGAGATTTGTTTTTCTTTATTCTAGAAAAAATGTCACCTGAAAAATCATTTATTTTTCATGAAAATGATAAAAAAAAAAAATAATAATAATATTATTATCGTGAATGGTTACCACATCCATCTGCATTTCGATTCTATTTCGCAGATAAAGTGGCGTTTATTTTTAATGGAATCGAATGAGTTTTTCTGTTTGGGTGGCTTTCGTTTTATTTGAGACCTCTCCTCAACCCTCTCCAAAAACCACTCGTGAAATTCAAGTTGGTTAAGTAAAATAATAATATCATAAATAATGTCATTCTAGCGGAGTGAATAACATAAATATCGAGTGAAAAAAGTAATTTAAATACTTATTATTATAACGTTTACAATATTATTATTATACTTATATCATGACCGTTCATTTGTTTCAAGTAGGGCACGTTATATATTACTTAGATACTATTATATTCTCCTTCGAGTCAAACGGATAGCAATAATAATAATAATAATTACGTATTCTTTGTTGTAAGGTGCAGGATACAGGTACTGTGCTAAAGTGGACGTGACGTTTTGACAAAAAGACGGTAGGCAAGTGCCTGTGCAGTGATAAAATTGTGCGTTAGTGACAAAAAAAAAATAAAAATAAAAATAAAAAATAAATAAAACGTGTGTGATAATAATCGTACTAAAATAATATACATATAACCTTACATGACATGTACAGTGTGTCATAATTTTTAAACTATGTTAAAAAAAAAAACTACATATTTTTACTAATTAAACTAATTTTGTTTTACTACAGGAGAACATATCTTGACGACGACTCACTGTACATAAAATATATTACAATATCTATTTGAACGTAAACTAAAGACTACAACTAAGTAAATATTATTACATTATACACAGGGATGGGCAAATCCAAATTACTAGATGGTTAATTTTTAGAATAATAAATTCTAGCGGGCCATATCAAAATATAAAACAAAAATAATACAACTTAATAAATTCTTAATTTTTTTTTTTTTTAATGATTTTACATAAATAGTTAATTATTTAATTCAGAGACGTATTCACATTTTTGGTGCCCTGGGGCTCTGTTCCTTCACCATACTTTCATAAAACTAATTTACCTTAGAACTCACTATAATTTTGAACTGCACGTTTTATATTAAAACTGCACACTTTGTACTCAAAAACAAATTAATTTAAGTCCTGCTGAACGACTGTAAACGATAGGATAGGGTTAATCTTAAAAACTACTATTCTACCATATTTTAAAAGATTATGATGCTTCCTAGAATTGTGAAAATTACTTCGACCCTAAAATACGTCCCTGATTTAGTTACGCTTTTTTTTTTTACATTCAACTTGAAACTTATTAAAATTATTATAAAATTATTATTTACTGAAATTGTATTAAAATAAATTATTATTATTACAATTATTTTACATTATGAAAAAGAATTTATTGGTTATTACAAACAAGTTTATTTTTTATTTTTTATTTTAATGTGAACACTTTTCTACAAGAAATTTTACTCTGATTTTATAGCATCTTTTTTATACGCTAATGTCCTCTGGGTCATTTTTGGAAATTCTCGTTAATGTTCAAGATAATGAAGAAAACTTGGTTCTTTAGGTTAAAAACGATTGAAAGAATATAAATAAGGTTGTCATTGACAACCGTTTTTAATAATTTTTTGTTATAACTGAGTTTTATTATTTAAATCTTTTTAAACAATCATTGTTGTAATCATTTTTACCATAATATGACATATTTATATTGTTGACAAAGCAACACTATTAACTGAACTCCGCTCAGAATCGTTTTTCTTTAGCAATGGTTTATCATTGCTCATAGATATACATTAAATTCCCGTCTGTATCTTACCTTCCCACGTGCGAAGTATGTCCGTCCTTTTTTTTTTTAATGTGACTTTAAAATAAGTAATTATTATTAAATTGTATATTTCAAACACACTCATTTATCGTATCAGTTTAATGTCGGCAACGTAGCAAAATTACGAAACTTTGAACATAAATTGTGGCATTTAAACTGAACTTAATCACAGATCACGGAATTTAATAAGGATAACATTTTCGAGGGGAATGAGAACGAGTTTTTTTTTGAAATATTATCAAACACAAAAGTCATAGTAATAAAAAAAAAAAGCAAGAAATAAAATGACGGTGATATTTTTGTTTGATAATTATATTTAAAAATAAAAATAAAAACAGTAACATATTTATTTCGAAAATGTTTTCCTCTTACATGTTATTTGCGTTTAAACTCTAATATCAACCTAAACGTCACAATTTATAAGTTATTTTATTAAAGTTTTTCATAATATACGTATGTTCGTTAGTCAGACTGACTCTCTAAATGTGCTGTATAGCCAGCTGCCCATCCCTGATCGTATAGTGCAGACCTAATTTTACTGTATGGATTAAAAAATAATAATACTAATAATTACGAAATAAATCATTCAATACAAAATTAAAAATCTTAACCGTATATATTTAAATTTACAAAAGATAAACTCTATACTTGCTATTTGTGACAATATAGTATAATATATGCATGTGAGACGTATAGTCCACTACGAAAAAAGACGAACAAAAATTGCATATATTTGAAAGGAAAGTTTTGCGGAAAATACACGGGGATCTGCGCGAAATCTAATTGGGCAATATGCATAATCTATAGATAACAATGAAACAGACGGGACAAGTATACATTATATCAGTATTTATGGGGTATATAATTTTTTCTTGATGTTATCTCTCTGTAACAGTTTGGGGTACTTTTTGAGTTTATGTTACCTAAATTACACTAAATCAATTCACTTTAGACATGAATATAAAATTAATTATTATTATTATCTTGGGTAGTTCATTAATATCATAGTATTATTATAATTATTTTGAATTAAAAAAGATAGAAAAATCAGTATCATAATAATGCAAGAAGAAAAGTAGAACCCCATCATAAACGATTTTAAAACTGACTGCGTGATAAGCTGGTTAAAATGAATGTGACTTTTGTGCTCATGAGAACGTCACCATACCTACCCGCATGTGCTATCTCAGACATTGACGCACATTCAGTCTAAAATTATTTACGATAATATATAACGTGGGAGGGCTTTGAGATACGTTACACTGACACCACAACTTAAACTATTTTCTTTTAAATTAGTTTCATACTTTAGTAACCAATTCGTAACCATAAATTCGGAATTCGTAACCTAAACCAAGTATCATAAAAACCATTTTCCCACTGATATTATCATAGATGCATTGTTGCATCTAAGCAAGCATGTACTTGATCAAAATACGTAAGGAAGATACCTAAGTACCTATGTACTATATGTGTTTAGGAAATAGGGGGCATGGAAGGGCTAGAACAATGTACTTCAATAACGATACAAGTTTTATTTTTTTTTAGTAACAACACTGTATGGCTGGATTCAAGATATGAATTTTTAAAATACTGACCATACATTTTCACACGTCGGGTTAAAATGTTTAATTTAAAAAAAGTTAGCATATTTTAAATATTCAATTGTATAAATATATATATAGTTGTAGTATGTCTGCACTCTATTAGTCAGAAAAATTTCTTAAAGTTAATTATTTTATTGTAAATGTGTGAATAGACCTTATTTTTTTTAATTCCTGTTTATTATAATTTTTATAATTTTAAATAATGTAGACTATGTTAAGATTAAAAATGTTTTTTATAAATATATTTAATAATGAGTTTTGAATTATTATAATCAACGTGTACACAAAAAGTAAAGTCGGTACTGTACCTATTTTCTTGTATGTGTCCCGCTAAATTATTGTCTAGTTAAGACAGTAAAATGCGTCGATTTCAATTGAACACGCCAAAGTTGGTTTGCTCATTCCATCACAAATTTGAACAAAGTTTTGTGATGGCATGAACATTAGAGTCCTCTAGTATTCAAGGTTAATTTTTAATCGATAATTATTTTCATCAAAATTATTATGACGATCTAAGAATAAATAGCCGTTAGGACGTGTTGTAATATTTTAAATCATGATGATGATTATCAATATTGTGTGATTATCAGTTTATTACTTAAAATAATTTATCCTACTTACAACAAAATAATATCACATAGTATCTCTATTATTTAATAATACGAGCATTTAAAAGTTTTGATATTTTATATAATTTTAACTCACTTTAAAATTAAAATATCAATAAAAACCTATGAGATGCCCTAGATAATATTATTACATTTAGCATTACATTAGCATTAAATTTATTCCGCTGAATTAAAATGTTTGATGTATGTATGTATGTAAGACGGAGATAACACATGCGAGTGTGGCGACGTCTTATTAATCACTCATTGATTTTGTATCATATACCATTATAGTCCATGGAGTTACTCTGGATTAGTTTAGGTTTTTATCACGATTTAAGATAGTATTTTAAATCATGAGTCATACACACAGCAGATACGATAATAACGATAATACTAAGAAGTATCTATAAATAGATGTGTATTATACAAAATAATAGTAAACACTGGAAAATATTGTTTTAGTGGGACGAATAAAATTTGTATTCGCAAGGTAATTAATTAATAAATAACATTTAAATATATTTAAAAAAATAAAATATTAATAATAAATTTGATCAGGTATATGCTCGTTTAGATACAAATGTATGCAAAGAGTATAAGAAGGATTATAACACCAGCGGGAAAATGGTTTTTCTGGTATATAGTTTAGGTTACGAATTCCGAATTTTTGGTTTGAATGAATACGAATCGGTTACTAAAGTATGGAACCAATTTAAAAGAAAATAGTTTAAGTCGAACTTGATTATTATTACAAGGAGTTTATTATTTTTAGGGGACAAAATAGATTGACGGACCGCTTATAGTAACCGGTCTACGATAATCGGTACACGATATAAAAATGCCATAAAGTAATATCGGGGGGGGGTGCTTTTTATTTGAACTTTTCGGCGGTTTTACTACACGATTAGTTTGTTTCGGATATATATATATATATTTCTAAAATAGGACAGAGAATCAGCCACGTGCCGTTCCCTCGGAGTTCTATATAGAAGTTATAATAGTATAATATTCGCAATAATAATTCGTCTACTCCTTTAATATGACCTTTCGAAGGGAGGACTATTATGGTCGAATTCAATACGTGCCGAAAATTATTGTTTCCGGATGAGAAAATCATTATTCTATGTTATAGATAGCAGGTAAGTACGGTAGATAATAATAATTCGCTAAGAAATCGACGATTGTTCGGTATTAGTTGTTCTCTTTGTTCGGTACAGGTTATACCAACGAATTACTCGTACTACAAACTGACGACTTTTGGAAGTTTGGAACGTTGCCGTCGTAGTCGTGTATTTTCATACAATAATAATAATAATAATAATACATTTACACAGGGGTTTATTCGCGGTGTATCGGGTCCCAGCGACTAGACATTGTATACTATACGGGATTTGCCGGTTTTCAATCAATCTATGTCATATTATTATAGATGCAGTGATGTAGCAGGCAGGTAGGTTTACCTATCTATAATGTTACATTTGAATAAAACGTCAAATGTTTAATAATATTATATACGAGTACCTACCATCGTCGTCGTTGTCGTTACCGCGTTCGAATATTATTATATCTATGTCGAGCATGATAAAATTAAATATTTCGTATCCGAAAAATTTAAACCGAATTCACGAATGTAAACGTATCGTTATCTTATTAATATTATGTATACATGAAGGTATTTTTAGTTATAAAAATGCATGCACATTCGAGCGAATAAAAAATACTTATACCGTGTACATAAATATTTTAATTTATAAGTATAGTGCACGTCTATTTACATGTATTATATTATGTATTAAAATATATAAAATAGGTACTGAATACTATTTTCGGTATCATATTATAAATTATTAAATTACTTTTGGTATAGTCGGGGATAGGATTGAACTGCGGTTTGAAAATGGAAACTTCAAACATCTCGTTTCCTGGTCCCGAATTCGGCAAGAACATCGGGTCGTAATTATTGTTCGTAGTCGCCGCTGAAAATAACATGTTAAAATGCACTCTTGTGTTATGAAAAAATAGTTCAAAACAACGAGTATAAACGAAGTTTTGCTCTGCTCTACAGTTTTTCGAATGTTTTAAAAATTTTACCACGTATAGAAAAGGCCAATAAAATTATTTTGTGAACATGTCGGGTCTTTACGGTTTTTGTTTACCAAATTATAGTTACTGCAACCTAACCCGACCAAACTGAATTACAGCAAAAGAACAAAAACAAAAACAACGAAACCATATTTTTCAGTTTTTTCTATTTTAGTTTCATGTTAATCAGATGCATCGGCTTTTTATTTTTTTAAATATTCCCTTGAAAAAATTCTCCTTTTAAAATTTTGTATAATAGCTATCCGAATCTTTGAGAATGATCGTAGATATACATTAGGTGTTTTATAATATATAAAAGTAACAGTTTTGTCGTTACTCTGTAAGTATATAATTATATAACTATGTCACCAGTAATTTTAGCTGAAAGATCGGTGGTCGTAGGAGGCGTCAGTGAATGATCTACGACAATGGATACGGTGTTCAGCGACGAAACACTGCTGTTGGCGTAGTTTGTGGTGGCCTCGGCGTTTGTGTAGCGCACGATTGTTGATGCTGTTTTGCTGATTGAATCTTGACTACCTACGTTGTCAGGCAGGCCGACTTAAAACACACAAAATATCACGGGTATATTAGGTTAGACGCAAAGCCGTAACAAGGCTTTTCACCGTCTCTGACCACACACAATTTCCCGCTTTTAAAATCTAGGTTATAAACTACCTCTGTTCATTTCCATTTCCATTGAAAATCCATTTAAATACCGGATTTCGCTTTTTTTTTTTCTGATATGATATAGTATGCATACTAAGCTATATATGAGACGATATACCTACCTCGTACGAAACATATTAACAGCACTGTTATAAATATCAGGATGGCCGCGTTATACAGAACTTGTCGTCTTTGTAACCGAATAAATACTTCGGTGACGTCGATGGATTCGGTTCCCAATACCTGTAAATTATTATACATTTATTATATACGGTTTATCCAAAATTATAATATGGTTACTGTACATAATACGTCGTTACCGCATATTATAATTCGAGGGCTTTTCCGCTTTGTGTACCTAATACCTATGTATTATATGCATCGGTTATTTTAGAAACTAATTCAGTAAGTTGTCAGTTGTTGAAAACATTGTTCCAAAAACGTGATAAATGTGATTTACAAAATAACTTATACTAACTTGATGTTTAACCGTTCGTTCTAATTTTTTTTTTATTCCATTAAATAACGTAACTAATTTGAGTTTTTATAGCAATTCAATTTGAACGCATTTTACAACTTTATCATATGAAATAAATTAGGATTTATTTATTCATGTCCTTTTGTTCTTCAAGTGATATGTTTGTAAATAGGTTTTATTTTTTCTATGTCCTGTTTGAAAAATCACGAGAATTTTCCATCGATTTCATATTAGATACAATGGTTCAATTAGCTCATAAACCTTGGGGGGGGGAAGGAAGTTTGAGTTCCATTTTAATATTAAATAAATGTGATAAACGGGGTTATGTTTCTGAATTGTGGGCTTCAGACGACTTAGAGGGAAAAACCCACCTTGCCCATCTAATTGCGCAACTGCATAAATACAACGCATTAATAACTGTATGTATAATAAGTTATAGAAAATATAGTTTTCGAATAAAACGACTCGTATTAATTTTAGAATGTGTTTTAAAACAAATCATATATTCCTGGATTTCATAAACTATTCAAACATGGTTTTAAAATAAGGTATACAAATTTATACAGGAAATTTAGGTTTTCAATAGAAAACTATTTATTTAATTATAGGTACCTATTTGCTGTTGAATTGCTGTTCATATGTTGTGACGTCACTGGTAAAACTGTAATATTTTACTCATGAATGCATTTTAAATTTTAAACCGATAGAGGAATTATTTTATTATGAGTTGACGTGACGGTTATCCTCGTGAAGATTTTGAGCAAATTTAATCCTTTTTATTTTAGATGAACAAATTTAAGAACTTATTGTACTATTTAAACATTAAATCAGATAACTATGATCTTTAAAATAATCAATAATAATTGAAAAATCGAGATTAAAATATTTCTTTAAAATAAACTTAGCTGAATCATTCTGCATGCAGAATATTTAATATTTTAATATTAAATTTCTGTCATCATTAATTTAAACGATTAAAATATTATAAACGGTGACCTTTAACATTTTTGCGTATGGTTATCGCAATGAAAAGCGCTTAAAACTTTTTGAAACGCTTACGATTATGCTCTGACAATATTTATTTAACAATCTATACTAGTATTAATATAAGTTTGATATTATGATTAATCAGTGTTGGCCTGACCATGGGTGCTGGGCTGCGAACGCGACCGGTGCCTTCAGTCGTATTTGTGTGTGAGGGGTCCTCAGGCCACAAGATTTATAAAATATCGTTATTTAACTACTTATTGTTTTTGAGATTAAACATACACAAACAATACTGTTCAGACTTTAGTTGACAGTTGACTATTGCAGACTCTAGTGTAAATAAATAATAATAATTAATAAATACAAGTATTTATTAATTATTATTAATATTTGTTTTTAATTTTATACACAAATAACTGAAAGCTAAATTATCATTGAAAATCATTTTTAAGAATTATGTCACCACGAAATTTAATTTTAGAAATATTACCCATAATATAACCCATAATGCAAACTTCCGACCCAATCCCAAATTGATTTTCGCGGCATTTAACTTTTTCATCTAAAATAAATGATAACGACCAGATCATTTAATCGTAAATGTTAAATTAATATTTAGAACTATATTTTTAAAGCGTGGATCAAAAGGAATTATACTGTTGATGAGTGTGAAGTATGTTACTGTTCTGGTCGTGATAGTAGAAAGCGATTTTTTAATAAATTTAAACTGAACTACCTATTGTAGTTTGTAATCATTTAATAAATGAAAATATCGTTCATGTTTTTAACGAGTTTTATTGGACATTTGAACTTTAAATCCTTATAAAATAACCAACGATGTTACGCTCAACTTTTCTTTTACCATTCAGTATAATTTTTGATGGAATTTAAGTTAAATCTTAGTGAACTTTAACTAATACAATTTTATTCAAGTAAAATCTAAATATTAGAGTATCGCATCCAAATGCGCAATAAAAAAAAAACCACCTGCTTACCGGATTTGAGAAAAACAAGATGTTTCAGTGAACCCGACAATTTTGCAACAAATAATTCTCTATTGGAAAATTTGTTTTAAGCAATAATACTAACGCGATTGTCGGAAAACCTTTGTCTCGCATAAAATGATCACGTATAAAACTATTGTGAAAAGATATAAAAGCGTTCTCGATTAGCCTTTACCTGGTCGCACGTGCCGTTCGATTCGGATAAAAAGCTTTTATGCTTCGGTATTAGAATTTCTGCGATTTGACTTAAGTAGTTTTTATACTATACAATTACGTTTCGCGCAAGTATAATTTTATAGGATTAGATAATGGATAATGCATTTATTTTTGCCTTATTTTCATAAATATAATCGATGGATATATAATTTTAAAGACAATATCTAAAACAGTTAAAAAATTCACATTACGTATTACGTCTGCTCGAAATGACGGAATAAAACTCTTTTTGCGGTGTAAATACGGAATTACGAATTTCGAAACGCGTGTTGCAAAATAATACGACTGGTTTGGAGGAGATCGGAAAAAGTCGGGGGACCAACTTCACTGACGTCTCGGAATGACTATTAACTTAAAAATATAGGGTATGGTCGGTTTTCGTCGAACACGTAACTACCTATTTCTTTCCCGAGATTATTCTTAAATTAGTTGAATTTGATTGATTATATTGGTAGGTCAAAAACCGAAAAGTGACACCACTTATGGTGTCACTTTTCACAAATATGACGTGATTTAAATACTACATTTTTTTAATTAAACATTATTAATAACAACCTACATTATTAAGAATGTTAATCACCTTAATTTACAAAAATAAATCAGAAAACATCCAATAATTATATAAACATAGAAGTTTAATTAATTAATTTATTTATTGTACACTTCTTTTCTCTGAATTTTGAAAAGTTATTTAAAATCACAAATTTAATGAAAAACAAAATTGATACATTAAAATTTTCAGAAGAATAAACCCTATAAAATGGCTATTTTAAAATTTTTTGAAAATAATAAAATAAGTTATTTTTTTAAATTTTTTATTAGCTATAAATCCAGAAGATTATTCAATCATAATGCAGTTCTATGTTTAACTGTAGCTAGAGTTAAAAGTGTAAGCAATTAATAATTATTTCATAAGTAACATGTACCATGATAATAAAATAAGTTTTTTTTGTTATAATGAAATATTTTTTTTTTAATCCATAATTCCTCCCCCTCCCTGAAAATAATTCCTAGTTGTGCCACTGTATAGCCATAGATATTTAAAATATGTTTGGTTTCCGAAAAAAACATTTTGAAATAATTTTTATACAGTAAATTTTTGAATACATTTGAAGAAGCACCTTAAAATAAAGCCTACTTAGATTCTATAATAAGTGGATCTGTATTACATTTAACACCAACTCGATGAGATTGTTCGTAACTTTTCGTTTTGTATATAAGTGTGCTGTTCGTATCGCGATTTTATGATCACTTTTGGTATGGAATTTTATCCTAATCGAAAACACAATGCTGAATAATATATTTTATATTTAGTAATATGTGACCGGTTTATGGGTAGCAATACTTCCATTAAAACATAAACTTATGAAATACCTAGATAGCAAACTCGTATCTATTACTATAGTCAGACCCCAGGTTGGGCAAAAGACGATAGTGAATTATTGGTATTTAACGGCTGTTATTATTATATTGCGTTTACTGTCCATTATGAGGTAATAAACATCGAATCGATAATACTTATATCTATATCGATTGTATCCTATTTTGCCCCACCTGGTTGACGACTTCAAATTGTTGCCAAGCCACTATACAGAGTTCGCTGTCTAGTTATTTTATATATCTATGCATTGAAATAAAAACATCGAAATCAGGTATTATTGCTGGTTCGACAACGAGGGTTTTTTTTTATACTATCATTTATTTATCTTTTGTACTGTATTAACAATATTATACACGGAAAATACGCAAAAACAATTATTATTATTTCACGAGTTGGTAATCACAAGCGAACATAATAATATAATAATCCGAGAGAAATATCCGTGAAAGAGATGATCGTAACGTATTTTCATAACTAAAATAAAATTACGTGTGAATACCGCCGGGGATATTATTATTTATTCACAAAGGGTTTTCGTTTTGTTGTTATTATAATTAATTTCGACAAGTACAGAGAAGGAACTTTCGAAGAAATATTATTTTAGATATTTAACGGTAGTTAGGTATTATAAAGAATATAGACAAAACGCGTATATAATATAGAATATTATTTTCACGCTTTTAAAACTATTTACCGCAAATTAATTAGGACACGTTTTATTTCCGGTGCAGGAATCGGCATTTTCACTTTTATCAAAAACGAATTTTCCGTGAGAAAAAAAATATACATCATAGAAAAACTAATAGCTTCTCCGTTATACTCGGAATTTAAAATGATAGATTATTGTTAAATGAAAAAAATATTAAAAAGAGCTGATACTGCTGATGGGTGCGCCACTATTGTAAGCGGGAAGTTAGAAAGGTAACACATATAAAGTTATTTAATTTATATTTGTACGAAACAATAAATCATTGCAGCCAAAATACAATTTTTCACGAAGTTTGGTTAAACGCGTTTTAAAATGTCGTAATATTTATGATTTTCGTCAAAATTTGCTATTAAAACGCTTATAAAAAACGACTTCATTACAATTAACTTTTCTTTTTTTTTTACTAATAACTACTAAGTACAATTAATAATAAACCTCATAATACATTTTCAAGTATTATTGTTTGGTCGAACTATTTATCCATATAAAACAAAAATAAAAGCTGAAAAACTCTAAAATGCTACTAAGATGATTGGTACAAGATTTCTGCTAGAAAAGTTATTCACACACAAATCACAAGGTATAGTAGAACCAATACATTTCTCATTGTGTTCATAATCTAAAATACAATGAGCAGTGTTCACAATATCAAAATTAATTTTTATACGAATATGTTTTTGGTCGAAACTCAGAAATCAGTAAACATTTGACAACGTTACCATGTAAAGCCCCCCATACACCGTAAGTCTTGAATAACAATCAACGTGATTGGCAGTCGAGACTGATTATTGATTGACGATTGATAACTTCCATACACGGTTAATCAAGACTGACAATCTTCAGTCATTCGTTTACACAATTACTATTGAAAATAAGGTATCATAGTTGTCCATTTAATATTAACTGTTAAAGAAATATTTGTATTTTAAAATTAAAATTAAACTTTTTATCAATTTCTTTTAATTTATCAGTTAATTTCATATAGCAGTCATGTTTTAAATTTCTATCGTACAAATCACTTTTTATTTCCCATGTACGAGGTAAATTTCAATATAAATGCACAAACTCTCGCCAAAATTCTTCATTATTTAACTTATTTATCATTTTTTGATGAAGCTATAAAATTTACAAGACAAAAAAAACACGAGTCGTACACGGTCAGTCTTGAATGAAAATCAATAATAAAAAATAATTAACTTTTTTAACGTTTCTATTGGAATTCTTTCGTAACTATCCAAAAAATATTCGACGAAATATGTACTAACCTACACATTATCATTACCTATATATTCAAGTTTAGTCTGTAAAGTTGTATATTAATATATTATTATAGTTTAATATTAAATAATATAAATTGGTAAAAGATGCATTATATTATAATATAGTTTTAGAAGTCATTGAACTTTTCAGACAAATTATAGTGCGTGGTTTAATAAAAATCGTAATATTATTATCGAATTTTCCGTGAAAATAGACTATTGTACTCTATTATTATGTCTGTTATAAATTATTATGTCTCCATATAATACATACGAGAATTATAATATTATTATAATATATTTCCCCTGTTTTTTTTTTTTTAACGTTTCTAGCGGCTTCCATTTGATCAACATGTGCTCAAATGCACGATTAGAGTTGTTTTTAGACAAACTGAAAGTTGGATATAATTTCAATATTAATTTTAGCGTGTTTTGCGGGAGTGAGTATTTTTCAGTCTTTGAACACACAGATTCATCTCTCTAAAACGAAGATGGCTAACGAAATTTTGTATTATATTTTGCGAGAACTGCTACAAGTTAATTCTGATAACTTCGAAAAAAAAAAAACAAAAATTAACCGAATTTTAGTTTAATATTATATTTATATTTTCTGAAATCATTAAAAGCATGTATGAAACTACTTATAAATACCGGGTGATCCATTAAGTGGGCACACTCATTATCTCGGAAATTATTAACTTTTTCCGGAATTTGTTTTTAAAACATTTAAGAAATAAGCTGCTTTACAATTTAACATTTATGTTATTTTTGGGGGTAGAACCACAACCTACTTTTGATTTTCAAACAGCAACCTATATTAAAATATTTATAAATAGATGGAGTATTAATAAAAATAAATTTTAGTGTTGACATTTTTGATTTCTGCCAAACCGTTGACGAGATATTCCACTTTTAAGTTTAGGTTAGAGGAGAGTAGTGGAGTATCTGTGTGGCGGTACGGCGCCTGGCGTATTAATAATGCACTACTATTTTCTTCCAACCTAAACTTAAAAGTGGAATATCTCGTCAACGGTTTGACAGGTTTGACAACTTTAAAGTTAATTTGAGGAAGAAGAGAAGGGGAGTCAACAGAGCCAGATAAGAGCTTATTAAGAAAAATAAGATTATAAGAACGGCGACGGTCAGCTAAAGAGGATAAGTAAAGAAGGGCGCAATTAACATTCAAGGTATGCTTCATGAAGCAAAAAAATTTACGTTATACTTGTTCGAGTTATTATTAGTTTACCAGTGACATATTTACAGAGGAGATTCAGGGATAAAAATAATTAAAAAATCAGATACTATTGTTGTACTATTATTTAATTATATTATAATAATTCGGATTATTCTTGAAAAAGGAAAGTTGCAAATTTTCGATGCTCTCCAAAAGATACCATAAGGTATGTGACTACAGTTGTTTATAAACTTAGAAACTTACCCCCAAACAAATTATGAAGTTACTCTACTGAATATATAATAACAGATATGTTGTTAAAAAAATTACCTAAACCTAAGGTTTATTATATGTATGTATATTGTATATATAGTATAAAAACGTGAGCCGATTTCCTTGCACAAGTATATCTGAAGTTCCTATCTAACAGATTTAAGAGATTTTTTTTAAAACTCAAGTGTCCAGTGTGTAGAATGTAAATGAGTTAAATAATGAGGCAATTACTAAAATTTGATTAATTATTGAGTTATTAGAAGTATCGGAAATAGTTTTCTGTGTGGTTCAAGGGCGGATATCGGGGGGGGACTTGGGGGGAGAGCTTAAACCCCCCAGAATGTAAACGTCAAAATAAAAAATTATGTTTTTCAATATTTGATATTTATAAATTTTATTTTATTTTGTTGAGATACGAGAATGGTCTGGAATATTTACGGCTTATCGTTGTTGGGAAAATCATATTTTGTAGGTATATATTGATAATAGCGAACATTCTAGAACTTGTTTGCGATAATTGTAAAGTTATAAGTNCGTGCTAAACAAATAAACAATATAATTTTATATTATTTGTGTGAATTGTGTATTTATCTGAATTAACCGATTAATTTTAAATTATAAGTTGTAATTAATTCAATAATGGCTAAAAGAATGTTTGATGTCTTTAATATCAAAAAACAAAAATTAGTTATTACTAATTCCTCGGTAACAACAACACTAGAATCTGAAAATGAAGATTTAAATATTGGTTTAGACATTGATAGAACTACACAAAAAAGTGTTGAAAATATTGTAAATAAAACTGTCATTTCCGACTTGGGAACTTTAAAACAGGCCCTGTGCGATCAATTTTAACAGTAAGTACAAATGTAGGTAAACACTAAACATAGTTTAAGTTATTATATTATATTTAAATTAAATATATTGCAGTCATATCTACTAACTAAATTCGGTACACAAAATCGCGCTTTCTATCATAAGCATTACAAAATGGCTTAAATATAGTATATCAAAAATTCAATTTTTTGTTTTGCTTGTAGAAATTTTAGTATTGGAAATAGTAATAATTTTGAAGATAGCTTTTTAGTTGGTTTTAGATATTGGAAAAAAGCAAGTGCTTTGTATTTATGCTTTATTTATAATTTTTTAATTATAATTATTAATATAAGTATATTATAATTTATAGTTGAATGTTTGTAGTGGATCTAAAGGTGAGAATAAAAGTAAACTCAATTATTAATATTAATATTAGGAAACAAGGCATGTGTTCAACACTTTAGAATCCCTGTACGTACATATTTATCATCTGTCAAAAAATTAAAAATTAACTGAGAAACAAACTAAACTAGGAATAAAACATACGACAATGATTAGACTTAGTGACACTAGATGGAATTGCCGTTATCGAAATATAGAGTCTGTTACAAACAGTTATAAAGCAATTATTCAAACTTTAAAAGAGGAAATTGGAAATGAAGATGATATAGGAGTAATTGAATCAATTGGTATAATAATAAGTATAATAAATAATAAGTGATAATTAATGATTCAAAGTATTTAAATTCCAATATCTTTGTTTTAGGTATATTAACAAATTTAAAAAGTGGACGATTTATAGTTTATTTATTTATCTTACATAAAATATTAATTAATATAAATACTGTTTCTAACAAATTTCAAGAAAAAAATGCAATCTTAGGGTAATCTAAAAATATTATTGAAGGTGTGATGATGACTTTTAAAAATTTTAGAACAACAGAGTATTTTTCTAAGCTTTGGTAAGAAATAGAAATCTTTGCTAAAGACAATGAAATATCAATACAAACGCCATCTAAAGGTAAGACTTAATAAACATATTATATTTATTTATAATTATAATAATTTTAAGTTAATATTTATTTAACTAGGATGCAAAAGAAAAATACAAGAGCCACACAATCTTAAACATTTTGATACTACTGCAACCACAAGTGCTGAACAAAATATTAATGACACCATTGAAATCATTGAAGATTATTTTAGAAAAAATGTTTTCTTTCCTGTATTTGATGCTATCTTGATAAATCTAGAAAAAAGATTTTCTACTGAAAGCCTCCAAATGGCTACAGCTGTTGATCAATTTTTTCAATTAAACTTTGAGGAAAGTCTTTTCTTTGTAGATCAAAGTAAGTAACGTATCGGTTTCTGAAAATTGATTTTTATTAACCTATGCTCTAGTTTTCTAGTTTTATTAAAAGTGAACCTGTATTTTGTATATTTTTCAGGATTTGATGAATGCATCTAAATATCTATTACAGTCGGAAATAGAAGAGGCAAAGAATTGTATATTGCAGTCTACTGATGAAAATTATATAACTTTAAATGGTGTGAAAAAGGTTCTAACAAAACAGACTTTCCCTAATTTATATAAACTATTTCTAGTTGCTTTAACAATTCCTATAAGTTCCTCCACTTGTGAAAAGAGTTTTTCGGCCATGCGTAGAATAAAAACTTGGCTTCAAACTTCTATGCTGCAGGAAAGGTTCAGCAACACTTCAATATTATATATTGAAAACAAAATTTCTAAATCTATTAATACTGAAACAATTGTTAATATATTTGCACAAAAAAATAAATATATACAATTAAAATAAAAATAATTTAGTAGCTATTCAATATTTTATTTTTTTATGTTCTTATTACCTATATATATATATATATTTGGTGCCTCAGCTAGAATCAAGTAGGAGTAGCCACTNAAGCGTCGGAAGCGACTAAAAATATTTGTTTCCACTAATGAATAAGACAAAAATGTTAAGCCCCCCACAAATGAAACCAAATATATGCCAATGGTGTGGTTATGTAAAGAAATACATTGTCTGCATTGCACATATTAATGACTTCCACTACCTCTACGTCTATAGCTGCGTTATCAATAAGATGAACGCTGTCTACTTTTCTTTTTGAAATTTAACATTTAAAGGGTGGCTGGTTTTTGGTATTTATGAAACGTAAATGTATTATTATTTTTTTTTGATTTATGAATTACTTTAGTATTAAAGATGAAAAAAATTATGTTAATAAAAACGTTATTTAATTTATTTGTTCTTTTGAAAAGATGAACTTCCGGACAATAATGATTAACTGCAATAGGGATAAGAATGGAAACCTGGAGAAGAATTGATTTTATTTTATTTGTCTTTGTTTTCGAAAGGATCAAACCCGGGAAATACTGGGCAATACAGGTAGTTATCATTTAATATATATTACTGTGGTTATTGGATACTACGTAGGTATAAAATATAATACAAGTGTATCTATGTGCAAAACATGAACCAAATATTGTTTAATACTTGTAATGCCATAGACGTAGTATTATGATAAATTATTTGAGATAATATTAACATAACTTATAATGAACTAAGTTTAATTAAAATTTTAATCAAAATACGTCGATTCTAATTATCGACAAACAATGATTAGCGTCGCGATAATTTCCGACACGGTAAAATGTTTATCAACCCAATGTTATACTACTCGTATATTGCTTTAAATATTATAAAGTTTATAACATAAATTATAGAATAATAATATAACAATTTTATTACAATGATAATGCACAATATTGTAATGGAACAATAAATTTTACTGGAAAATATATTAGTGTCATCTAAACTTGGAAGTTGTATTATTTTAAACGTAACATTAATAGACAACTAGATAGACTAATAAATAGTTAACCAGGATTAAGAAAAAAAAAAAAGAGCTGATACTGAGGACGGGTGCAGTCATTGCTGTAGATGGGTACTTAGGTAAGTGGGATACATTAAGTTATTTAACCAATGATAAAACATTGCAACCAAAAAATGATTTGAAGCATTTGATGTTAATAGATTATAAATATATTTTATACAAATGTGGTAACTTGGTAGGTTGTGGTAATAGTGATAATGCTTATAACAGATGTTATCAGTAGTGTAACGGGATGGAGTGGAGACGCAAAACATAACAATTACTCGGTCCACTGATGAGATTTGTATGTCTAGTAGCTATAAATAGTTTTTTTATCAGTAGTTTCACCCGATTCAAATAAAAATGATGTAAAAAACTCGTAAAATTGAAATGTTTATAAGCAGCTCAAAAACGTATTTATAAGCTCAAATATTTTGAAAGTTTTATGATGTTTAGAAAGAACAAATTTAAGTTTGCTGTCAAAGTTTCAAGTCTTTATAATATTTTTAACTGAATTAAATTTTAAAAAAGAACTGATATTGGCGACGAGTGCGGCTACTATTGTAGGTGAGATGTTGGGAAGGTAGGATACATAAGGTTATTTCATTTATATCTGTAAGTAATGATAAACTATTACTGACGAAAGACGATTCCGAGCGCAGTTCGGTAATACATAATTTGAAGTGCCGTCATTTTTTTTGCGATTCGCATTTAAATTTGATTTAAATAACCTTATTAAAAAGGAAAAAAAGTCTGATCATTATAGACATTTCTAGGTAAGTCCAATATAAATATTATTACCGGACGCATGTAGAAACCCGGAAAATAATCATAATCATACATAACGTAAGGTTCTAGATTTTAAATCTATAAATTTAGATTATAAATTGTACGTTTTCCTATGTTTTTTTTTTTCCACTGGTGCATTTATTTAAAAAATGGAGTCAAAAATCAAAAAATTACCTTTTCAAAGTACAATCTAGTCAACTTGAGCTTCCGGAAAAAGTGTTATACATAAAAATTGGAGCAAGCTTACTAGGAAAAAACGTGTACACAGACTAGAACAATGAACAAAGAAAAAAAAAGAAATAAACAGCATTGTAAAACCAAAAGCTCCCTCGCTACGCTTGGAATCCAAAACAAAATTTAAAATAATTTAAGTAAAAGAATAATTCCCCGTTCTTTTTTTGTATTTTTCGGTTTTGCTGAATTTTTAAATTAACTACAAAAAAAAAAAAATAAAAAACTGACCTCCTTGATCACTAATTAGATTAGAAATTTAACAAAGAAAGTTTCTTGTTGTTTGTTTTTATTTTTGAACACTATTTTTGGTAAAAAACATTAGTTACAAAAATTAAAAAACAATGAAAACGGTAACGCCGCGTCACGCTGTTAATATTTTCCGTTTTACTTATAATTTTCCTTCAGGGGTTTCCGAATTATTTTGAAAACTCCTCGGAAAATCAAAAAAATGACTTCCACAGTGTACCAACTAGAGAAAATTATCTTTCAAAACAATGTTTCGTAGAAAAGTTGTTCACCACAAAAAATAAAAATACACAGTAGTAAAATCAATCGATCCCTCACTACTCTCTGGATCTAAAAACCTATCATATTCATTATGATAGCTTTATTATTATTTAACTATTACTATTTAACTTTATTAGCTTTTATTAGCTCAATTAAATATTTATATAGATTATCATCTTTCACCACTTCAAAAAAATTGTTCAAACGATGTTTTTAAGTAATTTTAAAATGAGTTGATATGTATTATATGAACTTATAGGTAGGTAATTTGTAAAATTACGTTCCAATCGATTAAAGTAGATAACTGAATTCGTTAATTATAAGATTTCGGTGATGAGTATTTTGAATTCCAAGAGTAGGTTGTTCCGGAAACGAATAATTAGTCCATTTATGGGTAGTTTCTAAAATAAATCGTGAATACCTCGATATTATAATTTTTCGAAGAAGCTCAACTGCTAAAACCTGTAAATTTAGTTTTAATAAAATACTTTTAAATAATAATTTTATAGACGAAATGTAATTTTTAAAGAGAACTGGCGGAAACCAGTGCCATGTTATTTGAAGAAGAGATAAGTGACGGAAGAAGGTTGAATAAATAAATGAACACAGAAATACAATGGTTTTTGGTGATTTTATAGCTAAAAATTGAAATACCAGAATAGTCGCTTAGTGGCATTTTTAATAGTTTTAAAATAATTATAGATATTGGACTGGTCATATTAGAGATTTTCCGAGCGAAAATCTTATCCGTTAGGTAGGTATACCCGAATTCAGTGTCGAAACACAGCTATTACCAGAGTAATGATTATCGTAACTACTTGAAATGTATTATTCTCGTAATAATGTTTAATAACGTGATTTTTACATGATTCAAAGTACAATATTTCGTCTGTGTTCTCTTAAGAATGTTGTTTTTTTTTTTTTAATAATAATATAAAAAAACGAGTAAGTGTTAGTTAATGGTATTTTATGGTATTTTGTTAAAAGAAAATTACTTATATAAAATTAGAGATAATCGTATAAAAAAAAATATTGATGAGAAATATCAGTGTTTATGTCCTTACCCGGTGTTGTAACGAATTAGGCGAAGACTCGTTGAACTCAACGACGGCCTGTAAGCTGGCGGGTGTCGAATGACTCTTGGTCAGCTCGGACGTGCTGCTCGAACTGATTTGTTGGCTGTTGGCCGGAGAATATTTCGCCCGGCCGTTCAATTGGTCGCACACCACGTACCGGTCGAGTATGAAACGTTTCTTATTGGATCGGGGCTGTAAAATTTTCGAGTGCGATAGCAGCGGCGTTTCCATGCTCTTGGTGGAGTATCCGGGCGACGAGTTCACGCTGTAGGAATCGCTCCAATGGCCGCTATCCTGTTGTACAACAAAAGTATTATAAAATATAACTCTACAAACGTTAAAATTCGTTTGAATATAAATAAATCATTTATACGACACGAGATCGATTTTTAGCCAGAAAAACGTACAATGGATTCATAACTTTGTTTTTGGTTGCCCATAGCCAGCAGCCGCGTGGTTCACCGAATAGGTCCAACTATATGAATTTTATTTTAAGCCGTTATATCGCAGGGGAAGCGGGGTGGGGGATATTTTGATCAACTTTTGTAATTTATATTGTTTTGTGATAAAAAAAAAATTGAGTTTATATGGTATTTTTTTCATAAGAATTTTAATATCAAGTTTTGACAATTGTAAATATTACTGCCTTTTAAAACACGTTTAATAAAACTTCATTCCGAATCGTTTTTCATTAGCAATGGTTTGTCGTTGCGTACAAATATAAATTAAATTCATAAATTCCCCTCTACATCCTACTTTCCAAATTTTCACCTATAACAGTGGTTCATCCGTCGTACAAAGTATGTCCGTATTTTTAACATTTTTTTTTTTTTGTTCACAAAACAAGTGTATAATTTATTACTATAGTAGTGTTTTTAGATTATCTCATTTAATTTTTGGATGAATTTTGAATAATCATAAGTTTTGGAATAATACTAAAACACTATTCTGTTTAATACTTCTTTTTTTTTTTTTTTTGTAAACTAAATTAGAATATTTTTAAGTTAATGAAAATAAAAGGTTGATACGTCAAAATGTTGAGAAGAATAAATTCAAAAGTTCTCAAATTTTTCGAAAATAATCAAATAAAAATTTGTTTTTTAAATTTTTTTTCCTGTAGAATACCTGTAGAACACATATATATATATATATTCTACAAGTATTCCAAATATATATTTGTATATAATGTAAATTAGGGAGAACTAGTGGAACAGAAATTATACAAATATGGTCAGGAATTCACAGGAATTGAGAAATAATTACTAATACAAAAATAAATTGCAAAATTAAAATTAGATACACTGGTAAGTATTGAGTTGGATAGTTAAACCTTAAGTAGGTATAATATTAATTTAGTCATATTGTATAGTGATTAAATCCTGCTTATATCTCACCTGTCGATTGGGAGACATTGTTGTGATCGGTGTCATCATTTCGTAACTCTCGTGACTACCACCATCCAATGGTTCAGAAATGCATTTGATTGGTGGAGGCACTTTGAACCGCCTGGTACGTAGCTGTGGTTGTTGTTGTTGTTGTTGTTGTTGTTGTGGTTGTTGTTGTTGTTGTTGTAATTGTGGTTGTGGTTGTTGTACTTGTGGTTGTGGTTGTTGTACTTGTGGTTGTACTTGTTGGTGCTGCAAAAGTTGTTGTTGAACCGCAACCGTGGTATCCCTTGTCACTACGTCCTTTACTAGATAATCTTCGACGAACCCTCTTATAGTCTGCCGGTCGACCGGTGGTTCATTGGCGTTGTGATAAGCGCGCGGCGGAGGAGGTAACTTATACTGAATGGGGCGTGGACCAATTTCTGGTGGTCCTGGATTTCGCCGTACCGGAATTGAAGGTGCCATTTTTGTTGGGGTTAATGGGTGTATCTGCAACAAAAACGATATCAATCAAATTATTGAACAATTATAAACGATTTTGTAGTAAACGGTTCTTAGTGGATGGAAAACCATTCAGTTTGTTTCATAATTAGTGATTACACAATTATATATTCGACATGACAACATGATACTTATATAGTACATTTTATAGTTTATAATAAATAATTTTTCACCTGATTTTCTTCGAAAAATGTCGTTTAAATCACGTATACCGCTTTAATAATATAAGCATGCTTATTCTCTTTAGAGAACGTGATACTACAAATATATTATAAGAGGTTAAATATAGACAATTCTCTGAGTATTAAAAAAAATCACATAGAAATTGATCAATTCAAAAATATTCAAATTAATTATAAAAATAAATGTGGTTGAGAACCACTGATCTAGATAAGACAAAACATAAAAATAAACCTATCCAGATAAAACATAACACTGACGTTATAATCTGAAAAAGTGTTAAAAAAAATGTATAGACTAAGTGATAAAAGAAATTGTGTTCATGCATGCCATCCAACCGTGTTTGTTTCACTATTATATTATAATGGTTTATGGGTAAACAATTTTGTCAAAAGTTTCCACGTGACCGATGACGTGCGACGGTTACCTATAGAACGCACGTGTCTATATCGGGAAAGGTTATGTTAAGTCGAGATTTGAGTACATTTTTGGCCATCATTATCCAGTGTAATGTGTATATATAAGTAGATACGAAGTTTTCGTCTATATATAAGGTTCTTAGTCTTTTTTCTGGATATTAAATAGAACCTTTAACCATGTTCACCATTACTCTGTATTTAAACTCATCATAATATTAACAATAAAATTGATTTTCAAATAGTTAACCACGTTTTTAAACTGCAGTTTATGAGTTAAAACGGTTTAGTTTGTAGGTAGAGTAATATTATGGGGATTACATTTAACATCCTTCCCTACTCACCAGGTGTATTTTAAATAAGCCATTAAACACTGTTAATGCGATATTATAGTGTTACGCGTTTCAAAATAATTTGTAAATAACTTTTTTATTTTCGAATTTAAAAATTACATCTTGTTGAAAGGTTGATGTTATTGTCGCCAATACCTAAAATAGTTAATGTTCGGCAATCGTTTTCCGGATACAAAAAATACGCTTTGGTCGCATTGAAATATTATATTATCTCTAGATTCCAGTATTTTTTACTGCTACTATGTTCAATGGTTTACTCAGCTAAAAGCCGTTTTGATTTTTCGTATAATTTTTATAAGTTTAATCTTTATATTGCCATTTATATCTCCATATTGCCATTGGACTCTAACTGTAGCGGATTTCTAACATTTTTCTGAGAGGATTTCTGAAAAATCTTATGTATTTAAATGATATCTTTAATAATAAATGCCTCTTTTTTGAGCGTTTTATTGAAATTATATCAGTGTCTTGGGGGGGGGGGCGTCTAGATCCCCTGGATCGCCCGTAAATCCGCCATTAGGACCGGTATCCCTATTTTGTAGTGGGCTATTATTCGTATAAAATTAATATACGAGTATATTACATTATTTTAAGCAAATAATATGTTTCAAGTACGTACTCCATATTAAGTATTCTTCTTATATGTTATTATATCAATGGAGTTTTTATCAGCTTACTCTGAAACGTGTAAGTATTGGCTTTATTATTATATAAAGTCAATGCGTATATGTATACCTACACGGCTGTACCTTCCGATTTGCACTGAAACCCACCAAGGGGTCGGTTTTCCGTTTTTAAAAATCTTAATACCATAATGTATAATAATATTATAGTGTTGGTATATAATATGGATTGATATCATAACGTATTACGACGTTTCGGAGAATAAATTTGTTAAAAAAAATCTCATAATTTACTATATAGGGATTTAAAACGCTCGTCACGTTATAACTTTGACATATTATATGTCAAAGTTATAAATAGTCATCAATCATATAATAATGCGGTGTTTTCAACGCCGGTGCGGAATGTATAAGATTTCTTAAAAAAACAATTTGTTAAAGTTATATTTTTAAAAATGCTTGTATTATTATAATAATATAATAAAAGGTAGTAGTGACTAGTGGTTTGGTTTTGTAACCATTATTAAAAACCTCACTATCACCTTATCAATTGTTATCACCTTGGGTACAAAATTGTTTACCGGCGATCACATAAATTAGAAACCATGATTTATTTGAAAAATTATAGATTTGTACACTACAACAAACATAATATTAATTATTAATTAATATTATATATAATATTGTTAATATTACTAATTAATTAATTTTCAGTTTGGATTCTAATCATATGTTGTGAAAGATAACAAAAACGCTATATTATAAGATATCGACAACAGATTACTTCTCAAGTGTTTTGTCTGGATAAGATAAGGTGTAAGGTTGAATAATAAAAAAGAAAAGTTTGCTATTGTTTTTAGTTAGAATAAAATATCATTTTAACATTAAATACTTATTTTTTTTTTTAATGATGACATTACATTGATTGGTGTTCATTATATTTTGATATTAATGTTTAAATAATGTCATTTGGCCACTGTTTTGAAGTTTAAATGATCATCACAACTTTATAATTATGTAAATAAATATGTATGATGAAAAAAACAAAAAAACAAAAAAATACTGATATTTTACTGCTTTGTTGGAAATCGAACGATATGTTAACACCTTAACACCTAATCTATTAAGCTACCTGTCATCTTGCATAGATGTATCGTTTACGAGTCAGAGGGCCAATTTTGTAGTGAAGAGGGGGAAAATTAAAAAAGTAAATTCATTCTTTTTATAGCATTTTAACAACCAAAAATGTCATCAAACAATTTTGAACGTCCTTCCCTCAAAATGTATTTTCAGATATTTAGCACTGAAGAATATAACCACCCCTAGGGTACAATTAGGGCCATTGCGTATGAATTGCTATTGTCCAATTACTTCCACATCGATTATTGCATATTGGAGGAGATTTCATTAAAAAATGGGGAGGGAGGATCACGTAATAAAAATAAGAACTGAGTTCAAGTTTATTTCTTGAAAATTAAACGCCTTCATGTCCAGTTCACATAAATTGAACGGGTTCTTTCCCACCATTAGTAGAAAAATATATTATAGTGATTAATAACATTTACTAAACAATACTTAATAATAAAGACACCCATCTCCTAATCTTCCAAAAATGTCAGAGGTTATTAGCATAACACAAGCCTTTGACTGATGGTTGAGGGACAATATTAACATTACAATAGCTGGGTTTCGTGAGATTGTTAGACTACTCTACGGTACGGAAACCTAAACAAGGAACAAATAGTTACAAATGATTTATAATAAAAACCGCTTTCACGTTTTAAATTTTAATTTAAAATCAAAAAAAGCGGATATGCTTCGTACGACGGGTAGGTCACTATTGTAGGTGAGAATTTGGGAAAGTAAGATATAGAGAGAAATTCATTTGCAATGATTAAACATCGTCAACGAAAAACGATTCTGAGTGTAGTTTGGTTATAAATGTTTTAAAAGGTCATAATATTTACGATTTTCGTCAAATTCCTTGTAAAAACAATTCTACATTACACTCATTTTTTTTTTTTTTAAATGCAAAATAGGACTTATAATGAACCTCCCTTTAAAAAAGCATTTTTATTTGTTCAAATAATTTTATCAGCAGAGTACTTACCGAATAAAAATGACGTAAAAATTTCACAAAATGAAAATATCTAAAAAGATCAAAAATGGCTAAATATTTTGAAAATTATACCACGTTTAGAAAAGATAAATATCAATATTCAGTGCTAATTGCAAGTTTCTAGGAATATTTTGAAATGAATCACAATAGAAAACAAAGAAAATAATAAATTTCGTAAATTTGTCCCGTTTTTTCTGAGTTTTTTCATTTATTATGAAAACTATTTGAAAAATCAAAAATATCATTCTTAACGTACCAAGTAGATAATATTTACTTTCAGAAAATGACTTACACTCCTACACTTGGTAAATTGGAGCTACATTTCCGGCGGAAAAGTTGTTCACAGAATAAAAACAAAAAAGGCGAAAAAATAAATATCATTGTAAAACCAATAAATTCCTTGCTACACTTAAAAACTAAAACTACATTTGTTATGTAAAATGAAAATTTATATAAATCTTTCCTAAGATCCTTTAGTTTGGAAATGCGGTGTAATTATTTAGGTTGTGTTGATTTCGCACGCTAGTCTTTCTGATTTATTGTTCTCGCAGTTTGTATAAAGATCTAATACTAGAAATATTTGATCAATTAACCACTTAGGTCTCTTTAAAATCCTTTGATTTGTCACTTTTCATTTCTTGCATATACTAAAAATCACCTCAGTCAATTCAAAATATGGTGACGAAGAGATCTCTTTAATTTTTAAAATATTATAATATTTGTTGACTTGTCTTTAGATAGTTTAAAGTTCTACTGTGGAAAATAAAAATTATAATGAAAACGACAAATTAGATTAAATATTTAGTTTTCTTCTATTATCATCACAGATAATAGTATAATATCTAAATAATATTATGTTTAAATTTAATTCTTTTCAATGATTTTTGTTTTAAAAACAAATGGAGGTTAAGGGAGCGAAAATATTCGCGGTAAAAACTACGTATAAACATTGCGTCGTTATGAGAATCATGACATTTTGAAAAATATGACTAATAGTAAAGGTTGAAGCCTAATTTAAGATACTTTTATAAGAGTAAAACAAACTTTAGCGTTGCGACATTTGAAGTAGACATGATTCATTATTTTTAATAATTATGACGTAAACAAGGTTTAGTTCGGTGATTTTTTTTATATTATACATTTTTTAGGTACACGAAACTATAAAAATAATAAGAATTTTCTTGGGCGAAATTTTATTTTTGTCCACCTCAGTGTAAAAGCGATTTTTTTTTCACCACTTTTTTTCACGTAATACATTTATACTTGTCTACAA